CATAGTACGGCTTCATTACTCGGCCTTGCGGTATGGGGTGCCTAACATTGAAGGGCCGAAACGTGACATTTAACTCACAAGACAAGAGGAAAGGCGGTGACTCAAAGTCTAATGATCGGGATGATGTAACCTGATCTGGTTAGTAAAGGAGCTTGGGCTGTGGATGTAGAGGTTGCGAATGCTGGCGGTTGCGCGAAATGACAGTAAGGTACGGCGCGTACGTGCCGCGTGGAGGCCGAAGGTGCCCAGCGAATCCCTGCGACTGTCGTCTGAATTGCCTACCCCCATCTGTCCATCTCTTTCTCGCATACTCAATGTTCTTTCTCCACAGGCTCATCTAGGAAACACACAGGCGCAAAATCTTTATGTCAATTAGAGTTGTAGTGGTAGTCTTGCTGCTTCCATTCGTTCTTTTCTAAGAAAAAAAGTGTATGGCTTCGGTCAGTCAACCTTCTCGAGCAAACAACATATTCATCGACTACTTGAGCCTTTGCTACATTCTTGACGCGTCAATCCACGATGCAATTATTTCTAGATTGTAATGAACTACCAAAAGCTTGCCCAACTATTTCGCAGAATCAACATCCGCGCTGCCTAGATGTCGTATAGGACACCAAGATCGAGACGCAGATGGCAGGCCGCACAGTAGAGTGGCTGTGACCAGCCACTGCTTGTAGCAATCTATAAAGCATTCTGCTACGCTCAGCTGCAATATGTCGTGGAACGATATGGCTGGCTTCAGGTAGTGTCACTCGTTCAATAGATTGCTCTCAGACCTGCCTCCGAGATTGTTACATCTCCATGTCTGATACCACCAGAAAAAGGTACAGCATAAGTGAACTTCACAACAAACATTTTCCGCTGTCACCCAACCATGACTTGAACCCTGGAGAGACATTATCTAAGAGAAGTGCTTGACTCGTGGAAGACATATTACGCGTTGTACTTGTGGTGATATGAATATAATCTTTTATAATATCATAGCAAGATTAAACAGTGTTTCGTTCCTATCGCTCAAACTTTTCAGATAATAGCTGGACGTGGCAGACAATCACGACATTGGTCAGCGGGGGTGGCGTGCCTTAACGAGTGCTCGATTTACCGCATTTCGGGGTCCTTCCTAACAGAGGAAAGAATTCTAGAGTATGTCGGTGTCACAAAACTATCTCTCAACAATCCAGTGTGAAATTGGAGGTGAACCAGAGATGTCATCCAGTAGGTAGAGCTCGCTGTGTTACCATATTGCATCAGAACCCAGTGCGTATCGAATGCAGACTGCGGAAATGAGATACAAACGCTTGGCCGCGCAACTGGCCAATGAAAGCAAGTCATCTCTTGTACCGGCGACCTACACAATGATGATGCTGTGAGTGCAGGTTGTGAATTCGAACAGTTTCGGAGACAGGGTGCACAGTCGGTTCTTCTGATCAGTCGGGCGAAGCCAAAATGTATCGGGCTTAGAGGAGGTGAAGATATAGCGGCAATGCTCACCAGAACCATATTGCTGATGCTTCAACAAGATAGCCAAATGTTCGATCTTTTAAGTGATGCCTATGGCCAAACACGCTAACATGCCCGTAATTGGGCGAGCTACTAGTGATTGTAGATCTCGATACTGAAGCTGATTGGCTTTGCGGCAGTAGCGCCGAAGTGGCGCCACGAAACTTCGATACGAAATTCCTCTTCGAGCCCCCTCTCATACTAGTTACGCTCCAAGACTCATACTTCTTGTCACTACGCTTTTACATGAGTGGTCAGACTAGGGTCACGAATATCAACCAAACGGCCGGAGTCTGACAGTGGAGCGTCCTCTATAAAACAGCTGACATCACTGCTCTGGAAGGAATGGAACAAGGATCTGCACGAACTCCACCATCATTGCGTTCACTCTTACCTGCCCCTACTGGTGGGATCCGCAAAGACTCAGCGGAAAAGCAAAAGGCTACTCGATTCAACGCTTGCGAGGCTTGTCGAGCTCGCAAGTCAAAAGCAAGTACATATGCCCTGCAGCTTCTCCGATCTTAGCTGACATAGCAACAGTGCGACGGGTCAAAGCCTAGGTGCACTGCGTGCGTGACGCGAGATACTGAGTGTCGTTATGGTGAGACTGAATCACGTCGATTCAAGCGTAGATATCAGCAGCTCAAACAGAAACGTACTGCACAGGAAGAACTGTTTGATACGTTACAAACCCTTCCCGAGAGAGATGCAGCCGCCATCTTTCACCGCATTCGAGCAGGTGCAAATGCAGAAGCTGTAATAAGACACATTCAAGAGGGAAATTTGATCCTGGAGCTTTCTCATGTTCCACAAGCGTCCTCGCGCTTTCACTTTCCGTACATGGACAAGATACCGGCAAGCCTTCAAGACAGTACTTACTTCCAGTCGCTTGTCTACGAAGCAATCGAAGCGTCCGATTACGATAGAAGTACCTCGCAAACACACGTAGCTCTGCAAAAGAGTAATTACGCAAGGTCTTTATCTACGGCTAGGATGGTTGACAATCTACTCGAGGATGCACAACCTTCGCATTGGACCAGTGTTAGTTCTAACGATCGACTGCTGCGCAACATCATCGAAAGCTACTTCATCAATCAGTATCCACGGCATTTCTTTTTTCACAAAGCTAATTTTCTGGAAGACTTGGTATCAAGAAGAACCGAGTTTTGCTCTCATTTACTTGTCAATGCTCTCTTGGCTAAAGCTTGTGTGAGTAAGGATGTCTCATTGATGTAGACGGGGGTTCATTAATATACTGTAGGCCAGCTTTCGAGTGCTCAGTAATCGCACCAGGTTCTGGAATCCAGACAGTCTGCCATATCGATTCTTAGCAGAAGCAAAACGACTGTGGGAATTAGAGGACGGAGCGCCCAAACTTACCACTATTCAAGCTGGTTGTCTGATCAATGCTGCAATGAACGACTTCGGCCATGATACCCTTGGGTTTTCTTATATGCTCAAAGCTTTCGGTATGGCACAAAAAATGAGACTTTTTGCACCCCGGGTGGATCATGACAAATTTGAGCACGCCAAATCTTTCACTGCATGGGGGCTGTCTTCATGGCTATCGTAAGTCTGATCGATATGCAGTAGCCCATGGCTAACCTTTCCTAGATTACAGAGCTACTACTACTTTAAGCCGCCGTGTCTTCTAGATCTCCCAGCAGATCCGCTTCCTGACGTCCACGGCAAGTCAGAGTGGTACGGGGATATAGTGATAAATTATCCGGCAGATGGAAACCATTACATGACCGACTTCGGTCATGGAATGAAAGCTTTGAGCGAGTTGCGGGTGATCCAAAACGAGATTGGTGTAATGTGCTTTAGTAGATTTGAAGACTCGAAGAAGATGCCGTGGGGCGCAGCTTTACACATCCAAGCAAAATTGGAAACTTGGTATCGCGGTTTGCCTACTAAGCTCCAACCTCGGTGGATTGTGCACCCTTCTCACCTGCTACTACAGTGAGTGGCCTTCTCACACATGCGCATCATAGAAACTAATACGTCTATAGTTGCGAATATCATGCTGTCTTGATAACTCTGTTCAGATCTCAGATATATTCTGAAGATGGAGGTGCACGGTCATTGACGCAAAACCAACTCAACACGGCACAAAAGGCTGTCACAGAAGCCAGCATTCACTTAGAAAGCATCTTACGTATATACTACCTTCGCCATAGCTTCGAAAGTTATGACTCGACGCTCACAATCTTCTTGGTCCACCTCGCCAACCTGACTCTAGAACCCATCCGACAACTCGAGCAAGACCCAACCAGTGAACGGAAAGATACAAGCGAGGCACTTATCTCAACACTCGTTCTATGTTTTAACGGTCTGTATGAGCAGTCAAAATGTGCTTATATCGCTATCGTCATGCTTGCTCTCATGAGAAAACAACTCAGTGCCGAGATTCGGAATACTGTCGGACGTTATGTGACCATAGAAGAGCCGGACAGTGACACCGAGTCAATAGACGAAACGAACTTTGAGTACTTACAGCCAGTCCTCTCAGAGCTCGTTCTTCCGGGTACAAGTCTTAGCGAAGATCCAAAGACGGGGAGAATAAAGCATTTGATGGATGATTCAGGGAAGATTTTAGCATAGATACAAGCCGAGACGCGACTAATGCCAAGAATACATCAAATCGATACAGTGGCCATTGACCTGTGCAAAGTTCATTGTTAAAGCGCCAATGAATAAAATGTGACGATCTGAATGTCAGCAAGCCTCAATCTCAAAACTGTCTATCTAGTTTCTTGGTTGCGTGGAATTCGTCTGCAGCCTCTTCAGCCTTCTGCTTCTTCCCTCAAGGGATGACTATCGCAGCAGAATTCAAACTCATTGACACGTCAAACCGCCATGGTCTTGTTGTCGCGTTCGAGCTACCGGCCTTGTTAGGAGTTCGGGTCCGATGTATTGATAATGTAGAAGCAGCCATCTAGTTCTCTTCAGTAGGTAGTGTTTGCACACGCTTAATTGTCAATGTCCATGCCAATAGCACTCATGAGATTAGCTTTCAGTCTAGCTGCTGCCAAGAAGCTTTTACATCCATGAATACAACCATCGAAACACTGGGCAAAGGCAGCTGCGAAGCCATCGAACTCGTTGAAGGCGAACAAACGTAGGCGGGTTTGGCTTTTGTAGGATGTATCGACATAGTGGTGTTGACCTGGCCTCAATATCGAAATATCTGATGTTCCGCTGTCCGATCGTAAGCACCATTACCTAGGTACGAACGATACCGTCTCCGGACGTATGAGGGCCATCATATTGTGAGTAATGCGTGAAATGTGTTACAAGAATAATGTAGGTATGCTAACCTTGTGATCCTGTGTCACCGCTTGTAGTTAGCGCTGCACACATAATCGAATACATTTTAGTATATCGTGCGTACGCATGTGTAAAGGCTGATCATACTCTTTGAAACTGTCCCTCTTCGCCTCCCAACCCGTCCTTCCAACAGCCTGAACCTTTCATAACATCAGGCCCATGATCACAACCTAGATAGTCGACCAAGCGTTGTCTATCGGCATCATCACACCACTGATCGTCTTTGCAGCATCGGAGGCAAGAAACGCAATGCCTTGCGCAATATCGTCAGGACCTACGGATCCGTATGGAAGGTCGTCCCTCTTGAGGCCCTGGCATAATACCTGCACCGGGCTACGAGTCTGTCAGTAAGTGCACGTCTTTCGGCATGGTGATAACGTACCGGTATACTTCCATTGCTGCCTGGTCGACATTTTCTTGCACCATCGATGAGCGGATGTTGGTGGGAACGGCTGAGAGTGCATCAGGAAAAGATTTTCGCGGGTCTAGAACCAGGGATGATACGAACCACCTGGAAGTACGGCGTTGCATCGAATGCCGTCCTTCCGAAAGCGCCACGCGACGTTTTTGGTCGCACCGACAAGCCCATGTTTACTGGCTGTGTATGCAATGCCAGCCACCGCGCCCGAGAGACTCGCTTAGCTTCCAACGTTTACGATGGAACCGCTTTGCTGATTCTTCATGCTGGGCAATACAGCCGTCATCATCCGGACAGGTACTGTGAGGTTAACGGTAAGCACGCGCTCCCATTCCGAGTCCCTGACCGTATCAGCGCTGCTGAAGGCATCCATGATACCCGCAACATTGGCTAGCACGTCGATGCTCGGGCCGTATTTTGCAATGCAAGCAGATATTGCATCCTCGGCTGCGCCGGGCTTGCAAAGGTCGGCTTTGTGAAAAGTAAAAGAATCGTTGTAGATGGCGTCAAGCTCATGGGTGAAGGGCGACAGATCAATACCGAAGACTCGCGCCCTTTGTGAGAGGAACACCAGGGTCGTTGCTAAGCCAATGCCGCTACTGCAACCCGTTATGATGACAGTTTTGTTCTCGGAAGATGTCATAACGTTGAACAGTACTTTTGAAGTCATACACTCTGTCTACTGTCTCCGTCTTTTATACACATTCGGAAAAGATATATATGGCTTTCACGCGAACGCGTATAGGCCGTACACAGCGTGGGCCCTTCGTGCTGTTCCACACTCTGGATGCAAAGCGAGGTCAAATCGGGCTATTTGCGCGACCCAGCTGAACAGTCGACCAACCAGAAGCTTCCCCGTACGCGTACAGTCGAAGTAGGGATGACCGCCGAAATTGGAAGCGTACGGCATGGATACTCAGGAAATCAGGTGGTTGTCGCAGATACCCGAGGTCGGTCATGATACCGTATAAGTACATGTGTGCTTGAAGCAGCGGAATGCGATTTACAACTGTCGATCCAGAACGCGAGCACGTCCAAGAACCCATCTACATTTCCCCCCTTTCAACAGCATAAAAATCGGCTTATTGATGAGCTTCAGGTCGGCGGCGTACTTGAGTAGCTTGTTAAGTCGGCAAGTGTTAATTGCGATGATGACGTCATGAACGGAGGGGTTGATCTTTACCTGCGCCAAGCCTAGGAACGCGCAGACGCGTTTGAAGTCGCGTCCGTTTTACCTCAACATCATCCCGATATAATTCTGCAACATGTGTACTGCGGCTGGTCTGGCGCAACTCACTAGTCATTGGACTCTACTGATATGGTGGTTCCGACGAAGATGACCGCATTGAAGATCATGCCGTGATGGCTTGCAACCTTTTCTGGTACTAAGCTTACGCTGAGACCAAAAGGAAAATGCATTGAGTCGCGGGGCTGACGTTATCTAAAGAGTTCACAGTCATGCTGTTTCATCACATCCTTAATCAAGAATATGGGTCGTGGATACTGGAACATATCGACTTCATCTAGTACAGGGCAAACGCGTACCTCTAGCTAGCAAAGAGTCAAACTGAGATGGGCGAAGCTACCGCAGGTGATTGTTAAGGAGGGTCAATACACACCAGTATAACAAAAAGGCTCCGCTCCGATTCTGGCATTTGGTTCTATTGGAAGACATGCTGCTTCACCATGTCTCATGAGGTAATCCGACCCATGATTATCTTTACAATGGAGCAGTAGTTGGTTAGAGGTTCTTCGGTCAGGATGGAAGTCCCTATCTAGGTAGCATATGCTTCCGAGACAGAATCCTTGGACGCACAAGAAGAGACTATGTCTGCAAAAACGTCATTGTCAACCTAATTTCGCTCGAAATGCAAGCTACTTCGAGATTTTAGTGGAGAGTAGTCCAGTGCATCGCACAGAAGCTGCTAGGGACTGGCTGATCTTATCCTCTATTCCATCTTGAAATACTGCCTGGGTGCATACTCGGCGAACAGATAACACGGATTTTCCAAGATGGCGCCCTAGGGGTCAGGAGAAGCTACCCGCACAATCGGGCCTTTTATCTCGTAGCTACCCCGCATGTCGTCACATAAGCAGGGTACTCTCAGAAAGCCATCGAACTTTTCCAAAAGTCTTAAAGTATATCCATTCTGCGCGCCAGTTCAACCATACCTATTATCAATCATCCAACTTTCACAATGTCTAAGCCAAGCATTCTCTTCGTCCTCACCTCGCACAACAAGCTCGGCGACACAGGCAAGCCCACTGGCTGGTACTTGCCAGAGCTCGCCCACCCCTACCACGTCCTACGCAACAAAGCCAACATCACCGTCGCATCTCCCAAGGGCGGTGAGGCTCCCCTCGACCCTGCATCCGTTGAAGCCGCGAAAGACGATGTATCTGTCAACTTCCTCAAGAACGACGAGCAGGTCTGGAAGAATACCCAGAAGTTGAGCGACTTCAAGGGAAAGGCGAAGGAGTTTGATGCCATCTTCTACGTTGGTGGTCATGGACCTATGTTCGATCTTGTCGACGACGCGACGTCACAACAACTTATCAGGGAGTTTTGGGAGGCGGACAAGATCGTGTCGGCCGTATGCCATGCACCCGCTGTCTTCTACGACGCTAAACTGAGCGACGGAAGTCTGCTTGTTGCTGGAAAGGAGGTTACCGCATTCACAAACGCTGAGGAGGAGCAAGTGGGCTTGACTAAGGCTGTACCATTCTTGCCTGAAGATGCGCTGCAGAAGGCGAGCGGAGGCAAGTTCGTCAAGGCAGCGGAGCCCTGGGGCGAGAAGGTCGCCGTTTCTGGCCGATTGATCACCGGACAAAACCCGACGAGTGCGACAGCGGTCGGAGAGGCGATCGCAAAAGCATTGGGCATTTAAGGATATCAACAAGAAAACAAGGCATAATAAATACAGCTCAAGCTTCATGATGAGAGACAAGACATAATTTTTCTTGAGACATAAACGCTTTTCGTTCACAATAGGCATTATATACATTCATGGAGCATGATTCCTAGAATTTTCACCCCCAATTCAACCTCCCTACACTAGCTGCTTTATACATACTTGGTCACGATATCGGTGACGGTCTCGTAAACGGTGGCTGGTGGACAGGCAGCAGCAACGGCTGAGTACTCTGGTGCCTTAGTGGTAGCGGGAGCGTGCGACTCTTCAACCGGCAGGTAGGTAGTCTCGTAAGGCTTGTCGGCGGTCATGACAGTGCTTGAAACAGGCATTGTAAAGTTGTTGTACGGAGCGGTTGCGTTGTAGTGCTTGTGGGGGATGGTGACAGGGACGTATGATGAGATCATAGTAGATGGCTTGACCGCGCCTTTGGTGACAGTGACCGGTACCTCCATGGTGCTTGTTTTAGTTGATGTGACCACAGTCGTAGAGGTCTCGGGGATAGCTTTGGATGAGGGAGCTGGAGCGACCGAGCTGGAGGGCATAGCAGACGATGAATCTTTGACCAGGAGAGGTGTGAGCTTGCTCACAACCCAGCTTGACGCCTCCTCGGTGTAAAGCTCAAAGTAGTTCAAATGCTGGGCAATGACATCTCCATTGGCGCAGACTGGGTCGCCAGCAGCGCAGTATGACCTCAAGACAGCGGAGTAGCGGTTCAGGCGCTCAAGGTTGGCGCCGGTACGGGGCCAAGCCTGCTTGTCTGCTCCATCAAGAACATTGTAAGGCTGGTTCGCAGTGTGCTTAACATCGCCCCAGAGAAGAGCTGCCTTGACAGCCTGGCCAGCCTGTGAGGCAGGGTCGAGCCCGAGAGTTTGTGAGTCGACGTTGCATGCATCCTCGCCTCCACCACTCAAAAGAGCTCCGGAAACCATAGCACCTTGCGAGTAACCGTTGATTACGATCAATGTGTCCGGGCACTGGGCGTTGTACTCGGTAATTTGCCTAATGCCGTTGACGGCACCTTCTTGGATTGTAGGGCAAAACTCCACACCGAGGGTAGCATCGAAGACGATATCCATATAATCGCAGGAGTTGCCCTGGGCCTGAAATTTCCCGCAAGTGGCATCGATGAAAGGCGAAGTACGGCCATCGTGGTACGGAGCGTCATTACCGCGAGCCATGAAAATTGCTACATCATTACAGGCGGCAGCGACCTTTGGAGGTGTAGTGCCTTGAGCACGGGTAGCTAATGGGAGAGCTGCAAGAACAGCAGTGGCAAGACTTTGCTTCATGGTGGTCGTTGCGGGCATGTTGAGATTCGTGAATAAGGTGTTGACTGTTCGTAGCTCCGAAACGTCGATGGCGTGGTGTATGAGAAAACAATAGATGGAATAGCCAGTATCGTGAGGATATTAAGTATTATAAGAACGGTATAGCATTAACTATACCCCTCTGATCTTATGAGTGAAGTGAGTGTTGATGGCCGAGCGAACGAACAAGTGCTACACAGATGGCAGAGCGTAACAAAAAAAAAGAAGTCAAAAGGCAAATAAGAACACGCAACAAGATAAGTCAAACTGCCAGTGGAGCCCCCCGTATTCAGAAGCTCTTTCCGATCCTATCTGAACACGTCTGTGGGTGAAGGACTACAATTGTGCAGAGACGCATGCTTGCAAGCGCATGCTCTTTTGACAAACCGTGCGAACGCTCTGCAGCCCTAGCGACTGGGACTATTGTATATCCACAGATCTCGTGTTTATTCTAGGTTAGCAGTGTACCACTAGTACAGGAGAGGCAATACATCTTGCTTGCTATGACTCGTGCGGCATAGTTAGCATTACAACCACCGGCATTATCTCGTATCAGGCGAGAAGGATAGGATAAGGCTACCCGACTGATGATACCATATGTGCTGCAGACACCATTCCGTGTGGATAGCAATCAAGTTTCGAAAGTCGCATGTCATTCATGCCCCTCTCACACGGAATAAATGTTGTTGGGGACATGAAAATTTGCGTAGCCCAATTTTGAGAAACCACGTTGTGTTAGCCTTTTGCAGTGGTCAGACCACTGTTCGCAGTGCATGTACTTAGAAGGGTCCAACCCACACTACGGTGATCTGAGGCCCTGGCCTTTCCTCAGTCGCGCGCTATCGTGCTCCTGAACCAGGAATCGCTTTTACGTCTCCATTCTGTCCCTGAACCGCAAAATTGGGTAGATCAACCCCAGGTTATTTGATCGACGACAGGTAGCGATGTCTACAGATATCGGACTGCGCACTCTTCTGGATCTTTGGGATGTGCAGCGATGGCTGTGTTCACAGAATCGCTGTCTTGAGTCGGCGAGTTGTGAACAACGAAGAGTACATTCATTTTTGCTCGGCGTCGGACCGGCCTGGCAAGATGGCTTCCGAAGCCACAGAACTTGTTGACCATGCTTACTGTGGGCTGCAGCACATGTGGCAGAGGTGGAGAACGCAAAAGTATTTTGGGACGCTTGAGCCTTCGCTGTGGATCGAGATTTTCTAGAATTCTGCGATGGAAGTGACTCGTGAATTGTCTAGCGCCCGGTAGCTCAAGCGATCTCATGACTTACCGAACGATGACGAGATGTGACAGGGATGAAGTTTTGTAGTGTTGCGCGATCTGCATAGTCGATTCGCCGTCGATGTGGCGGTGTTGCGGTTATGAAGCGATTGTACACAGGTGGTGTACGACGTCACGTAAATGCTAAGGCTGATTGTACAAGCTGCTCGGGAACCTCGGTTGCTACTAGTGCCTGTGAGCACCATTGCTGAAGAAGACACCTGTTGAGTCGACAACAGTAATGACAATGTTGACGATTAGCTAGTACTACCACCAAAGATTGTATCCGCATAGCTGTGGCTGGTAGGTACTTCACAAGCTTACTGTCTGCCCATTCAGATGACACGGCTCTGCAAGCGACTTCTAAAGTTGATAGAAATATGTTCCAACACACACCAGTCAATTTCCTATCATTACGATGAAATAACTCATGAGTCGTGATCATGTTCTCTCAGAATGTCGTGTCTCGCTTCAAACCATACTGAACAGCATCGCGAGCAAGCCAATCATACCAGCAAATGACCCCGACATAGCAACCGCAGCAGCACCTGTCGTCGGAGTGGCACTGGTAGACGACCCAGCCACATTGGTCAACGTTTCAGAGGTAGATCTAGAGGTGGTGGTAGAATCAGGTGAGGCACTCGCGGTGCTGTCCTCGCTAGACACAGTCGACAAAGACGGCGCAATATCAGCTACAAAAACATCAGCACGTCGTCTCCCCGGACCACGCAAGCTCATGCCATACGTACCGTCTCCAATGTCTCTAACTAGCGTAAATGGCTCCTGCCCTAGACTTGTCGCCCAACAACCCAGGTAGCTTACACCCCCACTAGCACCAACGGTCGGCACCACGACTGCAGTGTTACAATATCCCTGGTCGCAGAATAAACTTGTCTGTGGTGAGAAGAGAGTTGCAGCACTACAAGATGACCAGAAGATGCAGTCCGAACTGCCTGGCGCGCAACATTGGGCGTACGATCCAGAGGTCGAGTAGGTGGCTGGGTAATCGCAAGAGCGGAGATCAGACCCTATGTTGAAGCGCAATTAGCGATAATGTGCTGATAGAGGCGAAGCATGGTGTAGTATGGATGTTGGATTAGTGGCGCGGCTTACATTGTCCATTCGTCGCGTCCACCCAGCCAAGCAGCGCAGGATCATCTCCGGATGATGTCTGCCGGGGTGCAAGTTCAGCCCGTGGGGTGATAAGTGGATCTGGCACGGCAGTAACCGTTACAGCAGTGGAACTGATAGCCACTGCGACGATTGACTTCATCTTGGATGCTTGCTGGATTGCTGATTTTCCGACAAAGTGACAAGAAGCGCGTCGCTTGTGGAGCCGAGGACGCTGCGCCGTGCGAGAGGAAAGCGCGTTGGATTTAACGATCGGGACCTGCGTTATGCCGCGGTACATTAAAGCAACCCGATGATGATTAGCCAATTGAATGATGTGTGGCGTTCAGGAAGCGAGATGAAGATGCCTAGAATGGGACAAGCAAGTGATAAGAATAAGTAAGACAAACCAGACGAAATAATGGCGTCTCTATTGCTGAATACGGAAGGCAGAAGACTATTGAGAAGACCGGAACAATATACAAATACATAAGCATGATCTAGCAGGATGTTTTCGAATCCAGTGAGAACGAGCGGCTATTGTTGCGGGCGTGGAAAATTAAGGCATGCCACCGACCTGTACGAGTAGCACAGAGCGTCATCTCCGGACATCCTCCTCATCAGTCTTGTTTCTCCGTTACAACAGGTACGTCTTGATGACTATCGGATCCACTCGCAGCACCCGACGCTGTTGATCCAGGAGTCCTAGGCCCATATCCGGTCAAGACCATCATGTCGTCGTCCGCATCACTAAAATATTTGTAGTCGAGTCCCCTCAGCTCGTCGTCCTCGGTCGCGCGAATATGACAACCAGGGATTTTGTTGATAATGAACAGCAGGATGGCCGAAATGACGAATGACCATGCTGCGCATGTAGTCGCAGCAGCCAGCTGGTATCCCATTTGTTTCCAGTTCCGGGCCCACCAGCCACCCTCGTAGAAATTGCTTACGCCGTCCATGGCGGGTACGTAGGGCGCAGCGAAGAAACCAGTCATGATGTCGCCGATGTAGCCGCCAACACCATGTATGGCGAAGATGTCTAGGCCCTCATCAATGCCGAGGAGGTACTTGTATCGGACTGTGAAGAACGATCCGCAAGCAGTGAGAGCACCGATCAGCGCCGATGTCTGGACAGGAACAAATCCGCAGGCCGGCGTGATACCGACAAGGCCGGAGATGATGCCTGAGCAAAAGCCGATAATCGAGAACTTGCGGGTGAATACATACTCCAGTAAGACCCATGCCATACCGCCGCCACAGGCCGCGAGGTTGGTGTTGCAGACGATGTAAACAGAACGAATAGTGATATTAGCACCAGAGGCACCTACAGATAGTCAGTTTGTCTCTTCAAAATCCAAACATACACTCGCTACTGACCATTGAACGCAAACCATCCGAACCAGATCAATATCGTGCCGAGCCCAACAAGAAAAGGGCTGTGAGGCTTGAAGTGCGGAATCCTGGGATGATGCGACTCCTTGTGCGGATCGACACGCTTGCCCAACATCAACGCCCATGCTAAAGCAGAAAATCCAGACGCAATATGCACAGGACCAGAACCCGCAAAATCGAGGACTCCGAGCTTGTAAAGCCAACCACTAGGATTCCATTCCGCATATGCGAGCACGTAGTACACGAAAGTGGTCCAGCAGAGCAAGAATATCATCGACGGCCCTAGACGCCCTCGCTCAAGCATCGCTCCTGCCAAGATCATTGCGGTGCAGGTGACAAACGTGAAACCAAAAGCGGCATAAAGGATGTCTGGAATATCCGCATTCGCGAGCGAAGGTGAGCCAAGAGTGTTGTGTAAACCTGCTTTGGACAAATCTCCTATGAAAGGACCCGTGGTATGTGACTGGTAGAGGGAGTAACCGTACACCCAGAATTGGATGCCTACCGCGCATGCGCAGAAAAGGGATTGAAAGATCATGGTAAGCGCTGCTTTCCGGCGGTGCATTCCTGCGTAAAGGAAACCGATCGCAGGTGTGATTTGCCTACTCACAATTAGTATTTTCCAGTAGATGTGAAAAGTAAGTAGCGTACCAACATAGTACCGTGCTAACCAGCATCCAGCACAGGTCGCCCTTGTCGTAGAGCGCGTTGAGGTCAGTGGTCATAACATTTCCACCGTTAGGGTCGACAGCATAATCCGGCCATTCAGTGATTGGGGTTGGTGCTGGCACATCCGCCATGTTAGCAGCAGGTTGCTTGCGCTCGACTGAGCAAAACACTAAAAGCTGTGTACCTGGAGCAATTTGCAGAACCAAACCCCCGGGGAATTACCATGTTTATATCTAGGCCTTCCTTTTCCACCCGTATCTCGGTCGCACGAGCGCACCATATCTTTCCCAGGATATCATGATATGCAGCGCGTCGTATGCATCCAATCAGCACTCCACTAGCGGAACCGTAGTCATGGGAAGGAACGAATGTCTTTGACTGGCATAGTTAGAGGCACCTAACGTTCCTTATCGTTCCACTTCCCCAGGACACTAGGAGGAGGAGTGGATACAGCCAAGAAGGCGGAAGGCGGAAGCCATGTGTATCGCTTGGCAAAAGATAACGGGACGTGGGGTACTTCGCATGTGGGACCCATCCGCATCTCCTTCAGTCGCAAATACTCACCACATCAATGGAGACTCCTTGAAACAAGGTCCCAGCACCTGCGCATACCCGTGGACAACGTCTCCTTGTCCATGGATCCACTGTCTACCCATTTGCGGGCGGGCGGGCCCTTGCATATAAGTTCGATATTGTCGGCGTTATCGGCGTCAATCCTGTACTGATAGGCATGCATGTTAAGCTTCAAATGGGTGAAGACATGGACCAATGGCGGAAAACTCGCAACATAACGCGCTTTGCTCATATCAATTGTGCCGGCGTCGAGAGCTGAGATATACTGCTGCGCCAATGTCTTGCGCTGCTGGGGCGTCTTTTGTGATGCAGTCAGCGGGCTCTGCGGGAATTGCCTGTGCCACAGTCAGCGAACGCCCCCTGCACTACCAAGATAAGAGAAACCGAGGATTGGGCCTATCATGAAACATGACACGAAGCTGCACGGTAATGTGCGTTGGGAAGTACCCGAGAAGCTACCCGGTAATGTCTCCATGATAGCATGTGTTTATTACGTACCATAGTGATGCGAGGAGACCTTCACAAATTCGTCAGCAGTGCTTTAGCATGGTGGTGCACAACGTACCTTTGGCGGGCCTTTGCTCTATAAACCATTTATTGCTGCCATCCGCTGAGCGTAACTCTACCATGCACACTACACAATCTTCTTCGGCGGACTTCTTCTTCGCCACCTTTTTCGGGAAGAGCGAGCAGTATGTCGGGATCGATTTTGACTCCCTGGTAGGTAGCGATAGCTTCCGCTTCTTCAAATCCTCAGCAGGTGGACTGCCACGATCCTCTTCATCGTCTTCGGTGTCCACATTTGACTTGGGTGTGCCAACAGCAAAGTACTGCGAGATTTTGTTGCTTTGTTTTGCAGCCACTTTTCTTTTCTTGGTCGCTTGTGGCGGCTCATCATCTGCTGCATCTTCAGCAATTGCAACCAAATCTTCGGTGTCCATAGACGCGCATAGAGCACATGCATCCTCGATGTCAGGTACTACAGCCGGTGACTGAAACTTGTCAGATAACGCCTTGCCTTCGCTATAGGCCCTGCATGTCGCCTGAATAGGACACTCATCGCACTTGGGTCGCGGCGTACAGACAGTGGAACCCAGCTCCATGAGCGCTTGATTCCATAACCCTGGTACGGCACTTGTGCGCGTTTCCGGAAAGTTAGAGGCATGTTTGATGAGTTGATCCGCCATATCCCACATTACGTCGGTAGCTTTCTTGTCCTTGACGTCCATGTACAAGCCCAGCTGTCGACTAAGCACGCGCATCACATTGCCATCGAGGACGGCTTCTGCCTCGCCAAATGCGATACTCGACACTGCGCCCGCAGTGTATCGTCCAATGCCGGGGAATTCTTGTAGCTCTGTGGCACCGCTCGGAAGAGCACAAGAAGCACCGGCAGATTTGGCGATCATGGCTATCGCACCTTCATGAAGGCGTGTGGCACGTGAGTAGTAACCAAGCCCCTTCCACACAGAGAGGACATCGTCATGGTCTGCCTCGGCAAGATCCTGAACCGTAGGCCATTTTGCGATCCAATTATTGAAGTAAGGAATAACCGTCGAAACGCGAGTCTGTTGGAGCACTAAAATCAAGTCAGTCGAAATCCTACCCAATCCGAAGCTGGCTAGACGTGTGGAATAGTGATGAGAAAGAGCCGGCAACAGTTCCCGAAGAACACGTGACAGCGCGTTTACGCGTTCTTGATGGCCCAATGTTTGCAACCACCCACGTTTGGAACGCGTACTTACTAACTTCAGACACCCAAACCTCATACGCCCTCTTTGATAAGACGCGTCCAAGTTCTTCTTCGTCTTCGTACTCGTCCGGGTCAATCCACTTCTTCCTCCATGGCATGCTACGTGTCTCCGCGACGCCACTAAACCAACTCAATAGCGCTTCGCATCCAGACTGGCCGCTGAGAAGTAGGGGATAGTGGTATGACGTATCGTGCACGCGCGATGGCGGTAGCGCTGCTACCAGAGAAGCTGACGGGGCAGTGATGCTAGTTTGGCTATGTTTCGGAGTCTTGCTGGACTTGGCTGCTATAGCGGTCTTTTTGCGTGGAGCCATAGCGCGTCGAATGTGCGTAAAGATGGTATTTGTGTCAACCAAGAAATCTGAAAACAATTGATGTCGTTGGCTGTAGTGTGTCTGGTCGGATCCAAGGGGAAAGGATCAGTGGACGTGCGATCGCGCTAAGCATTGCTAGTGTCGCGATCGAACTCGCAGCTCCTTGTCCAGAATAAGGAGAATCACCGTAAAACGCCGGTTCACACTCGATGTTGTCTATTGGAGAAAGCGAATAGTTAAACGACGATGTGTACATGCAGGCGGAGAAATGTTCGTCGTACGTGTCAAACCTTGACATTCAAGAAACTGAGCTGATTCTGTTTTTAGAGTTGAATAATCCCATTGAACCAACGTTGGGCATCGCGCGCAGTTAGGATACGTTTCCAGTTTATGACAAGCGCAAAAAGTGAACGCGATCAGTGAGTGATATTTGGTTCTACCACAATGCCATGCCGTCCAGCCAACGCCGAAGAAAATGCGGTCCGAGAAAGCGATTGAAGCTATCTACTCCGTTCCCAAACGGCAAATGGTGCCATATAAACCTAGTTAAACATCCATAATATCCAATCCAAATCAATATGGGGTATAGGAACAAAGAACAGTAACAACGACGAACGTACGTGCTCGCTAAATCCAGAAGCCTTTCGAAAATATGCCCACAGGGTCTAACCCAAGTGTATGTGTAATGCTCGTCTCAGAAAGACGCTATGCCATCGGTCTAATAGAAGGATGAATGTACTTCGCTAAGCGCGCGAGGGTTGTTCATGTTGCAACCAGATATCGCCACCTTCACCCTTCTCCCACTTCTTCCATGCTATCTCATAAGCGTCTTCCAGGTCTCTGACCCATCGTTTGGTGTCGAAAAGTGGACTTGTCCATCGTGATTCGTAAAGCATACGGCGAAGCTCACTCAGACGGCCCTGGGCTCGGTGCCCATTGTAGGTGCAATTACGCGCAAGGCGAACAGCCATGGCTTCGTATTCATCGTCGTTGATGGCAATGAGTTCTTTTGCCGCTTGCGCACCCGCGGGCGTCTTCGGTAGCGCACCCTTAAGAATCGAGGCTGCCATACGGGAGCACATTTTGTATTTATAACGGGGTAATGTAAGCAGCGGTGTTCCAGACCAGAGAACGTCGGCAGCAGTCGTGTGTGCATTGCACTCTGGTGTGTCGAGGAAGAGATCACACACACGGGCCCTGGAGATATGCTGATGTTTCTGCGCGACGTCGGTGAACATGATGCGACTTGCCACCTCTGCACCTGCCCAGAGAAGAGCTGTCTGTTTGAGGTTCGTTTCGCCAAGGTCGGGAAATCGCAAGAGCCACAGGACTGCATTAGGTATCTTTTCGAGAATGCGTAACCAGGTACGGAACGTAGTAGGCTCAATCTAATGGTAATGTTAGAATACGACCGACTTGCTAATTATGGCATGAATAAACTTACCTTGTACAGCTGATTGAAGTTTGCAAGAATGATCGCATTGTCCGAGAGGTTCGGAAAGATTTCTTTGCGCATGGCCCATCGTCGTTGCTGCTCTTCCTCCCAGTTGGGCTGTCGTCCTTGAGAATCCGGAGCACTCTGTCGATGGTCACAACAGAAAAAGGTGTCTCGGCAGAAGACAATGTTCTCTCCATAGATCCATTCCTCATCACTTCCACCACTGTTGTCATCTACGAGAGCATCTTCGAGATCGACGTTACGGCGCCACTGTCGGAGGGTATCCGGGGGTACAGCGGTGTCGTCGGCGAGTAGATAGTCGCACCACTCGGCGCCTAGAGTGCCTGCAAAACCCATGAAAGCCATCTGGATGGGCGCAGGACGGGTAGCAAAAACTTCATTTCGTGCGCCTCTAGTGTAACCATTCAGATTCACAAGGACATGTATACCGTCGTGAGTTATCTGATGGACAAGTCGTTCCGCTGACCAACTGCTGGCATCGTAGAACACCGGAGATTCTCTTTCAATCTGTTTGCGATGCTCCGATCCATCACTCGCTGTAGTAGCGTAACAGTATGCCTTTACTCTGCTTGGATTGTGAAGACCAAATACCGACTGCATTAGGTGGGCTAATGGGTGATTGTTGAAATCTGACGATACGTAGCCAACCTTCAAATATGGTTGTGGTGGCGCAGGAGGCTGGTAGACGGTTGGCGGCAGCCAAGGGACCCTTAACGTCGAGGTCGAGATGCGTAGTCCGTTGCGTTGCGAGATGAGACGAATCTGTTTAGCTGACATAGGGCACGTAAATGTGTGGAAAGGAAGGACGGTAGGTGCTGCGGGTACCGTCAGAGCTGCTGGCAGTTGGGGCCTCTTGTAAGACATCGGCGGTCGCTGCGTCCCAGTAATGTAGCGGTCCTGGTACCATTGCCAAGTCATCCATCGTATAGCACGCTCGACAAGTCGCACGATGCGAGCGCCTTCCCACTTTTGTCCTTTCCACTTATGCAAGACAGACACCATGCTGGTTTCCTTCTCTTTTACATCTTGCACGCTTCCTGTGAGGGACAATGGACGAACAACATCATGAATGAACTGTTCATTCATCATGCCTCGACCCCAATCTTCACCATCGGCAAGTTGCTTCTCGACCAATTTAACAACCTTATGAATCCAACCGGAGCTTGATGCACCAGGGATCCTTGCGTCCAAAAGCATGCCGCTATCGTTCACGTGCCAACGATCTCTCGAGCCACCATCTTCAGCAATGCCCCCTCTACCAGCCCAGTTACAGACAGAGTTGAGGGCGTTGGCAAGCCCACAAACAGCTTCAGCGAAGTCAGGACTGGATTTAACGGCTTTCTTGTAGTAATAGATAGCATCGGCGATCCGACCCTTGTCTTTAACAGCGTTGGCGAGGTTGGCAAGAGCGATGTCGAAGTTGGAATCGCACTTAACGGCGTGTTCGTACATGTTTATCGCGTAGTCTAGCTGTCCAATATCTTTCAAGAGGCTTCCGAGGTTCGTGTAGAGGTGTGCATGGGACTGGTCCAGTTGAAGTCCGTAGTAATAGTAGGCAAGCGCAAGAGCTACTCCACTGCCGGGGACGAGTCCAGGAATTTGAGGATGTGCGAACGCATGCGACATTGGACTGGCCTTGGAAGGCGCGGACTGCTGTACGCTAGCGAGGAGTATGCCTACGTTGTTGGCCGTCGACGGGCTAGGCTGCAATGAGAGCGATAGGTAGTAAAGTGCTAGGATTTCTCGCACACCGTAATTGCTTTGGTACACGGTAGTCTTGGGTGAATTGGTTGCCATACCATCTTGGAAGATCTTCGCTAATGACAGCAAAGAGTTGCTTGTGGTCGATATAGCCGCTTTTCTAGAGAGTCCTTCACTAGGAACGTGCTTGAGACCAGGCAGTTGGCCGTGCGGCTGGAAGCAAAGCTGAGCCGTCCTAGTAGCCGCATCTGGCGGTAACAAGATCGGATCAGATGATGGAGACATACGACGGCCTCCTGGAGAGCGTTCCGACACATCGTACCCAACAACAGCAAGAATGCGCCTGATGAGGCCATCGATACCGTTAGGATGGGGTCCAGCTCCAATGAGAACTGCGTTCTCAAAAGCTCTGGCAGCACCGGCATTGTCACCAAGAGCGTAAAGCATATTGCCCTTGGCATGTACCAGAGCTAGAACACGACCGTTGTCGCTACCAGCAACAGCATATCCGCTTGAGCCGAAGCCCGGCTGGTCCGAGCCAGGAAGCTCATCCAGATCCTTGAAGATGGCCTCATCCTCTCCTTCAAACTCAAAGATGGGCCGATCTGATGCTTCCGAGACGCTCGACTCGCTCAATTCGGAGGCAGCCCGTTCGTTTTCGGCTTCGAGGCTCTTCAAAGCGTCAGCTCTTTTGGCGAATCTCAGTTGACGTTCGACTTCTTCGATGACCTGAACCGCTTCACGACCTTTATGGTCGCTGCAAAGTAGGCCAATCAGGTGTTCAACTGCCTCAAAGTAACTGGGTCGAAGTTTGACTGCGCGTCTCCAGTAGTCTTCAGCTTCGCGCTTCTGTTGGAGAGCAAGCATAGTGGCCGCAAGATTCGATATTGCTTCGACATGACTAAGTCGTGTTAGTGTGTTTCGGGTTCAGAACGTAGTACACTCACTCTTTATCCAACGTAAGGATATGTTTGTACCAATCCTGGGCTTTTTGGTAGTCACCTAGTGCATATGCTAGACAACCGCCAAGAAGAATGCCATCTATCCAGCTCCATTTACTTTCTTCGCAATGCTTGGTGATCGCTTCGAGTGCTGAGGCAGCCGTCATGCTCGGAGGCAAACCCTGGCGGAGGTTTTGATGAGCACTGGCAACAGAGCCGGAAGTTCGCCGTAGGGTACGTGGTGGCTCCATGCCTGGCATCGGGGGGAGCATGGGGTGTTGTGGCGCCATGCCTTGCCAAGATTGACCATTGGGATCCGCACTGCCTATTGACCACGCAGACAGAGAGCGCGAATGCGGCATTGCAGGTCTCCTGGATGCAAACTCTGTTCTAGATTGGGAAGCATATTGGGTAGGAACAGGATACGAGACACGTCGCTCTAGAGACGGCATGCTACCAGTAGCAGAACTCGAAAGGCTGAGTCCAGGTTGTCGTGGTGGCTTCGGATAGATGTGGGGTCTGTGATTGACGCGACCATGGGCATTTTGTGAATTTGATTTGCGTGTTGATTGCAGGTACCTGAGTAGGTCGACATATACTGCGTGAGCCCAAGCGAATACTTTCTCTCTGCTTTGGCCATTTGGTGACTGCAGCCCGTACTCGTCGTTCGGTATAGCCGGGGTAAACTCTTGGACTGGCGTTGTCTGGCCAGAGTTCAGATAGTCCTGGGCACGTTGTGTAAGTGGAGGAGGAAGCGACTGATTCTGGTAGTCTAGCGCGACATGATTTTGAGGCTGTCCATAGGGTGAGAAGTCTACTGATGGCCTCCCTGCATGGTTGTACGCGGATTGGCCATAATCTAAGTGAATGGGGTTTTGCTGATAGTGAGTATAGTGGGGCATGGCATTGTATGCGTGGCTATTGTAGGCGTTACTGTGAGGGTGACTCCAGTTATGACTGGGATGTTGTAAGAAGCGAGGATCCCGCATAGCAGCAGGGCGATAGGGAATGTAAGTGCCGTCGTGCCAGTAAGGTCCGAACGGCCCTTGGTCATTAGAAACAGTTGGATTCAGCGGCGTCTGAAAGGGTGGGCCCATGGGTCCGCAGAAGGGATGGCCGTACATTTGATAGGGTAGAAGAGGTTGCAATGGAGGAATTTGGTTGAGCATAGAATCAATCTGGGGCAGTTGCTGGCCCGGGAGCCCTGTACCGGTCTCGAAGTAGCGACTGGGACTCCATTCTGACGTGTCCTGTGGGTTATGTCCTAGGCCACTGTTGATACCCGGTGAGCGCAGAGGAAGGTCCTGCTTGACACCGTACGGTAACTTTGATTCAGCTGTCACGGGAAGAAGGATGTGTTTGGTTGCATGTGGCTCTCCGTTCTTCTCAACAGATGTGCCATCGTACGCAGCTGCCAAGATTCCGTTAGGCGTCTTACGGCGAAGCATGTGCTCTGCAGGTTTAGGTGTGCGGCCAGCTTCGGAAGGCTGCGAGCCATATGAGTTATGTCTCGATAGCGGATGGGCGTACTGCTGCGGTCTTGCGTGCTGGGCAAGGCTATGCCCCTCGAGGTTGGTGGCATTGCGAAGGAACGAGGGGTGAGATGAGGCAGGTGCGATGTTGTTGTAGGCCACGGTCGAGGGAAGCTGCGACGGCGGTTGCGGGGGGTACTGCCGAACCATAGTCATGGTGGGGGAGCCGCTAGAGGGACTCTGGGGCGATGACAGTGTATCAGAGAAATCGGGGGTGTAATGTTCAGAGGTGGTAGGGTAGGATTGGTCTACGACACAGCCTCACCAGGAGCGACTGGTGCCGATGCCTTCGCGAAATCGTCGCCCGTCTGCTACGACTGACATGTCTTTTGGGGCGTAACTAAGACTCCTCAGCACCGGGCGTCCCCGTGCTGGCACGTCACCAGCAGAGACCCCGGCAGTGGTTGGAAATACGGTGGTCGCAGATGCTGTCCGCTCGTGTAAAGGCTTCGCGGAGCAGCAAAGGGGCGTCTGTGTATGGCGTCGGCAATGGCGGGTGTTTTACGGGATTAGATAGGTGAAGAGTGTGGCGGTCGCCTCAGGCGTCAGTCAGCGTGTGATGGATGAGGATGTGCGAGGACAGCAGTGTCCGGTGTCTATGCAAGGGCGGGTCCCTAGACGTGTCTGTCTGGAATGTACCCACTCGCATGCACCAGAGCCGCCTGTCTGGCTGCGCACTCGCTGGCGGCTGCTTTGCGCGATCGTAGGTCGTATGTAGGACGCGGTTTGGGCGTCGTGTCGCGGAACGGGAGTCGTCTGCGCGGAGGGCGCACAACAGCGGGTTTCGAGCACAGGATAAGCGTGGTACGGGCTGCGACCTGGGGCGCAGCAGCGGTCCGTCACGTCGTTTCTGTCTGGCTGCGTGTCTGCAGCTATCCAGCGCCCGAGTCGGAGGGCGAGAATGTCAGCGCTCAGCACAGGCGGCGATGCCTGCTTTTTCACACTGTCGGCGGATAGGCGGGCGCGAGAGATGACGAGGTGTGGTGCGGCGGAGACCAAGCAGCGGCAGGCCTATCCACTTCCGTATGCACTCAGTCGTTCGAGTGGTGGCTTGGAGCGATCCCTGCCGCAGCACGACAGGCGTCTGGGGGTTTCCGGTGATGATCGATGATCGAGCTTGATGGCCGGGCCTCACGATATGTGTCTCCGGACAGATGTCTAGATGGCGCGCAATATACCGATCTCTCCCACACCGACTCGTTGAAAAGAAAAGTCGGTCCTGATGCTCTCCGCACTGCGCGTCCACAACTCCACTTGGGCGGGCTGCAGAGCCATCAAGCCGCGAGAGACGGCGGCTTGCAAGGGCCCTAGTCCATTCCAACGTTCACGGCGATCTCCAACGCCAATCAGCCCTCTAATCGACCAGCGCGTCCATCAATGCAGGTGCCGCAATATCCACCACCATGCATCAATGACCCAACAGCCCGCCGTGCCTTCTGCTTGAGCTTAGGGCATAGAAGATGAGGCGCCCTGGACGCCCCTTGTGTTTAGGCAAGACTACCGCTGCGTACGGCTGGCTGTTCGTCATGGCTGACAGAAACGCCACACGCATGCTTATGTCGGCCTTCACATGTCGAATCACCAGCAGAGGAAGTCATCACTGATGCCGCGTTTCATGTGCCACACGCATGTCGATCCGCATAGTGTACCAAGAAACCGACTTAGGTCGGAAACGTAAGCTGCATAGTTGACAGCATGCTCATCAAGAGACATGTTTCCATGTACGTGTATGTTGACCTCGAAAAAGGACCACTGGAGCCAAACCAAAAGGCAAGACAACGCGGTGAGTAATGGGTCGTTTCCTCTTCTTCACACCAAAATAGGCCTATACAGTAAGGGAAGTAAGGGCCAGAGTGTTGGTGAAGTGAACATCACGAGCATAAAGAATCGCCGCCAGGCAGCGAGCTATCAAGCCGACTTGATATTGATATCCAAGTTTGCTTGTCAGGACTGTCCATCGATGCACTGCGTGCGCTCAAGCGACACAAGGCGCCACCGTTCCAAGCGAACTTTGACGCCATGTTGCAAAAGCTTGCCACTCAGGCGCGTAGCAGCCAAAGACGTAGATAAGATGCAGGTGCTCAGAAGTAGCTACGATTAGTTTGAGATAATCTAGGTCGCAGTTTTCGACATATACTGCGTCTCTAGTGTTCACCCAGTACAGGGGCGTAACGGCGACGTTGAATAATCGTGGCCATGAGCAGGGTGCGCATCAATGGGTGTAGTCGTGAAGGCGTCCAAGGGAGTAAGGTGCAAGTTGTCGTGTATGATAGTAAAGAAAGCAAAGGTCTGTAGCTCGCAGAGATTTTGTTGCATGGGAGGCTGCCAAGCCCCCGGCCCTACCATTCGCCGCGGCTGGGATGGTCGACTAACCGAAAGCAGTCGCGGTTTGATGTAATCTGGCATTATTACGAATGTCCCTCTTGTCAGTCACAGAACCCATATCTCTCCGTACGCCTTCCACCATAAGTGATTTTTCGCATAGTCACCGCTGCAACTTATCCCGCCCGCGGCCACGAGTTTCACCTTCACCATGGCCGAACAAGGTCCCCCACCACAGCAAGGTCCCCCTCAAGGCGGGCCACCACCAGGCTCTTTTTCTATTCCCATTCCCCTAGGACCCAATGGTGAAAGGCCCACGCCCGAGCAGATACAACAGATTCAAATGCAACTTCAAGCAGAGGCACAGAAACACGGAATATCAGTTCAAGAATACGTCCAAAGACTGAGACAACAAGCAATGGCTCAGCAGCAGGCCCAGCAGCAGGCGCAAATGCAGGCGCAACAGCGGGCTCAGCAGCAGCCTATCCAGCCTGGACCGCCAAAACCAGAAGCGATCGCGGTCGCCAACTGGCTCAAGTCGCAGGACCTGAAACCTCGGACGGTTGTACACGATGAGAAGAGGAAGGACATGTTCAGAGGTGGGCATTAGATACGACAACCTACTTCTAGGAGGATACCTGCTAATCTGTAACAGTCAAGCGAGCAATCCGCGCACTCCAGTCGCCTGCATACCAGAAAGCCCGTGCTAAGAACCCTCTCCTCCCCGAAGTCAACGACCGTGCCTCCGCCGAGAATTGCTTCAAGCTCCTACCCCTCTCTCTCCTTGCGCTTCGAGTCACAAAGGTCGACGAGAACGCGCACGAAGGTCACAACCATGCGAAGCCTAAGCGTGTCAAGGGCTTGTGGACAGTAAAGATCGAGCAGCACCAGGACGCAAACGATGACAACTACTACATCTGGCTATACGAAGGATCGCAATGGAAGCAGAAGCTGTACGCTGCTGGTGCCCTGCTTCTTGTCATCGCAATAGTCTTGTTCCCCCTTTGGCCGCTTTTCTTGCGACAGGGTGTCTGGTACCTGAGTATGGGCATGCTTGGCCTTATTGGGTTGTTCTTCGCCATGGCAATCGTTCGACTCATCATCTTTGTCATCACTATCTTCGCGGTGCCTCCTGGTTTATGGCTTTACCCTAACTTGTTCGAGGATGTTGGTTTCTTTGACTCATTCCGACCAGTATGGGCGTGGCAAGAGGTACGTTTTTTTTCCCTCCTCAATTTCTTTGAACTAAAAGCTGACAATCCCAGACCCCTGAAGATGTCAAGGCAAAGAAGGCTGCCAAGAAGGAGAAGAAGGCTGCCAAACTAGCAGCAAAGGCCGCAGGTGGAAAGCCTAAGAAGGGCGCCATCGATACTGCACCTGCTCAAGCCGCTCAAGCTGCTTCAGCGCCCGCTCCAGCGCCCGCTGCAGCCCCTGCTTCTGCGCCTGTCGACTCGGCACCACAGCCCACAGGTTCAGAAGCCGCGCTAGAGGGTGCTGTCACGCAGCGAGCACCGCGTGCGACAGTCGAGGAGGTGGAGGACGAGTAGGATACGTGCTCTTGAGCGGACTGAAGGTAGTTTGACACTTTGCATGGGTTAGCAGGACGGAGCATAGGCGTTCATGAGAGCGGTTCACATCCATCAACACATGTGCAAATACTAGACTGAGATGTCTAACATCGTACGAGCGTTTATGGATTCTGGGAATATATGGTACGAAGCGTTCTGGCGGATCCCGGGGTCACTGTGCATGATTTGGTGTAGCTACCATTGTTGCTACTTCTTTTCGAGCGCTTAACATTCTTCATGTTCGAACCAATAACTTCAGCATTTGCGAACTATTCGACACGTTCATGTCTCTCCATAATTTTGCATTCGTTCTTACTGAAGATACGTTCTGATGATAGGGTAAACCAAATCCTTGAGACCTAGGCTAGCCTGTACATGAGACAGCTTTGCCGCTTCCGCGGGCTCAGATGAAGAATGCATCGAGAACGTTGACACGCAATCAGTGCGGGGTACTAGTAATTTCGCAGAGTGATTGAAGTGGGGTCGTTGTTTGTCATGTTGCTGGTGGGAGGTGACACTTAATGTACATCAAACAGGCCGACTCGTGTCTTAGACATCTCGGGAGCCCATACCACGATTTCGATATATTGGCGCATCGCTTACGCCAAGGTGGAGAGCGAAGAAAATGGAATGAACGGATGGCAAGAAAGGGTCGGGGCAGATGCATGGATTTTCCCTGGCGCTGGGATCAGTCATCGGTTACATCATCCAGGTAGCAACACATCGGCCAGCCGTTCCGTGGAGCAACGTGAGAAGTAAGAAATATATTCTTCCGCACACAGAACAAGAAAAAGTGGAGAGGATACATCGCCATTCACAACCATGACGGCACCTGGAGAGTTGCTAGGAAGGAGCTCATGCTCACCACTCGTTACTTGGGATTACCTCAAACGCCGTTTAATTATGCAGCATCATTTTTTCCTACGCCAACACGCTTCATCAATGTCATGAGAGGAGGCACCTGAACCGAACGCCAGTGAAACACAGTCTAGCGAAAAGTCCTACTCTGTGGACGCAGGCGGCTGACCGCCCTCGCTACCCCGATCTGTGCTTTCGCGAGTCGAAGCAGGAGCAAGGCCGGAGTGGACGGTGGGCGAATGGGTGACTTGGCTGGTGGGGTTCTGATCTGCTAGCTGGCGCTCTGGGGTTGACAAGTTAGTAAACGTACTTGATGGTGATGTCGTGGTAGGTACGTACCAAGTTCTCTTATCCTTAGCTTTAGCATCTGGTTTTCCCGGGTCAGATTCTGGGTCTCGGCCTGGTAGAAGGCACTTTCGTCTCTTGAAGTCGCTGCTGGGCTAGGGAGCATATCATGGGAATCGTAGGGTCCAGCTTGGCCTGGTACAGGACGTAGAGCCGGAGAGCCGGCATGGCTGCTGTGGCGGGAACGGTCGGCAAAAGACGATTGACGACTGATGGTACCAAAGCCAAAGGGCGAACGAGACCGTGGTTGTGCAGCAGACGGCAAAGGCGAAGTGACAGGTGGAGAAATGTATGTAGAATGTGAGAGGGACGGGGGAATAGACATGGAGCGCTCCGAGGTTGGTGTGCCATCATCTACAGCAGAAGCAGAAGGTTGCGGCTGGTTGGCCTGGAGAGTGTTGATCTGGGCTTGCTGGCTGCGGATCATGTTGAGCAGGCGGTTCTAGCAATGTTAGTATAGAAGACATTCGTGCCGTCTACTATGACCAGAATTCATGTCGACCAACTTACCACCTGTCCTTCCTGCTCGTACTCTAGCTCTTGGTGGAGCTCGCCCAGGCTAGGAGTGCGCTCATGGTGCGGGCTATGCGGCCATGGGCCCCTGCTGCGGGAGGATGGACTCTGCTGCATTTCTCCAGGCGCTGGGATAGCTGGATCGTTCAAGTTGAGGTTCATGCGGATGCTCGATCGGCGACGGGCGCGCTCTACGTCCCTGCGCATACTGCCCGAAGAGGGTCGGCGCGTCTCTTCATTGTGGATGCCTGCGTTCATGGCGGCAGTGGCAGCGAGCGAGTGCGGTGAAGTAGCCATGGTGCGTGAGTTTGTCGGCGACTGGTTGCGGGGCGAGGGCGATGCATGAGGGGAAGCGGGCAGGGTATTCAAGTCGGGCGCCATGTTTCTTTCTCAGGTGGTGTGACGTGCCTATAGGTGTGTACTGGACAAGCAACGAAAGCGCGTGACCCTGCGCTGACTGATCTCACGATGGGCTACGATGAGGTTGGTGGGGTGAGCGGGGCTAGGGTAGCCATGACAGCACCAGAACAGCTCCAGCAGCCAGGGCTCACTTAGTTCGCCCTGCCTGGCGCTACTGCAGGAACACACCAAGCCCCCCCCCCAATCCTCCCCAGCGTCAGCCTCATTTCGCCTTTTTGTTTCTTCGATCCAGCCTCGTGCAGTGTCGCGCCGCAATAAGCTTCGCACTACTCGCACTATGCATGCCATCCTTGTGCAGCTGATGGGCAGAGTCGCTCCATAATCGATAGGCGTATGCACCTCGCCGCCTGCATCACACCTGAGACGATATCACCAATATGCAAAACAACAAGAGTTGTGTCTCTCCGCGCAAATCCCACCCCGGGTGCGTCTGCAGCAGTGTGACCCTCTGCTTTTTTGCGCCATCACCACGCGTTCTCAGCATCGCGTTTGAGCTGGCCGTGCCTTGGGTTCCGCAATAAGGAATGCCATAACCCCATCCAATATCTCCGAGTATTGACTGTCGGCGATCCGCTTCCGCACGCCTGCCGACATGTCGTAGATCGTGCAGGCCTCGACTCCAGTCACCACGCCGTGCAAATCAAATTTCCACGTTGGGCCAGGCAGATTTAGCCACCGCGTTGGGCACGACTGCGAGAGGCCGCTGCTGAAACATCGTGGCGGTACCTCGTTAATCTACATCGTCGTCGGGGCCTGATGATGGAGGCCACCCTCTTCCGCTGCGTCCGGGCAGAGACCTCTTCGACGCAGCTGGCGTCGAGTCTATTATGTAGCTCGCGAGCACTGTCAAAAGACGTTGTGCCGACCCTTCACCGGCTAGCCAGGTCAAACACGCCAACATCGTCCAGGCGAGCGCTAGTGTGCGGCGCCATCGCATCCCTCCCAACTTTCTTCTGAAAATGACCGGAAAGGGGCCTTTATGCAGCCCCTGCGCGTTCGCATCACACACGACGGAACCTGGGAACGGCTCCCCCTGTACGCTACCATGATTAGGGAGCATACATCTGCGGCAACTAACGCTTGCCACTTTTCCTCTCCACGACTCAACTCAACGTTGACAAGTCGTTTCAGTCTCGTCTGCTTCCCTCTGCTCCGTCATATCTGCAGCTCGTTCTGCTTCTCTAGGGGCCCTATGTCCTGTCCTCTCGTTTGATCTTCCCCTCTCCTTGTATTATAGTCCTGCCAGCTATATCTCGCTCCTTCTACCACTCACCTGGCAATCTCCACATTCTCTACCGACGCACTGATCTCACGATACTCGACAAACTTCTACTCCAACCATAAACCACTTCCTACGATTTACATACTTTGACATCGGTCCGAGATCTTGCTTACACTGAATGCAAGCCTACCCTGTCAGGGTCTTTAGGAACAACTTGGACCGCGCGTGCGACCAATTTGCACGACCTGGATTACCCGTCCACGTCTTCCGCCTAGCCCAACGTTGCTCTGAAGTCAATTGTACTCTACCGGCTTCATAAGCCAAGGTCGCCCGTCATGTCCGATCTTTCTGGCCAGATCTACGCTGCCTCGTCCAATCCCATCGGCAACATGCGAAACAAGACTCACAACTCGTCGATGAACTCCCGATGGCGCTTCGCTCGATCCACTGCGAACCTCCAGGAACCGGTTGTACGGTCACCGTCCGTAGCATCTCAGACCCCATCAATAGTACCCGCCAAGAAGCTGGAACGCGTAACATCTAAGATGTCGCTGTTCAGCCTCTTCAGTCGACCCAAAGTAGAGAAGGCTCGTGGACATACCGAAGTCGGCCTTGCAGTACCAATGCGACCACAGACTCCGCCTAAACCTACTCAACCTATTTCCATACCGAAGTCTTCCCTGAGACAGAACCCTTCCCCGCCCGCTCAACAGACTATTCGCGCACGCTCAAGCCAGATGTTCCGACCCATGTCCATGCGACCAGCTGTACAACATCACGAATTTGGAAATTGGGACCCCCCTCCGCTGTTTCAGGCTTTCCCACAATCTTTGAAGCATGCCACTGTACAAGCATGTGTATTCGCTCCAGAGATCCTGATGAGATCACAGAGTCAAAGGCAACAAGCCGAGTCGATACGCGAGAAAATGGACAATCAGCGCGACCTTTCCACAATCGCAGAGAACGGTACAGAGACAAAGAAGCTGGAGAAGACACACAAGCGTCTTATGTCCAACTCTGTGTTGAATCCCCAGACTCCAGAACTTGTCAACAAAATATACATCTTGGTTACTGCAGGATTCGTGCTCCAGTACGCTGGTGATGGGGCTTTCGATCGTCTGCCTGAGAAAGTGCTAAAGCTGGGAAAGGAATCAGCGGCCTTTGCGTGCGATCTTATACCTGGCAAGCACTGGGTGCTACAGATTTCCAGTCACGCCAGCGATGACGGAACATTCGAGTCAGGGCCAAAGAACTCTCTTCTTGCTCGCTTACGAACACAGAATGCTACCATGCGCAAGTCAGCCACAAGCTTCCTTCTGGTTCTCGAGAGCGCGGAAGAGATGGACGAGTGGATGACCATTGTGCGAAAGGAGATCGACAACCTTGGCGGCATGAAGGCAAAGGATGACTTCGCTCGAGCGTCCTCTTCTACTGATGACTCCAATGGAAAGAACTCATCAGAGACTACCAGTCATCGATACAGAGTCAATCGGGACCCACACATCGTCAGCAGGGTTGTGCCAGTTGAATCACAGCATTCCACGTCGCCAAAGATTGTAGCCTCTGAGTGGGAAGCGAACCAGAACGATCAAACAAAGAACAGTATCGACTCGTCTAGTGGGCAGTCCGCTCGCTTTAATACCAGCAACCGTCTTTCAGTGGAGATGTCATCTGTCGCTTCGACGCCTGTCTCTCAGCATCAGGTGCAGTTGGATCAGCTTCGTGGACGATCACGATACTCGTTCATGTCAACAGCTACGTCAGCATCAGGTGCCGGCACTCGCAATACTTCGCGAGAGTCATCTCCAGCACCACATTCGCCCCTCAAAGAGGAGTTTACTGCGACTGGGGATAGTGAGCCTCTCCGGAGCGCAATGTCTCTACGGTCGTTCCACATGAATCCCAACAACACCATGTCGTCTCGCCGCAGGTCAATGCAGCCTTTGCCAATCACAAATGAGGACTTGAGCCAGACTGTGACAACAACCTCTACGAGTAAACGACACTCCCTGTACAACCCGGTCTCCCCAACTGTCCCAGAATTAGGCCAGCCTTTCGTTGCAGGTCCAGCGGCACCACTAAAGAAGGACACAGCCCCAAACAAAGCCGATGCTCCGCCCGCTACCGCGCAGGTTACTGATGCTGTACGCTCATCGCCTCCTCAATTGAAGACCGAAGTATCTGGTCAGGCTGATGACAACGATCTTCTATCAACTCGAGAAGATAGTCCGGTACGGTTCAATGCGCATGCATACAGTGTGCTACCACGACGGGACGCAATCTCTCCACCGCCCAAGGACCCTGCCCCAGTACCCCCGCCTCCTGCTCAACGTCAATCAATGATGGGTCCAGCCCCCATGTACGCTTCTACTGCTGGCGATTCCAAGACTCGGCGTCGAACTTCTGCTTCACCAAAACCTTTTCTACGACCATTCCCAGTACGACCACAAGCACAACATGGCGATTCATCCACAGTCGTAGCGAGGCGACAGTCTTCTCTTACGCCATCGCCCACACCCTCGCCTTTGCCTCTGGGTGTCCACATGAACCGATCCGTAACTGCGCCCGTAAGGCCACCTTCGGCAGCTTCGAACATGCAGCCCACCACTACCCCTCATGGTCTACATTCTGCTCAAGCATCACAAGCTCTGCGCCGTCCTGCTTCAGTTCAGATCCGTTCTGCTGACCCCGCGCCATTCCTGTCATCCCGCCCAATCCGTGCCATTGCATCTACGCCATCATTCGTTCCCGGCCGAAGAATGTCTAATGCACCTGCTTCCGCGTCAGACGCTGCGGCGCATAGACCAACACCCAGCATTGAAGCGCTGAGACAGCAGGCGTTCGCACAACAAAAGACCATTACACCCAGACGTAGTATAGCATCTATGGGACTGCCACCACCCGCACCACCACCAAATAAGGCATTGCCTACGCCACCACGCAACATAACTTCGCCCACTCCTCCACCTAATATGCCACTTCCCCCACCGCCACCGAGCATGGGTCTTCCAGCTCCTCCACCCACTATGCCGTTGCCGCCTACACCACCGGAAGCTGCGTTACGTGCTTCGGCAATCTAAAAAATGTTACTACTATCAATATTGTCTATACCCGCTGGCGTTCGGATTGTTTTTTAAGAGGAGGATTAACAACTGCCAGGATGGTCGTTCACGTCGTCACGCCTTTTCTTACGTCCCTGTCATGCCGACCGATAAAATTTCTTGCTTGTCGCGCGATACCAATCTGCTATATCGTCATTGCTCTCGATTGTCCTTTCTCATGTTCGTTGTCTTCGTAATTTCTTCTTCGTTGTATTCTATCTATCTTACGCTTCATGTATTTTGTCTTTACCCTACTCTTGTTTTTTCTGTTCGTTCGGAAGGGCTGAGCCCGTCTGTCACTTTTGTTGTCTTGCTTTCGTGGTAATGAATCAGGCTTGGGTGGCTTTTGTTCTACATTACTTTTGGGATGGGAAACAGAAGGGAATGTGGCAACACGAACACAGATTGGACGTTCGTTCACCGGCGCTTAAGGAAGTAAAAGCGCCGGTGTATTCGTAGTTTGTCAAAGATAGAACGATAGATTCTACATATTAGTATTTTCCTGTTTACATGCGATATTCTTACGTTGAAATGCCTCCAAGTCAGTGACATCCAAAACGTTCGTTGAGTGTGTTGATGGATAGATGCCTTAGGTGCCTGTGAGTATAGCCTTACAGTCAACTAAGCTGATGGTATAATACCAATTTGCTAGATATGTTTGGTCACCGTAGTGAAAACTGCGCCTATTGCCTCTTCATCCTGTGTTGGGCAAGAAGCACGCCCATGTGTCTTCGCACAGCCTTTCGTCTTGCTCCCGGAAGGCTAAGGAAGGTCCAAGTACAGGCGGAGATGGTTGTCAAGCAGCTTCAAAGAATCATCATTGTGCTGCGCTCCGCTGAGCTATTATGCCATCCTGTGTGTTTGGTTATATATGTGGTTGTGTCGTTGAAAGCTTGAGTGGGAATACGAAAGAAAAGAATGCACATAACATACAGGCCTGACAACCGTACGAAAGACATGCGGACGTGTGTCAAGGCAAGATCAGTACCGGAGACAAGACGGTGATAAGTAGCTGGTACGGGCCGTAGTCGAGTAGGAAGGTGTTTGGTCAAGTGGTAAGTACGAAAACTCCAAGCAACGGGCAGTAGGGTTTTTTTTTCTTTACTAGCATGCAAAGTCTAGAGTGTAAGGCTGAGTTAATCGCATGTTTGGCGTATGTAGCTTGTCTTTTGCAGATGTCCGCATTATTAGCCTGATATCCTATCAGCGAAGCCTATGCATGAAGCATTGGGGGAAGGAGGGAGCTTCAACGATGCTAGAGTCATGTGAGGTCAGCTTACGTCATTAGCATTACTCGCGAACTTGGGCTTCAACGCGGCTCGCACAAGACTGGCAGTGGTTGAAGCATCATGTAGCTCAAAGGCCCCTGGCGTCAGAGTCCTAATGGCTTCGAAAGCTCCACGCCGTGTTACTGCACGTGAAACATACTGTCCATCTCTACCGGCTGAGGTGTGGATCAACGTCTTCCGCTATCATACCGACCTTGCCCACCTTTGGAACGTCGTCCGACGCGTCTCTCCAACACTCCGCGCGTGCGTCGAGCATGCATTCGGCGAACACTTCCTCAAGGAAATACAAATAGACTTTCAACTCGAAAAGTACAACCTGGGTGGGAAGAGTAAACGGCCGGAGGTGTCTACAAGGCTCGCGCGACGCGGCAAAGGCAAAGATAAGACTGTAGCTTGGTTCAAAGATGAGCGACCAGATATTGACTCGGAGAAAGGGCAGGGAAAGAAAGATCGTGAGCACTACCATAAAGTCACACGTCGATGGGAAGAGAATGTGAAGAACTGGAAGGCTGAGATGCCCAATTACACAATCAGCATTGGGAATTTGGTGAACGATACCGAGTTGCCAGGCCTCAGCATTGATGTTACAGCCCGCGAGATCGAATTCGACTGGAAGAGCATGCTGCAGCTCTTCTTCCGCGAACGAGAACGACTCCGTGTCTTGAAAGACGAGTGGCATATCAAGACGGCGAAGAAGATGCAAGCCAACAATGCGCGGCTCAAGAAGGGCGACAAGCTCATGCCCTCCGATTACCCACCCCCCTGGTCGACCGCCGAAGCTGAGATACGGAAGGACATCAGGCGCGCAAGGCTGAAGGAGCATTACCGCGACGACGAGCAAATGGTATGGGCCATCGACTCGTTGAAGCATTTTGAACAATATGGGGCAGCGACTGGCAATACTAAGGAACTCAAGCTCAATCCGGATCTGCCAGGCGCTGGACTGGGCGAGAAGTGGTTTGGTAGTGTCAATTTGGTGCAGGAACTCTACTTGGACGAGTGGAGTTGTATGCATAGGATTGATACTAAGGTTGAACATATTCGGAACGGCACATGAAACTCACTGTGCTTCCCATCAATAAAAACAGACAGTCTTGCAAATGGGACATGCGCGAGTCGGACTCATCATAGAGCAGGGGACCTTGCCTGAACGACGGCAGATTGATCAAAGAATTGTCGTGATTAAGCCAGTCGTTGTTTACCACCGCGTCAGCCTATCGTCTTTACGAACGGAAATTTATCATTATTCGGGTTCCGTATGGTAAGAAACATTTTATGACGAGGGTGTCAAATGTGAGCTATTGGACATTCATGATTCCGTGAAATCACCACTTATAGCTCCATACACATTGAAAGCTCCACCCGAAAGAGCCGGTATAGCCGCCAGTCAAGTCAAATTACCACCGACCAAAGCTGATTCCAGTACATCACCTTAAGTGAGGCTCCGCCCAAGACGAATCAACCCCCAAAGAGAGATCGTGATGCTCCACAAATATCCTCATTCCCAAGGCATTGCCCCCGAAGCCGACATGGTGATGGACACCATCAATCTGTTGCCAGTAAGCCAAACACTTGGTCATCTCACGACAACCATGACTTACCCGTCATCCATCTCAGCTAGTCAGCCAGACTGCTTGCCTCAGAACCCGCGACATTGGAAGTAGCAGTAGGCATAGCAATAGCCGCCATCTTTGCCTCATGCTCAGCGAGGACAGAAGCCTTGGCTCGAGCCAGAGCCTCAGCCCGCTTACAAAAGGGAGCGCCACAGCTCGGCTCCTTGCTTGGGTCTTTTCCTGGCTCCTTGTGACCAGCATTAGCCATCGTGAGAGGAGCGAGGGCGGCTAGGACCATGAGGATGGTTGGGAAGAAGTTCATGTTGGAAATCTGAGTACTAGTGGGGTTGGAAGTTGGAAGTTGGTAAAGTAAAGTCAAGGTGATGAGACTCTATTCAAGTTGTGGTATGGTTAGAGAATAGAAAGGTCAGAGGAGGAATCTTGTGCAAGTCTGGGGCCGTGGAGAAGTGGACCAAATGCATCAATGTTTGAGCAGCGATATGTGTTGTTCTGTCTAGTATTGGTGCGTCCGGCATTATAGCTGTAGTGAAAGGACTGGTCGTGGTCTTTCGGCGATAGTGCTAGTGCCTAGTACTGATTTGATATCGAGCTTGACCCGTTCTTAGGTGTAATGTACAATTCACCCGCCTGCTCACCGGGTGTGTCACTAATGTGCATGCTGGCTCCATTAGCGCATTGACAGCCACTGACCATACAAGAGGACTCACTAAAGAGCATGACGTGCGAGCATTCGAGTGGATGGGAACATGCGACAAAATAGGAATGTGGGTGAGTGACTCAACAAACGGCTGAAGTGGACGTTTGCTCTCCAGTACGTGGTGTCCAGTCATGTAACTCGACATTGCATACTACATCTCAATAACTTCAGCTTACACAAAGCATGTCGCTCGTTTAAACAAGATGGACTTGATTTTAGGATATGATTAGATACGGTAAGAACTAGTCGATGAACGACCCCCAATCCATTTCTTTCGGCTCGTCGTAAGACAACACTGCATGCAACGGATCATCGCGGGTTTCAATCGACTGTATGGGTTGCTCCATCTCGATATCACTTCCTTCATCGCTTGATGATGCGATAGGAACTGGCTTACTTTTGATTCCAATCGACTGCGTCAGCTGTTCGCCGCTGTCGCTCGGATCATCGTTTAATTCTGAAATTGGTGATTCCTTCCTCCTAACAAGTTCGATGGGCGGTCGAGGTAGTCTACGGACGTCTGCATTTTCGTCGCTGATGTCATTGTCCTGAGAGCCGGTTCGGCTTGTAGATCTGACAGGCTCTGAGCTTCGTCCTTGCAGAGCAGCATAAGCGTGAGTGCCACGGGTATGCAATTCGATCGTTCGTTGAATTGACGGCTTACTCTGAGGCTTGGGCCTTTGCGTCGGCGCATTAGTGTCACTGTCGGAGGTAGACTCGGTGGTGTCTGAAGCGTCTCCTTGAAGAATAGGCGGGACGTCAAGAGGTTTCTGGTTTGCCAGAAAGGCAAATTCAGGTGGAGGTGTGCCGAGTTCCTCCCATTCTGCACGACAACTTGTCCAAGAGCGCCAACCATCGGGCACTGTTCTAATCTTTTCGTCTTCATCTAGATCTTCCTCGTAGCTATCTCGATCGATATTTGTTTCTTCAGCTTTGATGACTGGCTCAAGACCAAGCATTTTCCAGAGGGTTTGTTCCTCTTTTCGACTTGTCTCTCGATCAAAGTCGGCCAACGTCAACTTTTGGGGTCCATGCTTCTCGGAATCCGTGGCCGGTGGTGAATTTGCAAGCTGATCTACAGTATTTCTGGGCTGGGATGTGCTTCGGGAAGGAGGTGCGCTATCTTCGAGGAGTGATTCATCGTCGGAATCCGATAGCCCCAGTTGATCCATAGGAAGCGGTGTTCCGCTCCGCTTTGCTCTTGCACTGAAACCGGCGTTGTCATTGCCAGACATCTCTGCGTCTGTGGTCAAGAGTTCTGCTGACGGCTCAATTGGGGTCATAATTCGCTCGAATTCGTCCCATGGCACCTCTCGCCTGGTCTTATTACGTCGGTAACGTGACCATTTGCCTTCGTACACTCTCAACGCACATCGTCTGGCTACTCCTCGCCATCTCTCCTGACTGTTCCGTGGCATGCCTACAACATCGATAGCAGTCAAGGCGTCTCTTCGCTTTATTAGGGGGACACGGCCTTTTACTCGCTGTCTTTGTGCTCGAAGACGTGAAGTTGCTTGTATAATAGCCGTCTGTACAAGCCGCTTGGTGACGGAGACCACCAGGGTGTGGAGATCGTTGAAGGCGCTACGATAGATGCTTGGTTCTTGAGCAAACTCAGAGGTGTATTCAGACCAGTGTGGCCAGGGCGAGGGTATTGTTGGCGAGCGGTTCATGAACAGTGTCTTGGAGAGGGTGAGCATAACCTGTGGCTGTAGTAGACTGGCTTCGGGAATGTCTTGGAGGATACCAGCCTTGGGCTTGGGCTTTTTCGATCTGTTGTCAAATTGATCGCTCGTCTCGGGTTTGATGGATTGCTCTGGATAGATACATTCGCCCGTATTTCGTCGCACGCAGTTGGCGCATGGTGTTGCTCGATCGCACTTTTGCTTGAACTTTTTGCATGAAGTACATGCTCTAGCACATGTCAGCACACTCATCTTTATCGTGAATAGTTTGTAAGTACCCTATGATTACTCTGCCACCCCTTCGCGAAGGTTCTGGCTCTGACTCGCTCGCAAGCGGTGATGATGTGGCTCGCAGGTTGCGGGTGTCGAGTGCGCTCTCGATCTTGTCAGCTACCGCAGGCGTGATTAGCCAGTGGTCGCCGAACTTGTCTCGCTCCTGGTTTGCCTCGAAGACCTCCTGGAACCAGGCCAAAGCCTCGGCCGCAACGTGCAGCTGCTCGTTGCACTCGTCGCTCAGCTCGATGGCAGCGGGGACGTGGCGAAGCGTCAACTTGGCATCGCTCTGCTTTGTGGCAGCATCGTGGAGCAGTAAAAGTAGCTCCTGCGTCTCTGGTATGGTCTTGGTGCCGATAGCACCTGCTATGCCGGCAATGTCGTCCTTTCCTAGTCGCTCAAGAGCCCCAAAGAAGACGGCCTGTTCGCTTGGCGACCAGTTTGATGCGCCAATCTGCCTGTTGTAGTATTGGAAGTTGTCGGGGTGCGTCTCGAAGCGCGCCGCTGCTCGGTTCACGTCCTCGTTGAACAGCACGCGGTAGGCGTCGTTGTACTTTCCCTCGAGATAGTATTTGCGTACACGGGCAGGATCGATCGACTCTAGGCGGCGTCGCTTCTGCCGTGTGTGAGACACTGTAGGCGGCTGCGAGCTTTCATGGCTAGAATCTTCTGACGGTTCGGAATGCTTGTAGTCGGACGCGGAACTCATGGCGGATGCGGCGGGTCAGACGCGTATTCTGGACCTCTGTGGCATATGTGCTGAGCGGCCATGGTGAAGGGTGAAGAGGTGAAGACTGGATCAAGACGGCTGGCAACATTTTGGGTGGGGCTCGGCCTCGGCCTACCACACGACGCAGCCCGCCTTGGACCTGCGTCATGCATCGTGACTTCGCGACATCTTCGCTTCCACGCAACCCTGGAGCGCGTCTTGATGTTCCCTCTCGCCCAACATGCGTTGAGACACTGCAGGCGAGTAGGCTACATGCCTGTTCATGCACGCCGGAACGTGGTTGCCAGCTCGCCAACACCACCGCCGCCGCCGCCGCCGCCTCCCCCGCCGCCCAAGATCCAACTACGCGAGTATCAGGAAGACTGCATACAAGCTGTCCTTTCCTACCTCAATGCCGGACACAAGCGTCTCGGTGTCTCTCTGGCAACCGGCTCGGGCAAAACCGTCATATTCACCCACCTCATCCATCGCATACCCGCCAATGGCGACGCTTCTCAGACGCTCATTCTCGCCCATCGCCGCGAACTCGTCGAGCAAGCCGCCCGCCATTGCAGTCTCGCATACCCCGATAAGCATGTAGACATCGAAATGGGCAACAATCAGGCCTCGGGTGCCGCCGACATCACCGTCGCCTCCATACAGAGCATCACATCGGGGGAACGGTTGAATAAGTTTGACCCCTCACGGTACAAGCTTGTACTGGTAGACGAGGCACACCACATCGTCAGCCAGACATATCTCGATGTCTTGGAGCACTTTGGATTGAGACATCAAGCTGACTGGACTCAAATAAAGGCTCCTGCCCTAGTCGGCGTCTCGGCTACCTTCTCACGCTTCGACGGCAGGAAGCTTGGGTCTGCCATCGACCACATCGTCTACCACCGCGACTACGTAGACATGATTGACGAAAACTGGCTTTCTGATGTTGTCTTTACCACTGTCCAAATCAAGGCCGACTTGACCAAAGTGGGCTCTGGCGTGGGTGGCGACTTCCAGACCGGTGCCCTCTCTACAGTAATCAACACCGAGGAAACCAACGAGCTCGTTGTAAAGACATGGCGAGCCAAGGCAAGGGACCGGCACTCGACTCTCATCTTCTGTGTTGACCTTAGCCATGTCACCGACCTTACCGCTAGATTCCGGGCATCCGGGATTAATGCTCAATTTGTCACTGGTGACACACCAGCAAAGATCCGCAGCGCACGCATCGACGCTTTCAAGAACGGCGAGTTTCCGGTGCTGCTAAACTGTGGTGTCTTTACAGAAGGAACGGATATTCCTAATATTGATTGCGTGCTGCTAGCTCGCCCCACAAAGTCTCGAAATCTTCTTGTCCAGATGATCGGACGTGGTATGCGTTTACATAAGGGAAAGCAGAATTGCCACATCATCGACATGGTCGCCGCACTGAGCACTGGAGTAGTGTCAACACCTACATTGTTCGGCCTTGATCCAGATGAAATCATTGACGAAGCAGACACCAGAGCCATGAAGAAGCTCAAAGAGACGAAGCAATCTGAAAAGCAACGTGAACAGGAGGCTTCTGACCTCAAGAAAAGAACGGTTGCGAAGAAGTTACCTGGCACTATCTCCTTCACCGAGTATGACTCTGTGCACGATCTAATAGCAGACACTTCCGCCGATCAATACATACGTAACATTAGCCAGAATGCTTGGGTCGGTGTTGGCGATGGAAAGTACGTCCTCACTGGCAACACTGGCAACTACTTAGTCATTGAGCCATCCGACGACATTGAAGGTCACTTTAGAGCGAGGTATTACTGGAAGCTCCCGATGAATAGGATCGTCAAAAGTCCCTATGGCACACCGCGTGTCATCGCAGAAGGAGACTCTTTTGATCACGTTGTCCACGCAGCTGATACGTACGCGAGTGAAGCTTTTAAACACTTCTACATCTCAAAGCATCAGCCATGGCGTCGGGGTCGTGCATCACAAGCTCAAGTTGACTTCCTCAACAAATTCCGCCCGCGAGAAGACCAATTGAAACCGGAGGATCTCAGCAAGGGCAAAGCGGGTGATATGATCACGCGTCTTAAACATGGAGTCAAGGGTCGATATGCCAAAGCCAATGTAAAAGAAAGGACCGAACAGCGCATGAAAGCTCGCGCAGAGACGATACAGCAACGACTCCAGGGACAAGTAAAAGTTGGGCCTTTGGAGCAAGGTCCAACGCTCAAGCAAAAGCTTGCTGGGTGAACAGCTAGGTCTTTGCACATGTCCGGCAAAAGTATGTTTCTCTACACACGACTGAGGTGTTGCGGGAATAATTTAGAGGCTCAGACTACGCCAGGTGGCTAGTCTCGGCAAGCGCGCGCAGCTCCCTTGGGACCGCGGAGATATTCAGCCTCAAGCACCGAAATCTAGTACACCAGCCAGTCTCTCCGGAAATGCTTATTTTCGACCCGTCTGTTTCGCATGCGACAAAAGGTCAACCGAGGCTTCTCCGAGGCCTTTGGCGTTTACACGAAAGGACGATGATCACAACTTTGTCCTCGGCCGGCTGTTCGCAATGGTCGCATGCACAGTCTACACGAGAGATTGGTCTCACAGAACTTCGCCCCGTAAGCACTACAGAGTTCTAAGAATTTGCACGATGTTGGCGACTACAGCATTTCAAGATGTGTCAAAGATTGTGTAGGTCAAGCATCTCCACAGAGAGATAATTTGTTCATGTGTTGACATCTCCGCTGGAAAGATGCCGGATCTACATGGGAAAGCCGAGCCCCCACACCAAATCCAGCCTACCCGTGTCCGGCCAGGAACATTTCTTAGTGTCATCAAGGCCCGCTTACTCCCTTGCCACACATATCGTGCGCTATTCCCAATCCGAACGTCAGAGATAAGGTCGCATGCGAGTGTGTAAAGTAATTCGAGATGATCAGAGCCTGGCGTTCGATGAGAGCTAGGATGATGACGGAATGCATGATTCGAGGATTTCCCCACAGATCGAGGTAGAGTTTCCGCGGTATTACCATTTAGCGACTGACGTTGACTACAACGTTGACTGGTCCCACTAGCTGATTGAAGGGTGCCACTACATTCTTAGAACACGTTGGGTTTGACTTAGTATCTGCAATTCCAGATACCCCGATTGCAACTCCTGCCTTTTGTCCGGTTCGATCCTATTTGGAGCCTCAGCATCGTGTCGTCTATTGCTTTCTTTTCCAATACCCTTTTCGCAGCACCATCAGAACTTGATGAACCTGTCGTAACTTTTTGGTTGGAAGAGTCGTCCCGTTTAGTGCAAGCGCCATACCCATCCACTGAATCCATTCCAAGTTCCAGTACCGCATCTCTCAGCCACGCATCATGAGCGTAGCGACTCAGAACAAGGCGGGAGTACCCATACCTCCTGCAAATCAACACCAACCACAGCCACATGCTGCTTCGAAGTCGATACAATTACCGCCATCGCCGCCAGAGACGGTAGACGGAGATGACAGCAAGTCCACCACTTCGACGTCAGAACCAGATTTTCCGCTTCCACCACCAGCGAATACCCCACCTCAAGTTCTGGATGTCGACAAGCCTACACCAGATGCGCATGTGCCACGAGATCCGAGACTAATCCGGCTAACGGGCGTTCACCCTTTCAACACCGAAGCACCATTGACGGACCTATTCAATGAGGGTTTCCTGACCAGCCCAGAACTGTTCTATGTGCGAAACCATGGTGCAGTCCCGGAGGTACATGACGCCGAGTGTCTGGATTGGGAGTTCTCGGTCGAAGGGTATGTTATCGTCCAAGTGTAGAATGACATCATGAATCTGAATCTCGTATAGTCTAGTAGCGAATCCCCTCAAAATTACTCTACGACAGTTGCTGGAAGAATACGAAAACGTCACATATCCTGTCACTTTGGTCTGTGCTGGTAACAGACGGAAAGAGCAGAATGTAGTGAGGAAGAGCAAGGGCTTCTCATGGGGCCCAGCAGGTGTTTCAACAGCACTATTCACTGGTGTGGTTATGAAAGACATTATCGAGCGAGCGAAACCATTGCGAAAAGCGAAATACGTGTGTATGGAAGGTGCTGACAAACTTGTAAGCCACATGTCGATGGTCAACATACGAGATCTAACACTATGCACAGCCTAACGGATACTATGGCACTTCCGTCAAGCTCAACTGGGTCATGGACCCAAATCGGGGTATCATGTTGGCGCATAAAATGAATGGCGAGATGCTGAAACCTGATCATGGCAAGCCGTTAAGAGCTGTGATACCAGGTCAGATTGGTGGTCGAAGTGTGAAGTGGCTGAAGAAGCTGATCATCACGGCTGAGCCCAGCGATAACTGGTATCACATCTACGATAACCGCGTACTACCTACGACAGTCGACCCAGACGAGGCAGCCAAGAATACGAAATGGTGGATGGACGATCGCTACGCCATCTATGACCTGTCGCCCAATTCAGCCATTGCATGCCCTGCACATGAAGAGAAGCTAACCCTCTCTTCGAGTCCTGAATCGTACAATGTCCGCGGCTATGCCTATAGTGGGGGTGGACGACGTGTAACACGCTGCGAACTTTCTTTGGATAAGGGAAAGACATGGCGACTCGCGAAGATCGACTACGCAGAAGACAAGTACAGGGCATTTGAAGACCGACAACTCTACGGTGGAAGACTGGACATGGATTGGCGTGAGACGAGCTTCTGCTGGTGTTTCTGGAACCTAGAGATCGCCACCGCCGAGCTAAAAGAGGCTGATGACATTGTGGTGCGAGTGATGGACGAGGCGATGTGTGTTCAACCAAGGGATATGTACTGGAGTGTGCTGGGCATGATGAACAACCCTTGGTTTCGGATTGTCATACATAAAGAAGACAATACTCTCCGCTTCGAGCATCCCACACAACCCGCACTGATGCCTGGTGGCTGGATGGAGCGCGTCAAAAAGGTTGGCGGAAATCTGACAAACGGATACTGGGGTGAGAAGATTGGCGGCGAAGAGCCGGAGCATGCCGCTATCGAGGAGGCAAAGGAGATCAAGATGACAAAGGATGGTGTCGACAAGACCATTGAGATCGATGAGTTGCGGAAACATGACAAGGCCGAGAACCCATGGTTCGTGGTCAACGGCGAAGTCTACGATGGTACTGCTTTCTTGGAAGGTCATCCAGGTGGTGCGCAGAGCATTATCAGCGCTGCAGGCCTAGATGCCACTGACGAGTTTATGGCAATCCGTGAGTTTCGCAGCAACATGGAGTCCGATGATGACGGCTAACAATAAGCAGATAGCGAGACAGCCAAAGCCATGATGCCAGATTACCATATCGGCACTCTCGACGAAGCATCTCGTAAAGTCCTAGCAGAAGGTGAACACGTCCAAGAATCCAACGAGCCGCGGCCTAGCTTCCTTGACTCCCGCACATGGCGCAAAACACTCCTCTACTCTAAGAAGAAGGTCTCTTGGGACACACGCATCTTCCGCTTCAAACTCGACCACGAAGATCAAGCCCTTGGTCTTCCCACCGGCCAACATCTTATGATCCGTCTCCGTGACCCCGTGACCCGCGAGGCCATAATCCGCTCTTACACACCCATCAGTCAAACGACGCAGAAGGGATTCTGCGACGTTTTGATCAAAATCTATGCCGATACTCCCGGCCGTGCTGGTGGCAAGATGACGAAAGCACTCGATTCTATTCCTACAGGCCATTGGGTTGATTTTAAAGGCCCGATCGGCAAGTTTGAATACCTTGGTCGTGGCCTCTGCGCTGTCAATGGCAGGGAGAGGAGAGTGAAGCGCTTTTTCATGGTTTGTGGTGGTAGTGGTATCACGCCTATCTTCCAAGTCTTGCGCGCTGTCATGCAGGATAAAGAGGATACCACACATTGCACTGTTCTCAACGGCAACCGCTTAGTCGAGGACATTCTGTGCAGAGATGACCTGGATAACTTTGCGAAGGATAATGCAGAGAGGTGCAAGTTGCTGTATACGTTGACTCAAGGGCCAGAGGACTGGCAAGGCTTGAGGGGGCGCATTGGTGCGCCGTTGCTGCAAGAACATTTTGTGAAAGATGAGGGTGAGAGCTTGGTGCTTATTTGCGGACCGGAGGCTTTGGAAAAGGCTGCACACAAGGCGTTAAACGAGCAGGGCTGGAGCGATGAGGAATTGATGTTCTTCTAATAAGCGCATTTCTAAAGGCAACTCAGGATTTCGGCATCTTCGTTCATAATGTCTGGAGTTGGGGGGACAGCATCTGGATACACATATTTCGACTTCCTTACTGTATATAGGGCCATGGCTCATAGAATAACGCGCAACGACTTCAACTCGAGCCATACAGCATATCTAGGTGATCAGCTTCCTAGGTTCCTAATGGTAGAGCGGCGCAAGTATGGCACCTAGCGACATTGCGTCCTAGGTCCTAGCTCGTTGCAAGAAACGAGCACTAATTAACGATGACATGGCACTCCATTCCCCCATCTCGATCCTGCCCTCATATCACCGTCAAGCGAAACATCACCTGTATAATGACATCTGCCGGAAACTTAGCGACACCAAAATGCATCTCCGTGAAAGACAATCCTGATAACGAAGCGAGCCAGGACCCTTGTCGCCAAGCCACCTAGCTTGCGATAAGGAACGTCCAGCCACTCGACGCGTCTCCACAGGGAGCCCACATCACGCGAACTCTTCTAATCTCCACGGAGAACTTCGTGCCTGCAGCATTTCTGTACGATAATGAGAAATGTCAATTGTTTGACTGGACGCGCTCGTGTACCCTTGTCGCTTTCACACGCCTTCTGACAGCATGCCGCGGAACGGGAGCTAGGATGCGCTCTGCAGGCCCAGTGCATGGGCATGGAGGGACTATAGAACCCCGCTGCGTCACGATGCATTTCCGTAAACACCGCGGGGCACGCGTGATTGGTGATGAGTGGTTCGATCGGTGGTTGGGCTATCTATGCTCATTGTGGCGCGAGGGTTGGCGCGGGAGAGATGAAGCGTGTTGGGTGAGCTTGCGGGAGATGTCGTGCCACGGAGTTGTAGCTTGCAGGTATTGAGGTCTATCAACTAGGTATCGATCTTACTCGTAAGAGCTATCTCTTGTCTTCTGCATATTCCTTTCCTCTCAAGTCTAGTTTCCTACACCTCTTGGAGTAAACAGTTTATGCTTACTGACTGCGGTATCATCTTGTGCCCTCTTGATTGAGTGTACTAGTACGACGAATTGCTTCAAACACAACCTTTTTCATTGTAGCATTTAGATACCCAAGGCTTCTCCAGCCTCAAATAACACCATGGCCGAGACGGAGCCAATCGTCACACAAGGCATCGAGCCCTCATCAGGCGAATCACATTCACCACCCGGCGACCGCCATATCACAGCAACATGGGGATCGAAGGACGGAAACATCTCCAATGCAGAGTGGAACGATGCGGAAGCCAACAAGCTGCCTGAGAAGGTAGCTGATTTAGAGAAGAAGGGCGAGATCAACGATCAACATCCACGGAAGAAGATCGTGGTTGTTGGATTGGGTATGGTGGGCATAGCGTTCATGTGAGTCAATCAACTTTTGAGTTGAACAAGAAGAAGACACTGACTTTGTCCAAGCGAGAAACTCATGAAGTATGACGTCAAGCGGAGAGAGTATGATGTTGTAGTTATTGGTGAAGAACCACATCTTGCGTACAACCGGGTCGGTTTGACAAGCTTTTTCCAACATCGGCAAGTTGAGAACTTATATCTTAACCCCAAGGAATGGGTATGTTCCAGCACATTCAAGAGAAGGCGTTTATCGCTAACCCGGGTGTAGTATGCGTCGATGCCGGAAGGTTCATTGAACTATCACCTCAACACCCTCGTTACCGAGATCGACTCCACCGAAAAGAACGTCAAGACTTCATCCGGTGAAACAGTACCCTACGATATCTTGGTACTAGCAACAGGATCCGACGCCCTTCTTCCTCGACATACACCCGGCCACGACGCAAACGGTGTTTTCGTATACCGCACAATAGAGGACCTTCAGAGACTCATTGAATTCTCCTCAACAAGGAAAGGTACTACAGGCGCGGTCGTAGGTGGTGGTCTGCTAGGTTTAGAAGCCGCACATGCAATGATGGACCTTGAAGACTTCGCAAAAGTAAAGCTCATTGAGCGGAATCGATGGGTCTTGTCAAGACAATTGGATGGGGATGCTGGTGGTATGGTTGTTGAGCAGGTCCGAGCCCTAGGTTTGGACGTTATGTTAAGCAAGAGAGTGGGCAAGATCTTGACCACAGAGGATAACTTCGTTAAGGGAGTTGTCTTTGAGGATGGTGACGAGATGGAGTGCTCTTGTATATGCTTTGCGGTAAGTACTCCTGAATTCTGAATCAGCGGCGGAACCTGACTCTGACAGATTGGTATCAAATCACGAGACGAGCTCGCCCGTAAAGCAGGCATCAAATGTGCTGATCGAGGAGGTGGCATTGTGGTCGGACCCAACCTAGCAACCTCGCAAACCGACATCTACGCTGTAGGCGAATGTGCCAGTTGGGAGAACCAAACGTTCGGCCTCATCGCTCCCGGTGTCGAAATGGCAGACGTCCTTGCCTTCAATCTCACTCAAGCGAAAGCGCATGCGCCCCGGAAATTCAAAGCCCCCGACCTTAGCACCAAGCTCAAGTTGCTTGGTGTTGAAGTGGCAAGTTTCGGTGACTTCTTCGCAGACCGCGACGGACCGAAGAATATGCCCGGACGGCAACGAGCTGAGAAAAAGGAGGTCAACGGAGCGACGCCGAGAGATCGCGTCAAGAACCTGACGGATGGGCCGGCACCACCACCTGTCAAGGCGCTGACCTACAAGGACCCGTTCCAGCAGGTGTACAAAAAATATCTGTTTACCATGGACGGGAAATACTTGTTGGGTGGCATGATGATCGGTGATACGAAAGACTACATCAAGCTCGTGCCGCTGGTGAAGAACCAGAAGCAGCTGGAGATGGCGCCAAGCGAGCTTATCGTGGGTGCACAGAAGGGCGATGATGACGGTTCAGATCTATCTGGCGACACACAGATTTGCTCATGCCACAACGTCACCAAAGACGATGTAGTCAATGCTACCAAGGACGGAACATGCAAAAGCATCGGCGACGTCAAGTCATGCACCAAAGCCGGCACCGGATGTGGAGGTTGCATGCCACTTGTGCAAACAATCTTCAACAAGACCATGGCTTCTATGGGTAACGAGGTCAAGAACCATCTTTGCCCACACTTCGAGTACTCTCGCGCCGATCTCTTCAACATCATCTATGTGAAGGGCTTGAAGGACTTTGCCGCTGTCATGAAGGAAGCTGGAAAAGATCCGAATTCCCTGGGCTGCGAAGCCTGCAAGCCGACTATTGGAAACATTGTCGCTTCGCTGTACAACAAACATCTACTGGAGGTCAACAACAGAGGTCTGCAAGATACGAACGACAGATTCCTGGCCAACATCCAGCGGAACGGCACGTTCTCCGTCGTTCCCCGAGTTTCTGGCGGTGAGATTACCCCAGAGAAGCTCATCGTTATCGGTACCGTCGCGAAGAAGTACAATCTCTACACCAAGATTACGGGCGGTCAGCGTATCGATATGTTTGGTGCGCGGAAACAAGACCTTCCTGATATTTGGCAAGAACTCATTGATGGTGGAATGGAGTCGGGTCACGCATACGCCAAGTCATTAAGAACAGTCAAGTCATGTGTCGGAACCACGTGGTGCCGATTCGGTATCGGCGACAGTGTTGGTATGGCAGTGCGTCTAGAAGAGCGCTACAAGTCTATCCGTGGGCCTCACAAGATCAAGGGTGGAGTATCTGGTTGCGTACGTGAATGCGCCGAGGCACAGAACAAGGACTTTGGTCTCATTGCTACTGAGAAGGGTTTCAACATCTTCGTAGGTGGCAACGGTGGTGCGAAGCCTCGACACTCGGAACTTCTCGCCAAGGACGTCCCACCGGATGATGTAGTGCCCATTCTCGACCGCTACCTGTCTTTCTACATTCGCACAGCCGACAAACTTCAACGGACAGCGCGCTGGATGGAGAACCTACCCGGCGGCATCAAGTACTTACAGGAGGTCATCCTCGAAGACAAGCTAGGCATCTGCGCAGACCTAGAGAAGCAAATGGAAGACCTTGTTGGTACCTTCTTCTGCGAATGGACCGAAGTTCTCAAGGATCCCAAAAAGCGCTCCTGGTTCTCACAATTCGCAAACACTTCCGAGACCATCGTCGACACCATTGAACCCACCCAAGAGCGTGGTCAAGAACGCCCATCCTACTGGCCTAAAGACTCGATCACAGAAGACTTCCGTGGCACAAAATGGACAGAGTTGTCTTGGCAACCCCTCGTAAAAGCCGAAGAGTTCAAAGACGCCGACACAGGTGATAGTAAGGCCATCAAGCGCGGCGACACTCAACTCGCTGTCTTCAAGGTCCGTGGCAAGTACTATTGTACTCAGCAGATGTGCCCGCACAAGCGTGCTTTTGTCCTCTCCGACGGTCTCATCGGCGACGATCTTGCCAACAATAAACTGTGGGTCAGCTGCCCGTACCATAAGCGCAACTACGAACTATCGGGCGACAACGCAGGAAAATGCGCCAACGACGAGAGCGTCAACATCGCTGTTTTCCCTATTGAGGAGCGCGGTGATGGGTGGCTGTATGTCAAGTTGCCTAGTGTAGAGGAGCTGGACAGTGTACTTGGTACAAGTAAGTTCAAAATCAAGAAGAGCGAGACAGAAGATCCATTCGTTGCTCTGGATAAGAAGTTGCAGAGGCTGCAACTGAAAGGGAGGAAGGGGATGCAGGTTTCTCATCTTGAGGGTGGGTTAGGGGAGAAGGCAAAGGCGGCGCAAATACTCGCTGGTGGAGACAGGGGCGCTGGAGGCTTAGACTGGTAGCTCCCGTGTACGATCCAGGGCGCTTTTGGCCTGGCGTCGTGGTGTTTGTTGTATGATTCCCATGATTGGATATGTAGATGAATTGGTACATGACTCTTTCGATTGCAGTTTTGTTCTCATGCGCTGTACGTTGGACTCTCGATGCAGTATGCTAGTGCCTCCACACATGAGAGTCTTGCTTGTCGTCGTCGGCTCTAATGGTTGTTTCCGGAATCGTGCGATCGCCTCAGCCTCCGCATGATGGCAGTGCCAGGAGAAAACCGCACTATGGGTTAGGGGTTTCTCGTCTCAGTGGTGGCAAGTGGCTTTTTGACTGCGCATGATCACACATAGTAGATACGTCAGCCTTAGCCATGGTGCTGGTATACATGTGGTACCTACAACTTGGTTCAAATTGGCTGCGACGTCAATGTAGTTCCTGGCACTAATATAGTCTTCATTTCTGCATGGCCATTAACTCGATCGCAAATGTCTTGTTTCAAAGTGGATACAATCCCAGTCCCTGATTACATGAGAAGCCGTCCCATCCACGATTATTTAGCCTTGATGATGGGTGCAGTCAACGACAGGTGGTTCGGCACTATGCTCACGATGGTACCCGATAAGAACTTCACTGCTCTCTTTGTGATTCTACAACGCTTGGTGCTCCATGTCGGATGTCATAGCTCTTAAATGTATAAATTAGAGTATGGTGGGTGTAAAGTCGTTGTCGTAGCATCCGTGCCTAAGCATAATCAGACGGGAAGTGTCCAAGAAATCAGCTTATTGCAGGCGCGACATCTTCTGGATCAGATGATGTTTTTCGCATCACTAACCCAGTGTCGAAAGCCCCGGCATTGACCAGTACGATATCTAGCTTTGCTTGTTCGATTGGTTAGTGGCCATAGCCTTGTATTGGCGAGGCGGGTGCACCTACCGTAGACTAGTCACTCTCTGGGTCACGTTGGACAGCCTCTAGCCGTGAAAGTGTCTGCCTACCATCGTATCATAGTTTGCTCCCATATTAGCGCGCGCTCACGTAAAGCTCAAGCCATGCTGACCGCCAGTACGGCGAGCCTTAAGGCCACCTTGAGCCAAGTGCGCCAGTGTAGCAATGGTGGAACCACATTATGCAAAAGATAGCGATCAGAATTATCCGCAGCGAGTGTGTGAGGATTCACAGTGGTCCGCTTGACATCTAATGTACACTGTGTCTTATTAAAATCCTGTATGCTTCTTAGCCAATTTTAAGTAATCGATTGACGGAAAAGGCGTATCTAGAAATCCTTGTTTCCATGAATCTTAAGAGAATGAGCCCAACGACGCAGACTCCCTGACGTTGGTACGTTACGAATATGAGTGAAGTTACATCAGGGTGTAACACAAGGCAGACCGCCGAGTGTACGTTGAGAATAGTATGGGCCATACTCCTTGATTGGTTTTCCACAGTTTGGAACCAACTTCCGAACGCATTAGATGACGTGTCATAGATAATGCTTCAAATCAGGGCTAGATTGGGTCAGCATGCTTTCTCAGGTTCTCTCGTCGTCATCGCGGAAGCAAACATCTTGATGCCCTTGTGGCACATGGAAGTGGTGCGGAGTTCCAACAATGCCTTCACGGCGGGTCAGCACACATGTGAAGTAAGGACGCTCTCACCGGTGTTTTATGGGTATATAGTATCTGATTTCCGAGTTGGTTACTGCTTTCTTTTGAAACCAACTTGCTGAACAACAATCAAAGCATCCATTGTCGAGCCTGCGGCCACATTACCTCTCCACTAGCGTCACTCAAAGCTTCGTAATCGAAAACATGAAGATCAACGTTGGCTTCGATACGGTTAATGTGGACGGTAGCACCTTTCGGGCTTGGTTCCCTCAGCTGTCGTATATGTCCGGATTTGACGGTGATCTCGTGGAAGACATCAACACTCGCATTGGTGGAAGGTATGGCATAACGCGAGAGGACATTGAACACGCGCTGCTCGCATTCTTCAAACAACTGGAGTATCGTCTCGTTTCGTTGGAAGGCCAGACACGGATACGCGTAGTTGGTTTTCTGATGAACCAAGTGCAGAAAGATATGCAAGAGATGTGGAAAGCCAGGGGCCTTAGAAAATCGCGGCACATGTTCATTATTTTGGCCTACCTAGCATCAGAGGGTCAATCCATCTACCTTGCTGAGGCCTTGGTCCGATTTTGGTCGCAAGGAACGCGGTATCTAATGCAGGAGTCACAGCAGTACCACGGGGACTGGCACAAAGCTCTCGAAAAGATCCGGGACTTGATGGAAGGCCCTCCCAATCTGCGTCTTGAAGCACTAGCGATGATTCCATACGCTGAGATGCATCGTCGTCGATCCCCCCGCGCCTTAGCACTGCCATGGCTAGGGCACAGAGCTCGGTCACTACCAGCAATTCGACATCGTCATAACGCAGACATGCGTCTTGCAAGTCCCTTATATCCCAGCTCTGCTTGGACCTCGCCAGTCATTTCACCTATCGGCTACCCGAGAGACGACTATCTCGAGGAGCTCGGCAACCTTCAGTACCAACAGAGCGAAATGAACATGAAGTTGAACAACGTCGATGGAAAGCTTGACCTTCTACTTGCCAGCTATTACTAGTGATCAAGAGCAGCGCTTTTTGGATCCTGAGCATAGAGTGGATCAATCTATCGTTCTGGGGTGGTGGGCTGTCGTGGTGACTAGCTGCGGATCAAGATGGCGAGCACCCGGTTGCTAGCATTGAGGGTCTGATTTTCGCAATGGGGAGGGTTGAGATGGTTCAACACGGAATGCGAGGCGCGGGTCGATTATTGGAAGGTCTTTCAGCGGGTAGGCTCCAGACTATCTATGATTCAGGAGACAGATGAGCGTTTTAGCGAGGTGTTGCATCGACGGCCTATTTCATGGTCATCTAGGTATTCCTTGCAATTTCGGTAATTTGTGTTTTGCTAGGTAGAAGCGTTATATAGCATACTGAGCACCCTCTGCCTTCCCTGCCATAGTTTACAAGCTCAGGACTTTCAAACGCGAATTGAATGTTGTACTACCGCGGCCGATCGAAAGATTTGCCCTACCTATTGCGTATATAACCCGTTCTTCTCTGCTTGTAAAACGGAGGCAGCAAGCTGATTCGCGCTATCGTATCACAGTGATACTGGGCAAAGCTGAACCATGGTATCGACAGTCATTGGCTAGAATCCTATGAGGCGGCCACGCGCATCGTCGAAGCAAACATGTACGACACTTGAATTCAGCCGCTTGACCAACGATCGGTCGCAGAGGATAGTATCAGCCTGGTGTTCACCGACCTTTGACGTATAAAGACATCAGCGAACCGTTGAGAGGATCTTTGGGCGTTCCTGTGCGACCACAAATCTCTCCAAGCGTTCTCAAAATCCCTTCATACGTACTGCAAATCTTCAAACTCCACACGGCTGATTCATGGAGGATATCGGCGTGATTCACCTCGATAGCGGCCGCTTGTTCAAAATCCGGCTGAGCGAGTTGGAGCGATGGCTTCCAAAAATCCACCATCTGGTCCATTTCAATAGATTTGACGCCCGTGGCCTGGTTGTACAGATGACCGGTATTTTCGATGGCCAGGTATACCGTACCATCACAGCTGAAACGATCATAACAGTTTTGGACGAATTTATGACACAGCTAGAATTGGAACCTCTTTTCGCCCCTCCTACTGGAAAGACTCTGCAGAGAAGCATCGAACTTCGTCTTAGGAAGGACTTGCGTGTCGCAAATATCGCAGGTCTTCGGCGTAGCAGAGAGAACTTTATAATTCTTTGCCTCTTAGCGCGACTCAGCCGATCGCAAGCTCTAGCGAAATCCATGGCAACTTTCCTGCGCTGTTTTGTTTGGGAGATCGTTCACGGTGAAGAACCCGAGCTGTTTAGAGAGTGGTGCATGGGCATCGTTGAAATGCGAGACTTGGTACCCCACCAGATCCTCAAGGAGCTGTTGCACTGCTTCTTCGGATTCGTCGGTCGAGCATACGAGCCCAGGCTGCTGCCTGCGTACTACGACCGACACGCAGAGACTATAATGAGATACATGTTGCAAGCGCAACACCACTCGCTGCTCAATCATCCACGAAGAAGGGCATTGCTGATACTCGAAGATCCAGCTGGATACTTGCGGGATCGGCTTTTGGGTGTTGGTCGTCCTCTGCAGCATTATCGTCATCATCGCCAACTTCAACTCGCATATCCATGGGTTCAGCCAAACGGAAGCTTCGATGAGGTCGAGAAAATGCAGTATCAGCAGGAGGAGATGAACATGAAGATTGACCACATGAACCGAAAGCTCGATTACTTGATCTGAATTTGGAGCTTCGAAAGAATTGGGACTTCGTGTCGTCGTGATTATATGTATACTGCTGTATCTGGTTCCCTGACTGAGTTATGCCAGGGTATCTTTGTCGGTGGCTGAAGCGGTTAGCCAGACTCAACGTGACGTGAGCGTCTATAGAAACTTACCACTGCGTTACTGTATCCGATTGTTGCATAAAGTATCACAGATACTTGCAATGTTCATTATGCTCCATGCGCGTCGCTAATTTGAATGTTCTCTGAGCGTGCAAGACCATGTCGAGCGCTTGTACACCTCACTATAGCTATGCCATCATCTCAAGTAGTGGATGACCAGCCAGCAGAACAGGAAAAAGACCACCACCCCGCCCCAGAAGATCCACTTATCCTGCTTCGCTCTCCTCTCTACCATACGTATGGTGTCACCACTAATACCCAAGGTGTTTGCAACGGTGTAAAGCCGCCTCTGTGTGCCCTTGAGCATATCCCTCTGCTGGCCCAGGTCGCCGAGCACAGCCCTCCCTCTGTCTAGGAACTCATCTAACTGCTCAGACGTCTTGTTGAAGAAGGTGTTTTCCCTCAGCACATGACCCTCGCGATCATAGTCACCGCCTTGAGGTGCGCCAGCAGAGTATGGGTTCGGTCGGTAGGGAGCATTGGGGTTGTAGGGTTGGGAGGGTGCAAAGGCCGAATGCTGGGCGGAGAGATTAGGTTGTGCGTAGGGGTTTTCGGGCGTAGCTGTGTTGTGCGGACGGCGGCCTAGCAGTTCTGTGCGCGCTTCTGTACTTTGCTATTGCTAGTTAGCACCGAAGCTAGGGGTCCAAGGACGCTGGTTCGGAACGTACAATATCCTCATTTGCGCTCTTAATCCGTTTGAAGTTGGCCCTGTATTCTTCCAGTTCAGCTCGGAAGTTCTTCAATCGCTCCTGGGCCTTTTCTGCCTTGGTCTGTACAGGTTCTTGCTTTGCAAGCTTGCCATAATCGTCGATGGTGCGTGCAAAGGAAGTCAACGACGCGTTCAGTTGGGCTTGGAGATGTGGTGACGGCGAGGCCGAGTCGGCAAACTGGTCCAGATCTTTTCGTATCGACGTCGACTGCCGTAAGGCGGAATTGAAGAGCGCGTTCTGTGTGCGATGTGAACTTGTGTTGCACCAACGTGAACGGGGAAGCAAACCATTGTGGATTTGAAAAGTTGCGGTAATGTTTCGACGAGTCAAAGACACTGCGAGTAGGCTTGCGTCTTAGCGCGATGTTTGTAGCAGCTGGTGTTATGTTGCAGCCTTGTAGGCAGACTCGTGACTTGACACATTGCATCATCGCGAAGTTCGACTGCTGGAACCTCGGTGAATTGCCAAGCCTCTAGCCTGTCTGCGCTAGCGGCATAGCTAGAGGCCCTCTCACTTCCTAGAGTTTGACATCTGGGTACTCCGTTGCAGCATATAAATCCCAGCTTCATCTCAAGACTCCACTTGAAGGTCCCGGGCCTTGTAACTTTCGACAAGTACATCATACCGAATTCCTCGACGATGCCGCTCCCTGCTGGTACAATACGACGTCTTGTAAAGACAGAAGACTAGAATGCTCTCGAGCTTCTATCGCTATGCGTGTTTGCGATGCCTAGGCTACCCAGCCATGTCTGCTGCTGTACGTATGTATCTGCACAGGCCACAACCGTCTGCTCTGCCTAGTGGCAATATCCCTTTCGTCCCTTTAGTCATTGCACAGCGCTCCGCACCTTATCGGCTTCTCTTTGGCGTGTTCAAGCTTTCAATGTCCCGTGGTTGACGTCGTCTTCTCCATTCCACCTGCCTATTCTGGTAAGCATCTACCCTGTCGGCATGTAGCAAGCCTGGGTATCAACGCTTGCCGAGCCGCGGGACAGGTGCATCTCGAAAAGAGATCGCAAAACATGATGAGCAGCGTCTATTGTAGACCCGGTATGCTAACTAGCATGGGAAGTTCGTTGTGTGCTGCTTCCGATATGCGGATCCATGTTATAGCGTGCCGTCTCACGCCCTGGGCGACAAGCCATCTAGTCATCACTATAAGACGGCAATCCACAACGCAACATCTGGAAGGATAACCAGCTGTTCGTCGCATCGACAATGTACCTCAAATCGGCTCTATTCGGCAGCGCGCTGCTCTCGACAGCCTGCGCGCATGAGATCCTTTTTGGCCGCGACCTTCCATTACCAGTGGCAGCCAATGCAGAGTCATACACCGACTGTGCTAATGCCGCATGGCCTCCATCAAACGTTGGCGTGGAGCTGATTCCGCAAGTACCGGACGATGAGATGCGAGCCATTGTGAACGAGATCAGCCCAGCCAACATCGAAGCCACAATCACCAAGTTAGTCTCGTTCGGAACCCGCCATACACTGGCTACATTCAACAGTTCAACGCGCGGGATCGATGCAGCAAGAGACTGGATAGCTTCTGAGATGCGGAAGTATGCCGCGGAGAGCAATGGCACGATGACGGTGGAAGTACAAAGCTATCTACAAGGAGTGGCCAGCAGAATCCCCTTTCCCGTGTACATCTCGAACGTGCTAGCAACTGCCAAAGGAAGTGAGGACCCGGAAAGAGTATATGTCATGACTGGACATTATGACAGTCGCGTTACGGATGTCCTCAACTATGAAGCCGATTCTCCTGGAGCCAACGACGATGCAAGCGGAGTTGCCAGTAAGTTAATATCGGATGCACATTCGGGGAACAATGGCTGATTTTGCTAAAAGTTGCGATGGAGATCGCGCGTGTCCTCGCAAAGCATCAGCCGAAATCAACGATCATTCTTGGTGCTGTATCTGGCGAAGAACAAGGCTTATATGGCTCGACCTATCTTGCACAAACCCTCAAGAACTCAAGTACCAATGTCGAAGGTATGCTTAACTGCGACATTGTTGGTTCTTCAACTGGGGATCGAGGTCAGAAAGATCCATATACTATTCGTGCTTTCGCACAAGGTGTTCCTCCTCTATCTGCCGAGAACAACGTCACTGCAGCACGACGCCTCCAAATTGGTGGCGAGAACGATAGTCCGGCACGAGAGCTTGCGCGCTTCTCTGCCGAAGTTGCTGCCAACAATGCCACCGGCATGAACGTAGCCATCATCTACCGTTTAGATCGCTTCCTGCGCGGAGGCGACCATACTGGATTTCTCCAGGCGGGTTATCCAGCCATCCGGTACACAGAGCCTAACGAGAACTTCGCTCATCAGCATCAAGACTTGCGTACCGAAAATGGCACTGTTTACGGCGATTTGATTGAATTTGTCGATTTTGACTTCACAGCACGTGTCGGTAAAGTCAATCTTGCGACGCTTTGGTCCCTGTCTCAGGCTCCTGCGATGCCACGCAACGTTACAATCGATACCACAGTCTTGGACAACGATTCGCGCATCAAGTGGATAGTTTCCAATAGCACAGATGTTGCAGGCTATGAGATTGTATGGCGATCCACCACAGCAAGTTTGTGGACTCGCATGCTCGATGTTGGCAAGGTCGGCTCAGTCGTTCTTCCGCTTAGCAAGGACAATGTTATCTTTGGCGTAAGGGCCGTCGGAACGAACGGGTATAAGAGCCCTGCTGTCTATCCTTTCCCAGGATAGAGGGAGATGATCTGAAATGCTTTTTGCAGAAGGAAATTGTCTTGATGCGCGTCATTGGGACGAAAAAGTGGAATTCAACGATGCAATAGATTGTATATTTTCCCGCATACCTTTCCCTAGAAGACTGGCGGGGCTCTCAATACTAAGATGGTAAATACACGTGATCGATTTCTTAGGCCAGCCCTCGCAAGCATCTCCGCTTTCGGCACGTATGCGCCAAGCGTCACCAGCTACAGCAGACATGCAAACCTCGGGTCAGAGCGATATAATACATGCGCAAGGCACAATTGTTCAGGAATATCCCCTAGCTCTGCTTGATTCGTGAGCATCCTCCTACGGTCTTGTTGGCTTCGTTGTACAGTCTCTTTAACCATGTCGCCGACTAACACTATAACACAGACCACAGCAAGCACCAATACACTTTCAGGTAGTATTTCACACACGAACATCGAGTTGCAATCTACAGTGCCAGTAGCATTGCGCGACCAAGGACGTGTATTGGGTAACGAAGAAAGTAAAAGCATCGATCCGATTGAGTCCCTTCCTCAGCCATCAACTGCGGTGTCGGTAGTTGAACGATGGAACCATCCGAAGGCCAATATATACCGCACATTTGCTATTCTGTTCGCCTTTACTATCATGGGCGCGAATGATGCCGCTTATGGTGTGAGCAACCCTGTCCTTCCTGTTCACGTAGGATGCTGACCTTCCGAAGGCCATCATTCCTTATCTTGAAGGTTACTACAATCTCACATATGTCGTGGTGTCCCTGGTATTTCTCTCTCCGATGGGTGGCTATGTTAGTGCTGCCCTTTGCAACAACTGGCTGCATGTCCGTCTTGGTCAGCGCGGAATTGCTTTCGTCGGACCCATCTGCCACCTTGTGGCCTATGTAGGCATATCCCTCCATCCGCCCTACCCTGTCCTGGTAGTTCTGTTTATTTTCTCTGGTTTTGGCAACGGCATCGAGGACGCAGCCTGGAATGCCTGGGCAAGTAGTTTGGCCAATGCGAACGAGGTCCTAGGATTCTTGCTTGGCTTCTATGGTCTTGGGGCTTTGCTGGGTCCGCTCGCTGCTACAAGCTTGATTGCGAAGCGCGGATGGCAGTGGTACCAGTTTTACTACATTTTGGTTAGTCATTCGGGCCGTGCGTGAACCTTTACTCACTCTCAATAGCTTGGGGGAGCAACCATTGAGCTTGCAACATCTCTCTGGGCCTTTTGGTCAAGATCAGGTCAAGTGTATCGCGAACAGAACCCTGCTACGAATGCAGCGGGTAAAGGCCGTCTTAAGCAAGCGCTCAAGAGCCGCGTCACCTGGGTGGCATCTATCTTTCTCTTTAGTTATGTTGGAGCTGGGGGAGCGCTTGGAGGTTGGATCGTGACTTTCATGCGCCGAGAGCGAGCCGGTGGCGAGTTTGAGTCTGGTATTGTCGCTACTGGATTCTGGACTGGCATCGCTGCCGGACGTCTCATCTTGAGCTTCGTCACTCCAAAGCTTGGTGAGAAGTTTGCTGTCCTGGTATGGTAGGGACCGGAAAAGTGGATGCATAAACTCATTCTATATCAGGTTTATATCATCATCGCCATCCTCTGCCAACTTATCTTCTGGCTCGTCCCGTCGTTCCACGTCTCAGCTATCTTTGTTGCACTACAAGGGTTTTTCCTTGGCCCATTGTTTCCAGCGGTCATCGTTGCAACAACAAAAGCTCTCCCGCCATATCTCCACGTCTCCGTGATCGGGTTTGCTGCCGCAATCGGTGTCGGTGGCGGCGCTGCATTACCCTTTGCTATTGGATCACTGGCTCAAGCAAAGGGTCTTGGTGTCTTGCAGCCCACAATCCTCACTGTTCTCGTAGTGCTTTTGGTACTATGGCTCTGCTTCCCAAAATTAGGAAAAAAGAGAGTGGAAGGAGATATACCCCTATCAAGGCCAGAGGAGCCGCGGAAATGGTGGCTTAATTTAGATTTCGACCTGATTGAAACCGGAAGACACGCCATTACGAAGGCTCGGGGCTGCTAAGCGGGCAACATTATCAGGAAAATATCGTGGCAAGCGCACTCATCTCAGAGCTGAAAAATCCGCATGCAGTGTCAGCGGGTGCAAATGCCTGGAGCCATCTGCAGATGGGGCTGCAACCTCTCTCCATGCCTCCTTCTATTCCAGTAGGCGGACTCCGTCTCTTTCGTCGTTATATAATGTACAGGCTACACAGGTTTCACTTACTTCAACTTTATGTTTACCAACGTCAACACTCAATACACTGCACCGACTATAATTCAACTTCGACGTCAAGTTGTATCTGCGTGACTCGAACGTGTTAACATCAGAGTGCCAAGCGCGAGTTAAGACTTTCAGTCAAGATCATTTAGGACTTTGCGATCAAATCTTACGGTCTCGCACCTTTGTTCACCGTCTTCGATCTCTTATCGCCAGTAGCATCTACGTCGACCTCATGTCGTCGACCCCATATGAAGCTTCTTCATGCTCCATCACAGGCATGGCGCAATCCCTAGCAGTTACCTTGGATGAAAGCTAAAGTACGAAGATTGATCCACACGGACTGCATACCTCCTCAACCGCCGAACTGGAAACGTCTGGAAACAACGAACTCAGCCCGACGGAAGACCTAATATATCAAGGGACAAACACGAGAAGTGTCACATTGTTGGCCTCGAAGCGCTTGAGGAACGTGGTGAAAAGCTGTTAGCGATCGGCCAAATCATCTGAGCAGCGTACGCATGTGATCACCTTAACTTTTATGATGGCGAAAGCTTTGTTTTGTCCACGGTTCTACCAGGGTTCAGCAAGGGTGTACTCATAGCTGAGGCTCACGATAATGATCATCGTTTCAAACTTATGATCTGGTTCACGGATGCCATCAGCAAGGCTAAAGTGAACATTTTGAAACCACTTACAGGATATACACAGGAGGATCCGAGTGTGGGGGTTACACTTTCATGTCACTAGTAATTTCTCGATATATTCATCTGCAAGATGCTAAAACTCTACATTTCAGCCCTCATCAGATCTTCATAAGTCCTCCCGGAAGTTCGGTCAACCCTGGGTCAAGCTGTCAGCTCATTGAAGACTGCACAAGGGTGCCGTGCATGGACTTACATCCATCAATATCCTCGTCAACGGTCCGTGGTACGGTGCATTTCATCGCTTCCTCGGTAGACTGATAGTCTAACACCGAACAAACATCTCCGGTACAGCGCGCATCCATCGCTCGCTGGAGCGAGTCATCTTTCCATCCAAAGACGTAATCGCCGTGCTGGGTAAACCCATCTCTATTTATGACAAAGTCAGACTTGGTGCATTATACTTTGTACGCTAGAGATGTACAGGAGGCAGGAAGAGAAAGGCAAAAGGCGACTTACACATCTCCAGTACTAAGCACAAAAGGCTGTGTTCCATCCTCAGGCCACAGTGCTTCGTCATTAAAGATCCTTGTATCCCACATAACCTCATACATAACCTGCGGTATAGCGACGGGATGACTTTGTGGACAATTTCCCGTGGGCCCAACAGCGGTATCCAGCGAGCCGTTTGCATAAGCTACATGGCTTTGGTGATCTGGACTGTCCAGATTGACACCATCCCAGCAAGTTGGAAAGGTAATGACAGAGCGTATTCCACCAGCACAGAAGCCTTTGGGAAACGTCTGAGCATCCGGATCTACACAGTTAAGGCGATTTTCTTCGCCAACTTCTGGTAAACATCGGTAACACACTTTGCGTGCAGAGGATACTTGGGTGGTCGCTGTTGCGTCGCCGATCAGCATACGAAACCCGGGACGGAAGGCAGTGACAGCCGTTGAGTTATCCATGTCTGGTATATAGTATACGGTAATGCCTCCGTTACCCTTCAATCCTTCACTAGTGAATTGCGGAACACGTTTGTAGGTGCCATTGCGTGCACGAAAGTATAGGACCGCGGTCCAGTAGTTTGAGAAGTCTTCGGAGAAGGTGCAACTGGTACAAGTGGAAGAGTTGGCGAGGTCGTATGTCACCGGTGGCATGTATGCAGTAAAGGAGTTTCCGCCAACGATTTGATGGAGGTGTGGAGATGGGGCGACGTTGGGATTCACGAGGGGATCTAACCTCTCGACGACAAGTTGCGAACATTGGAAGCGTAGCATAGGTGGTCTGTCCAATGGGGATTGGCTCGAGGCATGACTAACCAAGAGTAGAAAGAAAAAGAGGGTTGTGCAGACTTTTGCGATCGCGAGGCGTACCATGATGATGGCGTAAGAAGAATACACAGAGAAGCTAAAGGAGACTTGGCAGAATAACCAAGTCGTATGTATACATGTCACCCTCGCCAATATTCTACACCCCTTGAGCTCAACCCACAAGCAGATAGTGTTGAGTACGCAGTTAATCTAACGCTGATTGTAGTGGGGCCCGGGAGTTGCAACCCCTAGGGTCAACTGAATGTTGTGCGACTTCAACCTACCGTTTCGGAACTCTGTCAGCATTGCACTCTACAATTCGCAGCATTGGTATGTGGGGAGTGAGCGGTACCATGCCTGTGAAACGATATGATGAGTAAATTTCAGTTGAAAGTGCCGCAGATATACACAATCCACACTGCATGATGGAAAGCCTCTCTACTTTGCCTAATGGATTTCCCATTCAATCCGACCAATCTCTCGTACATGATATTTCTGCAATGATGGGCTAAAGTGTAGGAGTGATGAAGCTCATCCAGTCATTGAACACTCTGTCATCATGTCGAACCCCGTTCAGTGCCTGGCACAACGTCATACTGTCGTTAAAGTCAAACATCAGCTAATTACCAGGTCAGCTGCAAATTCTAGATTGCGTACTAGAAGCTGTTGTTCGACTTGTACGATGGTGGCTCCTCATATCGTCGAAGCGTTTCAACAAGATTGCGAGCGCTCTCGTGTGTGTTTTTTTGGACCACGGGCCCGTTGGTTTTGGCGATGACGGCAAGGGCGGCTATAGCACCAGCGGTAATGAGAGCCAGTTGTGGCCGATGACAATAGTGCGCGACAGTGTCAGCCTGTTCTTCGTGTTCAGCCATGGAGGGCGTAAGTTGTGGGTTCTCGGGGGACCGAGGTAGTGCTTGACATGCTACCACCACTGCCACTCTTCCTTCTTTTGTGGTGTTTTATAGAATCGGAACCGACGCTTGAACGGCGGTTGGCGGAGACTGGCTGCATAGGAAAATAGCCAGACTCGTCTTCGATGGCAAAGCGCACTGGTGTTCTCGCCCTGCTCTGCACCGGACTCATCCGGAACGCTTCAGAGCCGGCACTCCACCTCTGGCCTGGGCTCACGCCGCCTGTCAGGCTTCTAGCATGTCTCCTGGTAGGCGTCTCAGCAGGCAATTGAAGCCTCGAGTTGATGCCCATCCACAGTGCCTCTTCGTCATCATCGCCAGACATCCTCCACCCGCCCACGCCTTCGAAGTCGCGCGTCAACTCGCTTGTACCGATGAGCGCCGTGAGAGAGTTGTTTTTGTGCTTCAGAAGACGCGACGTGTGTGCCGAATGTGTGCCAGTGTCTTGTGAAGATGTCGTGCTGGCCGTGCTGGCCCGGCGATGGCGCTGTCGGGTCGGAGACTGTCGGGCGGATGAAGGCATAAGAGAGGAACGGCGAAGCGGCATGGGCTTCGGCGGCGAGGGGGAGAGCCATGCTCCAACGATGGCTACTGCCAGGCGGCAATACACAGCCAATGCGCGCAAGGAGAGCAGCGATATGGCAACTGACGTGGTGACGACGGCGAAGATGGCGAGCGGGATGGAGACGGACAGTAGTATCAGAGGCGTGAGGGCGTAGACTGGGTTCCACATGTTGGGCTCCACGCTGCATGAGCCCAGTCGAAGCAACATGGCGTCGACTCGCTGTCTTTCTTGTACAAGCAATGACGAACGTCTTCGCATGTGAAAGCTGCGGGGAAGCGCCAAGACCTAGGTAGGTAGCATCAACAGCGAGCGCGCCTCCCTCGCTCAATTGCCACTGAACCGCCTTGCCGTGCTCCGTGCAGGCGTGATTCCGATGCCGATGAGAACTGCGCCCAGAGAGGTGCCTTTGAAGATGCTCTCGTACTGTTCAATCTTCAGACGCGTCGAGTAGGGCTGGCGTCTGATGCGAAGAAATGTCGCTCCTGTGACGGCAAGCCACGCACCGAAAAGGATCTCGTAACGATACTTTTCCACCACGGTTTCCGACGCGTTACCAGGCATTGTACTGAGGCGGTCGACCAAAAGCAAAGGTGGAAAATGCAACCAAGGTTGCAGGATTGGGCGGGAGACGTCTTGTTAACTAGGACGAGCTTCATGACGTCGTCGGCACACCATCACGCGCTCGCCACCGCCATATGCATCACACCAGCCCTCAGACCACTACAGTCCCACTGAGAAGCATCGTGCCCACATTCACCGTGGTTTTCGTAAACACAGCGCCATTTACTCTTTTCCTCTTACTAACCATACGTCCAAGACAAAACTTACCTACCATTGTCAATTTACTGTGCAGCCGTCGCATCGCTTTGTCTACGCCGACTTCCCCTTGTCTGGCCTTATCACGGAATTACCATCATGAGTACGCTAGACAAGCCCAGTTCCAATCGCAGCCTAATCGTTTAAATTCTCATTGCTGTAACAGCAGTACTAACGGTGCCCGTCGTCCCTTTGTAAGCGAAACGGCCTGTGGAGGCTGAGTTGGGCATTTCATAGTAACGGCTTTGTTTCTTGATGCAATCCGCAAACAAAGGTAATTAATTACTCGACTTACTACAGCAGTCGTCTCGCCTTGGAACACGACACCGTTCAGTCATTTAGCTCGACGCCACCTCTATAAGTTTGAATTTTGCTTGAAACCATCACAATGTCAGCATCAAAACTCACATCAGGCGCAAACAAGACTACCTCGTTTGACACAGATATTGGATCCCTGCCTTCAACACCCGACGACTTCCAACCTCGAGTCATATCCGAACGAATATTCATTATCGTCACTTCTGTGCTAGCTGCCACACTCATCTTGACCATCCTTATTGGATGCGTACACTTCATTCGCCGACGACGCCGGCGGCAACATGGCAAGAATCGCGAACAACAAGATATTGAACAAAGTCTACAACGAGCTCGAAGGCCAATACTCACCATAGATACTGATCTATCACGCGCAAAAGATTTGACTAGGCCTGCAATCAGAGCCACGTTACCGTATTTGCCCGGGCACAGTGAGGTACTATCTGCGCCGTTGGTTCAGGTCAGGACTGCTCCTCCAAGCATATACAGCTCTGGAATGAGTGCTTTCGGCCCAGCAAGATTCTATAGCGCCAGCAGAAATTCTTTAAACTCACATCTGCCTGGTGTCCCTGGCAGGAATATGAGAATGCCTGTGCATCAAGACACTACATTTCAAGAGATGAACTTCAGAGAGTGCACGCAGACCCATAACCCGTATGATATGGGACTCGACCGCTACATGTAGACTAGTGGGATTATTCTACAAGTCGGCTGCTGATAGCACTTTGTGTGCTCACTTCCCTTGATTCCCTACACATTGTTGTTGTTCCTAACCCTCGACTACAACCTTATCTTCAGATCCCCCTCAGGACCACCGATACTTTTACGGCCGCTGAATTCGTAGTCCCAGCTCTTCTCAACGACAGTATCTATACATGACGTTAACTTATCCGGATATCGTGGCTACTGTGTCAGGCGTACTGCTATTAGTCATTGGTTTAATCTGGTACTTCGTCCACCCAGTCAGCCGATTCACCTTTTCACGTCGGAGATATCCATTGACTATACGAGACGAAGAGAATCAACTCTTTTCCACATCCAGTAATCGCCTCTCCAGCATCGGTACTTTCGAAACTATTGGTAATCTCATAATCTCTCCAGGTCGTCGCCCTCTTCCCTCGGCACTAGACATCGTCAATCATGTAGGGATGGCTATTGGTCTACCAGCAAGCGCAAAGCCAGTAAGATTGAAAGACGTTCCAAGAGTATCCTTACGTCTACCGCCTGTGACGCCTATGACCCCGACAACAAAAGTCAACATCGTTATGATGGAAGCTGAAGCCAAAGCTGGATCCCTCCACACCAGCAACGATGCTATGCTCAACACAGCTACTTCGGGTCGAGCATATTCCGTACATCTTGGAACTGCTCCTCAAGCACGGAACATCGAGAACCAAGCTGATATTACTTCGCGACGTAGGGAACCTACTATTGCCATGAAAAATCATGACTTCGACCTTGGTCTGGAGACCTGTTTGGATGAGCCCTTGGGGGAAATCCAGGATGTCTTTGTCATTGGTCATGATGACGATAATGAGCCTGAACAAGTTGATCTTGCTGATCACAAGATAGCTTGTGGCTTCGGATCAGGTAGATCTATGGCAGCACTCTATCATGCGGTGTAAGTTAGAATATGCAAGCGTAACATCACAACACTAAGAGCTTTTGCAATGATTCGCTGCCTATTTATTTGACGTTTCTCGTGTTGTTGAGAGGTAGTAAACAATTCTCACGGGAGATATCTATATTGTCACAACCTCTTTCTTAACCCGTGGCGTGTGCCTGGTTCTCGCTACCACTTTGATGAATTGTGTGACGACAAAGAAGACATCATGAGTGCTCGGCAAGTGTTCCAGTCCACCCAGACACAACTTCCAGTCGCGAACATCTGGTCTACTTATCCGCCTCAGTGGAAACAAGATGCGAGCTGCTGGAGGCAAAGCTCTCCAAAAACAGGGCTGGGATATGGAGAGATGCTTGGCGATAGATATGGGCCATGCTGATCCGGGGAAGGACCGGTGCGCTTAGTCAGCCAGTGCTCGACGCGTCGACGCGTTGTCGCGTCTATCTCTCCAGCCACCAACTGTTCTTTTTATTTCTCCATGACCCTCTTTCGATTATTATCTGCTCCAACGCAGTCATGGCGATCCCCTCAGTGCACTTGGACCCGTACTGAATAGGACTTGAACCGCACACAAACCTCACTTGGCGTGCGTAACAGAGAATTGTTCAGCACCTGCGGCTTCATACCAGCTGTCCCTGTGCTTGTCAGAGAGCGCGGAATCGGTACGCGTGCCATGAATTCAGATTCAGTACCTGATGATGCTTTACGTATCCTTATTGATGAGCGCACAAATAGCCTTGAAGCCTCGGAAAGTATCCTGGCTCCGGCCCGCAGTTTTCGGATGCATGCGCTTCTGGATCCCGATAAACGCCACTCCAGTTTTTCAGGCACTGTTCGCATTTGTACTTTGAAGAGCCCTATACAGCTTGGTGTCACAGCTTTGGCATTGTTCGTTATCACTGGCTGGTGTCTCCAAAGGTCATGTTTCAAGATCGTCGCATCACCGGAAGGCCCGTCGCGGGATGATCACATCTGCTAGGACAACCCGGGAGACAGGTGAGGCTCCTCTACGAAGCTGTTTTACCGTTCCTTCAGCACCCTATGAACCTTGGAGAAATAGTCATAGCTGCGATTGGGTTGTTCGACCATGATGGTTCATGATTGACACCTACTTAGAATATTATCGTCCCTAGTATGTCACCAGTGTTGTTCACCGAAATCGTATTCCTGTCCACTTTAGCCAGTCTTTGCAGAACATTGTAATGCACAAAAGAGACTCCGACACAGAATGCGCGTTCCTGACATGCCCCACGCGCGACATGGAGCTGGCGTGTTTCTAGCGTTTCTAGTTCCACGTCTAGGATGTTTCGAAAACGCCTTCCTGGACAGCATTACCATGTCGACCGTGCTCGACATATAGCATCGTTGTGGCTCTTGGCTGATGGCCTACTTCTGTTCTTTCGAGTGAGCGTTGTGGCAGGCCACCGCCATTGACACTTTCGCGCTTTGGTTCCTTTTTGTACATGTCGTTGAGATACCCCACTACTATCTTGTAATAATGTTTTCGTTTGCTTCTGGAAGGCCGGTCTGGCACCTGCTAGCATGTTTTGCGACACTCTTTATGCTTTATTCGTCGGTCGCCTTCTGGTTCAGCACGCAGATAACGATCGCCAGCGAGCGATATCCAGACAGTCTCACAGCGATCTTCACGCCTCAAACTATCGATGCGCTCAACCAAGACGTACGCTTACATGACGCACTGCTGTCGCTCACGGACGCTATTGCATACTCGTCAAGTGATATCGGTAGACGATTTCGCTTGGAAAGTCTGAAAAGTCTCGGGTCTAATCTAACGGACGGAGTCAACAACCTTCGCAACAAGCATCGACTAGAGTTAAAAAGGCGGGATATGAAAGATGATCTAAGCGGGGCCTTCCGAGATTTGACAGGTGGTGCTGTTAGCATAGGCGGGTTGAATATGACGGGTGGGCTGACGAGTGTACTGGGCAGTCTAGGAGATTTGATGGTTGGCTCACTCGGAACGCCTGCTTTGTTTCTGGGTATCGGTCTAGGGTACGTATGCGTCCAGATCATTGAGTAAGACTGACCATCTACAGCATGGGTACAACGACTGCTCTCAATTTGACCAACATGGAAGAAGCCAACGCGATAGCTTCGAACATTGCAACCGCTTACAACGCTTCAGCAACAGGTGCGAACCTTGCCGCTCAACAACTCGGCAGCGGGCTATCTAGACAGATTACTCCCTCGTTCGGCAGCAACAAAATCTCTCTTGGCCCTGCGGCTTTTGCGCTAGCATCTGGTATCGGAAATGCAACTGCAGTGGGCTTTGGATTGACACATCAACGATTGACGCCATCGGCAGACTCGAGCATTGAGGGCGTAGCTGGAAATCTCGGTCTTGGAGTTGCTATGCCCATCATATCCAACCTTCATCTTCAAGCCATGGTTAGGAGCTTGAGGAACAGCTCTAGTTTCTCCATGCTGACGCAGAAGCTTCCTGAGCTTGCTGCTGCTGCTGGTCTAGGTATAGGAGAGGGCGCAAGGAACGGCCTGGGGTTCACCGCGTCGAAGTCGCCAGCGCCCGAACACCGGAAGCGACAATCGAAGAATACTGTCATGGAAACCACGGACTTTCCTGGGACTGTGCAAGCTTTCGCCCGAGGTCTCAGTCAATCGTTCATCCAAGACAGCAACTTTTCAACCTTCACCGTTGGCACTATCACGGTTTTTCCTAATCAAACCGAGCTTCAGGGCATGCTGCGGCCTATAGCAGCAGGAGCTGGTGCAGGTATAGGCATGGGAGTCGCCATCGGGTTGAGCTTCAAGCCTGCAGACTCGAAACCGATACTTGCTGGTAACATTACTGGAGATGACGAGCAGACAGCTTTAACCGCAGAAAGTTTCACGCAAAACATCTTCTCTAACCTCCTTACAAATAGCTCGGCTATCCAGCAAGCCAAACAGTTCATAGCGAGCAATCCGCCTCAGGCGTTCCAGAACATAGATGGCGCCAAGGCGGCGGAAGGCTTCGCTAGAGGTACCATTGAAGGAGTTGTAAGCGCGATGTACTCTGTCGGAGGGGTGAAGAACTTGATAAGTGGCAATGTCCCGAAAACCGCATACGACGAAGTGCCAGTCCTGGCGCCGACACAGTTCAACGACAGTGTAAATGGCTCGGCTGTGGGCTTTGCACGAGGTCTTACTGGCAAGGCGACGATCCTGATTGCTGAGATTGCCAGAAATCTCACGCAAGGCATGCCGAAGTCCGAGACACGTTCATCACGTACAAGAAGTATCGAAGAAGCACATGAGGATCCCAGTGTAGGTAAGATATTGCCATCCAATGCCTTGTTGCACACTCTGATACGTTGCAGTGACATCCAGCCTACTTTCTGTCCGCCAGGCCGAAGCGCAAGCTAAATTCCCTATTGCTATCGACGCAGAGACAGCACAGATGGGCGCTCAGAAAGTGATCGAGACCTTCACATGCTCAGGAATTGGTGGCATTGCAGCAGCAGCTTTGGGTGCTATGACTGCGGTCAAAGCGAATGCTAGTATGATGAGTATGGCAATGGGCCAATCTGGTCCACCTCTCGACTCGACTGTTCTGCAAGCCTTACCTCGAGGTCCTATCGTCCTTTCATCAGAGGGAAATATTTTCGAGATTGTCATTGAGAGTCAAAGTCTCAAAATAAATGGGTTAGCGCTCATTCCCTTTGCAGTTATCACAGGACTACACGGTAAGCTATGGGATTTTTTCATGTGTCATCTTGAGCTTTGCAACTAACCCATACGCATAGTACTATTTGCTGGTCTCGCTTTCCTTACTTTCCTTCCACTATACCTTGTCTTGGGCGTAGTCTGGCGATTCTCGGTCCTCACCGGCTACCCAGTCGACGAAGCTAAGAACAGAAAATGGCGCATGGGGTTCTTGATCACGTTCGCTGTCCTGGGCGTGGTTGGTATTATCCTTGGTATTACTGGTATGGGAAGTGCAAGTCATTTCCGGGATACACATGGGGTAAGCTCCTTGTACTGATATACTTTGAGAGATCTGAACTCATCCTTACCTACAGATCATGGGTCTCGTCTGTCTCATCTTCATCTTCCCGGCAGTTGGCTTCACCGTCGCTCGCTTACGCACCGAGCTCCCGCACCCCGACCCTTCGACATTCGCCGGTGTAAAAGGTCCTATAGCGCTTGCCAAGACGCCGCAACGCATCTACCTCATTAGCGGCATCAATACCCAACTCTTATTAGGTCTCGGCCAGTTAACCTTCTTGCAAGGCTTCTCTACGCTGCGTGCAATATCACTTTGCATCGTTGACGCGATTCTCACCTCCACAAGTGTTGCTGGTCTTGTGAGCTTCGTGCTGATGATACAGATCAGTGCTACAGCGTTAGTTGGCATCAGAGCATGGCTAGAACAGCATATCGCCAAAAAAGAAGCATCGGGTATTAAACCAATGACCGCTACTGTTTTTGGAAGTCATGGACGGAGCGACACAATAGCCACATTTGGTTTCGATCGAAAAGATCCACCGCCCGCTCTCAACTTCAAATCCAACAAATCGAAGCTTCCACAGAGAAAGACGGATGAACTCAAGGGCTCTGAAGATAATGGCATCAGCACACCATTCAACTTCCGGAAAGAAGGTAGCATGACTGAGATGGATACACGAGAAGACCCTTTCCTGTCACCAGAAGAGCGACTCAACTACCAGGAGCGAGGTATCTATAACCCCAAGACGGGAGGCTACACCTATCCGGCCCAGGGCATTGACAACGATGACTTCTACAATATGTCGGCGACTTATGGAGAGCGCCGCCCATCATCAGGCGTATTTGATCCCTTGCGATCTCCTCGTCCTCCGATCGCGGCAGACAACGGGCCAAGAATGACGGGTGTTACAGTACAGGATCTATGGCCTCCGCCAATGCCGGAAGCGTCGAGAATATACATGACCTCGAAGACTCAAACAACTGTCAGTAGTAGGTACAGCAGGCCGATAGATGGGAATGTACCGGTAAGGGATAGCTTCATGGGCTTTGGGAACCGGTAAATAGAACGCAAAACTTCTGAAGCAATACAGGGTCGTACATAAACCTTGAAGTATGATAGAGAAACAGGAATGAATGCTGTACATATATACACTGAGATGTGCGTGGGGTGAGCTCAAGTACGAAACTTGATGCTGACGTTCGTTGATAGTACTAGCGGTCAATTCGAGATGCCACTGTAGATCGATACGGGGCATCTAGAGTATACAATCTTAATATTCCCGAACCCTCAGTTCTGTTCGTCCGAAACATTCTTTGTATTATCCAGATCTTCACAGGATTAAGAGCGATTATGTACAATAGCTATTACTGCGGAAGCGTCCTTTTGCACTAGCTACATGGGTGCGAGAGGAGCACATAATATGCTGGAGTGTAGCAAGAACTCTGTAGCAATGAATTGTCGTAACATGGCTCTATGCATCCAAGATCTTGAGCATCTCTTCAACGCTCTGGAACTTCTCCCTCTCCTTGCCTTTACTCTTGCCTCTGGCTCGTTCAGCATGGTCGATTTTCTTCCAATCCGACCAAGCTAGCGGTCTCACGCCTGTCACGATATCCTTGATACCATCCCATCCAAGACCTGTGCTTCTGTTGTCGCCACTGGTGTCATTCAAGAACGGTACGTTGGCCTCCCAATCTTGCGCAATGATGTCTGCAGACGAAAAGGCGTCTTGCATAGTACTGGCGATGACACCAGTAGGTCCACGCTTTACCCAGCCTGCACAGTATAGCCCATGGACATGGCCAGCTGTCAGATTGCCGGGCCCTGCGGATGGCGTGATCACACGGCCGTGCATGTCATTGGGTATTATTCCAAGTTTGTCGTCGAAGGGTACGCCAATGTCAGAAAGACCAGGCAGGCCGGTTGATTTGTAGCCCACGGATCTGAATGCTAGCGACGCTTCCATGGATGTCTCTTCATTTGTAGGTGTGACGCGGGCACGTTGGTCGAAGGGGTCGGCGTCGGGGACGAACCGTTGCTTCGTAAAGGCAATGGATGCAAGTTGGCCAGCGTCTGCGTGCATGGACCTGGGTGCTTGCATGAACTCGAGAGCCCATGATCGTGCCGTCTCTTCCTTGGTTGCCTTGCTGCCCTTGAGTAGAACCTCGGCTATTCGTTTCTGTACACGGGGCAGCTTCTTGATCTCGGATGGATACAAGGAGCGGTCGACGGGGTCGAAGGCGACGGAAGGGATATTCATCAGCTCGCGAGCTTCTTTGACAGTGAATGCAGCCTGACTTGAGGTAAGCGATACGTTCAAGTATGATCATCATGAGACGTACCTGGATTGGCCCACGCCGGCCAACCACCCTTACAGAGCGCACCCTGCTCTCTGAAAGGGTTTGTATAGCCTGCTCGGATATGTCGGTATGCCGTAAGCAATCGACAGGGCTCAGCAGTATACGCGCGACATCGAGGGCGACATTGCCCTGGCCTATGACGACTGCCTGCTCGCCCGCTTGGAGGTTGGGCTTCAGGCTGGCAAACTGTGGCAGAGCATTGTACCATCCCACAAAAGACCTAGCCGAGTACACACCCGGCAGATCTTCACCAGGTATCCCCAGCTGTCTGTCCTCACTTGCGCCATAAGAGAAGAGTATCGCGTCGTAGTGGGGTTTCATTTTGGCCAATTCGATATCATGTCCGACCCTGACATTGCCGATGTAGTTGAATCGCGGCGATTGCGCTACCTCTTCGAACGTGTCCTGGCAGTTCTTGACCTCGGGGTGGTCGGGTGCGACGCCATAGCGGACGAGTCCATAAGGTACCGGAAGTTGCTCGTACATGTCAACCACAGCATCTTGGTTCTTGCTCATGAGTCGGTACGCCGTGTAGAAGCCTGCAGGTCCAGAGCCAATGATGGCGACACGGAGGCGCCCCCGAACAGTCGCGGCTGTGCTGAATGCATTGCGAAGTGGTTGTCGTGATAAGGACGCGATGTTGAACGGAAACGTGCCTGATGGTCCTTGTCGAATCGTGCTGATCCCTCTCCACTGCCCGGCAGTACCATGGTAGCGTCGTATCTGAGCCGACGCGCTTGCTATACGTTGAGTGCAGCTAGCGCAGACATACGGCGTCTTCTGTAGGCGCAGGCTGATGTGCATGTTGTGAAGGTCCTTGCATTTGATAGCGGCAATCGCCGCCCGAGCATTCTCGAGATGACTAAGGCCCCGATGCTTGAAGCCTCTGGACTCCAACCACACCATGTACACACACGACCATCGCATCCGCCTCGAAACCATAAGCGGGAGGCGCGCGCGTCTGGCTAACCTCTCTCGTTCTACTCGGATGCGTTTGCGACAATGTCCGGCCTGGTTATCCGCCCAATGTGCCGTTGATGCGCCCAAGCTGGACGAACAAAGTAAAACTAACCACAATTCCCTACTGCAACTCATCGGGCCCCCACATGTTCCTGGCTAATTCGAGTTTCAGCCGCTCGTGGCCATCACTAGTCAATGCACATGTCCGTCCCAGCCGTGCATCCTCACGTCATGAGGCGTTCTGGATTTGCATTGGTCAATATTGATTGTTGTCATGACAACCTGGTATTTACATACATATCTCCCCAGGTCCCCGCGTGGGCCCATGTCATCCATCAACTGGCATCTGCATTCCTTTGCTATAAGCGAGAAGATATCTCTCACCTTCTGTCCAGACGGTCGTGTGCAGTAGAACTTCCTTCTTTACTTCTCGCTCTCCATTGCAACTATGGCGGGCCGCTGGCAGCCCCACATGTATGCATCCTCAAGGGATTCCATGATTGACACCGACCCTACTCGGCCGACTTTCAACCCCAAGGCCATTACCATGGCCAGTCGCATGCCGCCTCCACCGCCCAAGAAGAAGCAGGAAGGCCCTTTGATCGACTTCAACAAACACCCGGACAGCTACCTCATTCTTCCCTACGGTAACACAAAGACGAAGCCAATGAGCCCCAAGACCAAGGTCTTCGTCGACATTGCACGATGGATCCAATTTGGTCTTAGGATACTGACTCTCCTTGGTGCTGTCGGAGTCTTGCTTTGCGGCATCTTCATCCGGGGCGCTCAGGCCACAGAAGGCTACATACTGAGGATACCGGTAAGCACATTCTGATCCACGTGCAAATGGGTCGCTAACATGGACAGCCTGGTGTGGACCTCGTCGTTTCTCTATACGCCATATACCATCTAATCCGTAATCCCAAGACGCGACCAGCGGGTAGCTCAGCCAGCTACCACTTCTTTGCTCTTATCACCGACGCTGGCTTCATCCCGTTCTATGTCTTCACCATCCTCATGGCTCGCCGTAACTCCGATGAAACGCCTGCAACAATTGGGCGTTGGCGCACTATGTTTCCTACAGACAATGAGACGAACATAGTTCTGATGACAACATGGATCACAGCCATTGTCACTGGAGGTTTACATCTGATCTCAGCCGTCATTGACATGTACCTGGCTATCCTATTCCGAAAGATCGCAAAGCTGCCACCGGACATGAACCCACTTGAGGACAACTTGACCTCGCGTAGGAGGACCAAGCACAAGCACAAGAACTCTTCCATCTCCGCCATCACACCTCTTACGTCGGATCAGGAAAAGCGATTCAGCGACCAGAGCACTATTTCTGGAGATCGCGATTCGAAGACTCCTTCGTACATCTACAGCGAAATCCCAAGCCCCAACAAAAGTCAAGTTGCTTTCATGCACACGCGAACAGACTCGGAGACCACGTACTCCCCTCATACGCCTGCTTCGGCGCGCCAATCCAGGGAGCGTTTTTCCATGTACTCTCAGCCTCCATCCGCATATCAGTCCCGCAAAGAGCTCAACACTCGCGAAGACCTGCTTAGCCAGGATGAAGATAACCAGACACTGGCTCAACGCAAGTCGATGCTCTCTCAGCAAGCTAATATCAAGCGACACTCCCGAACCGACTCGTACATTAACAGCTCGTCGAAACAAGACTTCCACAGTCGTCCGGCCACCGCACGGTCTTTGAAACAAGAAGCGTCCGGCGATCTTTCTCTTCAGCGAAACTCCCAACAAAGCCTCAAAAATGACAATTGGTTCGTGCATCCTGATCAGGAAGACGAGTACGACGACAATCACCTATCCCCACCGCCCAAACAATCAATGTTCTCGACGAATGGTAAAAATGGCTACAATACTATCTCACGTTATGAAGACGTCTCTGACATGGAGGACGAAGCCGAGGTACCCATGGTTCCCGAACCTCTGCGTATGAATCCTCTCAGCCAGAACCCGCCCTCTCCTCTACCCTCCCCCCCACCGACCAACACCTTCGAAGAGAACAACCAAAAGAACACGCCCCCGCCAGCCGGTCTTCAGCGTACCTTGACCACGACATCAATCTCCACCGAAAAGACCTTCGATCGCTCGCATTCCCGTTCTGGTACACCGAAATCGCGCTACTACGGTAACCTCAAAGCTGCAACTGAAGGTGTTCGAAGTGCAAACTCGCCCTCAAACTCTCCGTCCAGCTCCCCAACAAAGGGATCTTCTTTCCGCCAACAGCCAAACCAGTTCCCCAGCGCAACCAAGCAGTACGCTGTCAACACTCCTCCGCCTGTTCCGCAGCATAATTTGACCAACTCGCCATTCACTCTTCACAAGAAGAGTTACACGAGTATCAAGCGCACCGGAGAGGCGAACTACACTCCCGTCAAGGGACAGTCACCCCGAGTGATCAGCCGGTCTGGTGTAGACTACATCAACCCATACGAGTTTGACGACTCAGACCTGGGTATGCCAGGGCGGAGGAGAGATGTCAGTGGCAAGATTGCTGAAGAGGGACGCGGTGGTGCGTGGGGCGGAATGAAGCAAAGGACTGTCAGTGGTGTCGCGCAGGCTTATTAGGTTTCTGTTTTCTTAATAGGGGGCGTTGGACGGCATCTGGAAATTCTTTGGACCAAGGTATATAAATATGACTGGGTGTATGGTTATTTTCAAGGGTATCGGGTCGGGACTTGGGGCTTAGCATGAGTATGTAGCACGTTTTGGATGACTGGAAATGATGATATGGATTCTGTCTGCCACATTGGTTCAATCACCATTGCCTCCATTAACTCCTGTAACCTATGTGACGGTTTTTGTATGCTGCAATGTAATGAAATTGAAAATCTTGTGGCATAAGACCTAACACGATTCCTCATGCCGTGATATCGACGTCATATTCAACATCCGTTCTAATCACATACTTTGCGCCTTCAACAACTCCAGTGCCCTCGTGAAGGATTGCGCCTTGGGCTTCACCGTGCGGGAATACTGCAACACTACCCATGATAGGTTTGACTGGGTAGGCGTTGATAACAGCTTCCTTGACACTTGGAATGAAGAAAGTCGTTTCGCCACCCTTGAACTCATCGTTAAGGTAGATAAGGAATGTGAAGAGAGAGGATTGGCGAGCGTTGGCCGGCGATGCATCATACTGATAGGCATCAGTGACAGGGTCGATACCAGAAGGTGGCCATGCGCCGTCTATTGAAGTCAACGAATATACTCAAGTTGATTTCGATGAATCACCTACCAATATGCATACGATATTCCGCACCAGGCACATACCTATACACTCTGAAGCGTCGGTTAATACCTCGCACTTTCTTGCCAGCCACGCTCTCCGGCACAAAGCCCTTCACTCTGTCCCAGAGCTTGTCGTGGAAGGCTTGGTCGACGATCCAGTAGAAATTGTGTGCTAGCACACTCGTGTCTTCACCTTGTGGTCGCATCGGGGCATCTGGTATGAACCCTATAGTTTCTCCAGCCGCGATGATAGCGGAGCATTCTTCTGGAGAAAGCACGTCCTTGATCAGGCGAAGATTAGGCACAATTGGGTGCTTGAAACACTCTGTTTTGGGTCCTTTGCCAAGCAGCACAGCGTCGTCTTGGGAAGCGTACAAGATCGCGGGATGAAGATTCGGCGGTTTGCGCTGGAGTCCAGGTGTAGTTTCGATAATGCGAAAGCGGTTTTTAAGATCCGGGGGGCATGACTTGAAGATGCTCTTGTCCTCAACGCTTCGTCTTGTCGGACGAGTAGGCTTGTTGGCACTTCGCAGATCCCAAGTGTCTTGTAATGAGATGCCTGATGCGACGTCTGTGCCATGAGCTGTCGAGTCCGTCGGACCCGTGACTCTTAGAATTGAATCCAACACTCCGACTAACTCGTCATTTTGCGCATTCTTACCAACCACTTCGTGACTAGGAACCTGCACATGAATCGAGAGCCCGGAAACAACGTCCAGAGTACGTACCCATCGACAAAGAGCGCCCAGCGTCGGAGTCTCTTTTCGAATCTTCATTTCCGCCAATAAGATCAGGGCTTCCGTGTATTTGGCGTCTGTAAGGGCACCTGATATGCGCGCAGTGAGGTTGCTGCCATCTACTCTCACACTTAGTTTTTGGTTTCGAAACTCAAGATATCAGACGTACCAGCCGAGTTCAGGCCAGTAGTACATGCTTGACGAAAGTCGTATACGGCAGTCCTAAGGTCCTTGCACGCTTTTGACTTGATCAGGAGCGGATGCGCAGATAAAGTCTGTAGTGTCTCTATAGCGACCTCAATCTCTTCAGACGAGATTATAGAGTGTACGCTTGCTGGTTCGAGTGGATTCGCCTCTTGTGGTGGACTTGGGATGCCCGCTGTGGATTGCTTCTTCACGACCTGAGCTTGCGCATTTGCGCAGCGCTTCCGCTTGGCCATGCTCGGTGTTCGGAGTATTGGTTGTTCAATCAGAAACCGAACAAGGTATGCACCGAAGATGTGTAAGCTATTACTGTATCGGATGTGAGGTAGTCCGGCGTGTCCATATGTACGCGCCGAGGTCTTTGGTGGCGAGTGTAGAATTTCCACGGTCCGTGCGCATATGTCCTGCAGTGCTAGTGCGGAAAGGCCCGCCCTCCGGTCTCACCACTTCAGACTACATACAATTAAGTTACACTTCATATTATCTCGCCCAGATCTCAAAGACACTATATGTTCAATGTTCATGTTGTTCACTCAGTCCTAGACCTGACAGGTGTTTACTTCGAGAGACACCATGTAGGCCTCCATTACTAATTTACACCGCCATAGGACTAAGTAGGCTAAAGAGCTGAGCCCACTCGGGCATACCGCGGCGATACGCATTCTATGGGTCTGAGACGAGATCAATGGATCGGGTTTAACAACAAACAATGGGCCGGCATCCGATACGAGGATCGAGGGGTAAACAATATGCCGACGTGTAACGCGAGTAGCGAGTGGTGTAGGGCAAAGTCTACGGGTATATACAAATAGCTCGGGCGATCGCCCTTTCTTCTTTTTCTAGTATCCACCTCTACAAGTCTTTAAGCGTACTTCAACCGTTTACATACCCCTCCAAACTTTGCAACCCCTCTTACTCTTGCACATCCCCCACGTAATCTCTAAACGTTAGCCAAGATGTCTGCATACTCCTTCTACCAAACCACTATCCCTCAACTTCGCGGCACTGCCAAGAGCGCCGTCAGCTTCCTCACAGCAGCCAAAGATGAGCAGTCAAAGAACACCTCGCTGCCCTCTGACGCAGACGTACTGAACGCACAGATCGGTGACATGCTTCCCCTGCGCATGCAACCCATTCTCGTCGCCAAGTTCTCTCTCGAAGGCATCGACCAGCACAAGCTCAGCTCTGCTTCTTCCCCGAGCATGGACCCTTCTTCCTTCTCGTCCATCGACGATCTCATCAACTTCTTTAAGCAGCTCATTGCTGTCTATGATGCTGTCGATGAGAAGGCTTTCAACGAGAGTGCCGACAAGGGCCTCGAAGTCAGTGTTGCTGGCAAGTCACTGAAGATGACTAGCACGGCTGATTTCTACAACAGCTTTGCTGTACCGAACGGTAAGTCGTATTCCCGTGTTAGCTGCGCGTAGGCTGAGTGCTGACATGGATCAGGCTATTTCCACCTGAACGCTATGTACATGCTGTTGAGAAGCAAGGGTTTCACTCTTGGCAAGGGAACCTACGTCAAACCTTTCTTCAGCGAGCAGGCTGCTAAGGACTGGGCGCCGCTCATGGGTTAGAATAGGAGCAATTGTATACTATCATCTGCTTGGATAGCATCTAGCGAGTGACGTAGCATGTTCTGAAGTCAGATCTGAACAGAAATAGAACAAAATGGACACTCTAGGTGAAAGTCCCAAACACATAAATTTGACCACGGGTAGAGCCGGTTGTACGCGTGTGCTTAACGTATGGAAGAGTCACGTGAACTGGAAAACGTTGTTGAGAACCTTTGTTGGCCTGTAGTACAAGTTCCTGGATGGTTCTCAAAACTAGCCTACTTGTCGAAAGCATCTCTCAGCTTTTCAAAGTGTACCCTCGTCTCCTCCCCAAGTTTCCCTTCAACATCCGCCAAGATCGTACATACCAAGCTATAGTTGTTGCACAAGAAACGTTCTCTCTTCCGTGCGTCGCTAGTACCCTTGCTCAGTTTCGTAAGATAGGCCTCGTACTCACTTCTCAGTCTACCCACAGATACGCTGACAGGTTCATCATCACCTGCTTCCGACGAGAGGGCCAATATGCCTTGGAGTAGGTTTGCAAATTTCTGTGTGAGAGGTGTTGGCGCAGTAGAGGTTGCATTGGACGAGCTAGAGCCAAGCAACGCAGCCCCGGTCGACGGGCGGCCTGGCAGAGACGCTGTGACTTTCTGGAGCGATGTGCAGTGCATGTCCAGAACCTGCTGGAACCGTGGCCATAGCAGCATGTTTGTCGCGTTGATGTAACCTTCGACTGTTGGAACCTTCCTGCGTTGGAGTTCGAATGCAAAGTGCTGGTTTAGCCGTACGCAAAGCAGTATCCCAAGTGTATCCGTTGTTGCTTCCACAAGCGATTTTGTAACCGCTTGCCCAACTGCTAGCGTAGGCTCGAAGATTGAGTTGAAGGTCCGCGAGATCGCATGGAAGTTTTGCGATGGAGCGAAGTATGTAGAAATGAAGGTATACTCGAAGCATGCATTGTCGATGAGTGCGAGGTTAAAGCTGCGGAAAGGTACCTCCAAATAGTGGGGTGATTTCTCATCTTCGGCGACATTGGCTGGTAAGGCATTGACGGAAGAGCTCTTCAATGCATCGCGGCGTCGTCCGAGTGAGAAAGCGTCGTAAGCAACTGGTGCGTTTCGAGACTGACCGAGCAAAGTTCCAGTCCTTCTAGCGCTGGGATCTTCACCCAGTACGTCGTACCTATCCATGGCGTGTACCTTGATCTTCTCAAGCGCCGACCTGTAGCGGCTGAAATGATTGAGATAGTACCAGCGCATGGTATATATGTATGCCTGTGCTATCTGTTGTGCAAGCTCTGCCTGATGTTTCGCCAGGAAAGAATACAAATCTTTGTATTTCAGGAATGCTTGCTGCTGGATAATCTGCGCATTGATAGAAGGTGAGCGAATGGCCTTGATCTGAGCAACTATATAGTCTCGTATTCGTTCAACTGCGCGATTTATGAGATCGTCTAGCAGTGGTTTAACGTCTTTTATGGCCGCCAACTCTGGATTCTCTTTGGCTTTATCGTTGACCGCCTTGGACCGCTTCTCGACCTCTGTAAGGGCGCGCACAAAACCCTCGTCGACCGGGCCTTCGGCGATCTTGCGCACGACGGCTGGTGATATACTGATGTCTTCCACCGCCGGTCCCAGAAGCTTCTCAACCACCTTACGGTTTTCTAGCTTGGTGTTCAAGGCAATAGATCGGTTCTGGAGTGATTCTATCTCGGCGGAAACGGCCTCAAGATCGGACTGAAAGTTGGTCAGGTTTGCTTCGACCGACTTGAGTACCTCGTCGCACGCCAATATAGATTTGTGCAGGTCCTCAAACTTGTCTTTGTCTTTGTCATCTGCAGACACAATGAGCAAAGACTTGCGACCCTGAACATGAACACGTACATTCTTCGACTGACTGCGTACTATATGTATGTACAGAAGTGGGTTGCTGTCGTTCTGCAGTCTTGACGGCTACGAAATCGTGCAAGCTCAATTCCCCAAACTCAATATCTTCCACTACCTCGTCAGGCTTTCCAGATATATGCGCTACCTCTTCCCCGTTCGTCGCAGACGAGTTGCGCGGTAGCCCTCCCATGATGGACTCTAACACGTGTATGGGATCTGGCACGTTGGGAGGGATGCCGCCTGTCTGCCGCCTACGAAGTCCTCCGTTTGGCATACGCGCGGATAGAGGCAGGCTCGCAGTCGACGCATTGGGCGATATGAGGGGTGTCAGCGAAGACGATCGTGGATTGAGCCCCGGTCTGACAGGTTGCGCCGGAGCTGGGTAGCCCCTTCGAGGAGCTGGCGAGTGGGAATCGCGTCGCGGAGGCGGCATGCCGGCGGGTGTCGAGTATGACGAGAGCCTATCCAAGCCCCACATGATATCTACCAAGTCGCAGTCAGTCGCTTAAGAATCAGGTACTAGATGTTGGCGTCGTGGACGATGGCAGGGCACCTTGGATTCACATAAGGACGCCGGCAATTGTTTAATCCGCGAACTAGACAGGGATCTGCTAGCGCCACCTTCCCCTCCGCGCCTGCCCAATTTTGCCCACGCAAAAGACTTCTCTCTCCATCTCCCATTTAAGGACTCTGCCCACCCCACCGCTCTTCGACCAGCAGCCCGAACTCGAACTCTTCCTCACCGTCGCATCCAACTCTCATTCATCACCATGGCGGACAACGACGCGCAGGTACGTTTCCGCGGATACTAGCCCCGCATGTGCTCTTTACCCCACCCTTCGGAGCACTGTCGCCAGCTGCGACCAGGCGACTTCCACGTTCGCGCCTCTTCGTCACGCCCTGTACTGACTCTATCGTCTCTAGCATGAGCACACCTTCGACAGCGCCGATGCGGGTGCCTCTCTTACCTACCCCATGCAGTGTTCTGCCTTGAGGAAGAACGGTTTCGTCTGCATCAAGAACCGCCCTTGCAAGATTGTCGAGATGACCACCTCCAAGACCGGAAAGCACGGTCACGCCAAGGTCCATCTGGTCGCCATCGACATCTTCACCCAGAAGAAGTTGGAAGATCTCTGCCCTTCCACCCACAACATGGACGTTCCCAACGTCACCCGTCGCGAGTACCAGCTCGTAAGTGGCTCCAGTCGCCCATTGCCAAGTCTAGGCTAACACAAGATCCAGCTCGACGTTACTGACGACGGTTTCCTTTCCCTCATGTCCGACGACGGCTCCACCAAGGACGACGTCAAGGTCCCCGAGGGCGAGGTTGGTGACAAGATCGACAAGATGTTCAACCAGGACGGCAAGGACACCAGTAAGTTCTAACCCGGAAAAAGCCTCCGTGCACCGCACTGACATGCTGCCAGACGTCATCATCCTTACTGCTATGGGTGAGGAGGCCTGCATCGACGCCAAGGAGGCTCCTAAATAAGCGCATCGTTCAATACGTAGACTGTTTAGCAGGAAGCAAGGCGCGGATTGCAGACAGATTACGAACGGAGCTACGACACTCTTTGCATATCGTGTGCAAAGTTGTAGCTCCACGGCAAGCGTAGCATTCTCCCGTGCAATTAGCTTGCACAAGGCGACCAATGCACGAGGTTCTTCGGACGGTTTTGGGTTCCTTGCATTGCCATGTGTGGGAAACGTATTACGATTCATTTCCCTTCCTAGATATATCCCTTACGCTTCTGGCAATGAATAAAAGGTGATGACTTTACGGCAATTGTCGTCTTTCTCATTGGTAGAAAATTCGTGTGACTGGTTCCCGGATCCGCGCTAGTGGCTGGCGAACTTCTACTTGCAAAGCGATGTGTAAAGCCATTGTAACATGAACAACTCGGCGCACAACGGCATGCAGCCTGCTCAACTTCAACTCCTCATCATATCAACCTTGTCGCGATAGAATTATCGACTACGCTCAAGCCTACTTCATGTCGACTAAAGGCCCCGTTTGTGGCGTCGAAAACTGCAGGTCTAGACGCTACGAGGAGGGCGAAGACGGTTACTTGTATTGTCAGAATGGCCACCAACAGGCGGGTCTAGTCCGCGGAGAAGATGATGATGACTACGTAGGAGCTGCCCGAACAGTCACGCGCAAAAAGAAAGAGGCGGAAGAAGACGACAAATCGACTGGCAGGATTTACAAGGGCCCTCGAGCTTTTGACCTGTATTTGAAGTGTCTGCAACTGATTCTGCGACATCAGCTCTGGTATCTCGTAAAAGACCGAGGGTTACCGATTGAACTTGAAGCCGTCACGCGCGATCTCTGGGCACTGCGTATCGCCCAGCTTGGAGACAGGATTGCGAGTCACGACGAAGACTCGTCAGAATCCCAATCCCAGCAACAGATTTTCAGCACTCTGGAGAGCGAGGATGACGCTACAGACAATGAGAAAGGTTACCTCCGAGATGCAAAGGAAAAGAGAAATTTGAGGTTGTCGGCAGCACCCAATCTTAAAGACTGTCTAGTTCTGTGCTATCTTGGTATCATGACACTAAGGCTGCCATTTACGCCCGGCGACATCCATGCATGGGCTACCGATGGGCATTTGGCATATCGAAGAGCAATCAAGCTACTGCCACTCACCATGAGAGATCGGCTACCACCTGCCTACCACGCTGTTCTTGATCCAAGCGCACCACTCACTCACACGCGATTTTACAAAACACTCGCAGACCTGCAAATTAGCTACAGTAAGGACCATGGCATAACCTGGCCGGCTCTCAACGTGCCGCTGTTGCTGTTCCGCTATTTAAAAGAGCTCGCCTTACCACTTGAGCTGTATGATGCAACTAGACGTCTTGGCGACTTGCTGGGCTACGATTTCGCTCCCCACTACAGCGGTAAGAAACGTCTGGGTATACGGCATCTTGCCGAGGCGCAACTGGTGAGCTGCCTCATCATATGTATCAAGGTACTCTACCCACTTGATGATGAGAAACGTTATCCAAAGTCATCATCGGAACCAACAGCAGCGGTGATGAGCTGGCAGGCGTGGTGCGAGCATATGCAGGCCGCTGAGAAATCGAGGCGAGGAGACAACGGACGCTTTACAACCGAACAGTTGACAAAGCTACAGGAGAAGGACATGTTATCGATGGAATCCCAAGATATGGACCAGTATCTGGACTTCTACGCCAGTACATTTCTGGATAATGCTGAAATACAGCGCACCAGGGACATTGATGATTTTCGAAACGCTTTGTACGACATTTTTCCTATCAATAATGAGGCACAACATCCCCCACAGGAGCTATCCTGTGAAATTCCTCTAGGTCAGAGATTAGAGGTCGTGAAGGCAGTTCATGGCGCGATGAATACGATGCCAGTTGTAGCTGAGGACACCGGGGTACTTAGGGTAGGGCAGGCGTATCCAATCTGGAAGACGGAACAAAAGTTACCAGACGCAGCGAAGATACTATACGAACAAGCTGCAAAAATAGCTGGCTTATCTGTGAATATGCTCACTTTGGCAGTGGTTTTCACAGAGGCAAGGGTTGAACAGTGGAAAAGGGCACAGAAGAGGCAAGCTTGATGAGGTGGCCGCGCGCCGCGTGTGTAATACTAGTTTTTGCTTCTACAAAATTCAAGATAAGAATGCAAGACATGATGAAGGTCTATCTTCCGCAATAAATTGCAGATGTTCGTTGCTGTTATGGGTGTGAGTTCGGTTGGGGAAGGCGTCACACGCGAGGGGCATCGGGAACACGCTAACGCCGACCAGCCTAGTCGCGCCGCACAGACACCCACACAGTGTGTGGAATTCGTCTTCCTTCGCCCTCGACTTCGATCCTGAGATCACGGAACACTCGCAACACCGCCAAAGATGCAGATCTTCGTGAAGACCCTGACGGGCAAGACCATCACGCTCGAAGGTATATCTCATACGCACAGAATGTATTAGAGCATGCACTAACTTGTTCGCAGTCGAGAGCAGTGACACCATCGGTACGCAAATCCCAGCACCACACGACGGCAACGCACCGCACCGCACCGCGTCGCTCGGCGCTTGCACAGCGACACCGAAGAAGGAGGATTTAGGCTGACAGTACGGGTAGACAACGTCAAGTCCAAGATCCAGGACAAGGAGGGTATTCCCCCGGACCAACAGCGCCTGATCTTCGCCGGAAAGCAACTCGAGGATGGCCGCACTCTGTCCGACTACAACATCCAGAAGGAGTCAACCCTCCACTTGGTCCTCCGTCTCCGTGGTGGTATCATTGAGCCTTCGCTGAAGGCGCTTGCCTCCAAGTACAACTGCGACAAGATGATCTGCCGCAAGTGCTACGCACGTCTGCCACCGAGGGCTGTCAACTGCGTATGTCATAACCACGACTCCAGTCCTTGATCGAACAAGGAGAACGGACATGGTATCGGACCTTTACTAACAAGACCACAGCGCAAGAAGAAGTGCGGTCACACCAACCAGCTCCGCCCCAAGAAGAAGTTGAAGTAAACTACTCGCTCCTATCGGCGTCTGGCGAAGAGAGCAACGGGGTCGGTGGATACGAATTGCAACGATTGCATGCGATGGATATGAGGGCTAGGTCACTACTACTTCTTCCACGGCACATGGCATCAATGGAGTGCTTGTCTTGTCTCGCATTTGGGACTTTATGAAGGGAACCAGGCATGTAGAGTGAATCGATTCAAATTCAAAAACCACCAGCTTCGATTCTTCCTCGTCTGCTACAGCGTGATTTTGTAATGTTGTTCAACCTGATGGAGGTAGGTCACGTGAGATCGCGTCACGACCGCACCATGTATGACGTCACAAACCATATTGCAAACTGCGGTGAGCGGTCCCCTAGGGATACTGCAAGGAAATTGCCATCGGAACCATTGTCGCTATTGATCAGTTTTGATTGTTCCAGGTCACACAAAGCCTTGACGGAGTTATGAACGTCACATTCGCATGGGGATGGTCACATTAACACGCGACAACTTTTGTACTTTTGATGGATTTTATCGCAAAGCATTCTGAATATACGAGTACACACAAACTCCCTCCTGCTCGCATAGTGAACACTCGTATCCTCAATCCCCCATGATCAGAAGCGCCACCGAGAACGTGGAACGGAGATGCTGACCTTGTGGGGTGTCGTATCTAGCAGGAAGAGAATAGACACTTGTTTTGATCTAACAAGCCACTTACCCCAGAAAAAGAATAGTACACGCAAACTTGAAAAATTTAAATTCAAAACTCCGAAATACAACGAGGAGCGTGCAAATGGTATCGTAACGCCTCGCTATGCATACAAAAACAAGGAAGAATCCAAAAAGGTGTACCTGAGCGGTCGATATAGACTTTGGCGTTCGAGACGTGATGATCGCGTGCAGCGCCGCAGTGAAATAAGGAGCACACATGACAGATAGTGGGAAGTAATCTGCTGACTGGTGTGTGGCGCCCGTTTTTGATGGACATGCTCAAACGCGGGGCTTCTTCCAATAATATTGCTAAGAATAGTCAGTGGGGGATTGCGTGGGTAAGCAGGCGTAATACGTACTTTGTGCGTCTTCCTGACAGACCGCAGTCCGGTGCTGCGTGTGCCAGCTGTAATGGTCTCGCGCCTCATTTGGTTGGAGTCCATCTCAGGGACATAGTAGAATTCGTTTTCGAGCGGCTGCCCAGCAGCATCTTTGCCAGCACGAGGGATTTCACCAACACAGGGAGTGTCATCCAGAATCCTCTTCAACTCTTTTCTAGAGAGCTCAGGGAGGGGAGTCGACGTGCCAGTGCCCTCTTCATCCTTGCCATTTGCGCCCTTGTTCACACAGGCCTTCAGTTCAGCTGGAAGGTTGCTGTGAATAGCGGACAATGGTTGAGAGTGAATACGTGAGAATGCCAATTGGTTGATGACATGGTTCTTGATCGGTGACTCTTTGTATCGGATAGGCTCAGTAACGCGACGTTTGGGGGACGGCGACAGTAGTGGCCCGCGCATACGTGGAGTGTTCGATTGCGTTGGCGTAGCTGTGTTGAACGAGGCCATGCCACTGAGGAGGTTCTGACCGAAGGGTCCAAAGGAGTGTACAACAGGATCGTTTTCTTCATCATTGTCGGAGAAGTCGTCGGCGGCGAAGTTCACACTCTCTTTGAGATCGACAACAGGACGTACTTCATGGCTAGACTTGGAGCTTGGAAGAGAGGGGCGGATAAAGGTCTGGTCTGCAGAGCCTGGGGTGGCAATGCTAGGGCTATCCGCGCTGGCATCGGCATCTTCGAAGACTTCAACGGTGCCAGACTGCAGGTTGGTGCCAAGGCCGGCGAAGACGGGAGGGCGGATCGGGCTCTGCGAGACAGGTGACCGTGGAACGACAGGAGGGCTGGAACAGATGTTCTCTTGGGTACGGTTGCGAGTCGGAGTAGGCATGCCTTCTTCCTCGGATTCCCAAGAAAACTTTGATACAGGGATAGATGGCCAAGCAATCATGACGCGGGTGTCCTGTACATCGAGCATGATGGCCGTCTCGGGGTTCTCTGACATGTACGTGTCCCCCTTGCTCAGCTCGAAGATGCGTCCCTTGCAGTGGATCTTCGCACCGTTCCATCCCAGACATTCAACCTCAATGTATCCATGCGGATATGGTGGGCTTGGCGCGTGATAAGCGGCTTGGACGTGAACGCGTGAAATGAGGCGGTTGGTAGAGAGCTGGTAATCTGACGTGTTGGAGCTCCTGCCCATTCTCACGATTTCGCCGTCTGCAGGAAGGTCGAGCGTGGGCACAGCACCGAGCGGGGTCCTCTCTGACAGAGCCGAGAAGGTGCGTTCGAAGCCCGGCCGGGCATGGCGGGGCGACGAGGAAATAATGTTGGTCGACGATGTGGGCTGCGGGGTTGGATAGTACTTCAGCTGCTTGGGAAAGGTGGGCGAGTCCTCTTCGAACTTGCGTTTCGAGGACGCCGGACGTGGAAATGGCGATGAAGAGAATGGCCCATCCTCGCCGAAGGCCGGAAGAAGAGTTGGGGTGGCCTTCCGAGCATGCCCCGAGTGCGGCTCTGTCGACTCGATGAGGGTCTGGGACAACGTCTTGGTGGGTGAAAAGTCCATCTTGTGTGCGGAGCTCCTAGGACGCGAGGCTCCTGGCGTGTCGATGTCTATGGGGTAAGGTGGACGTGTCTCGAAGGGAGACAAGCGAGCCGGCGGCTGCGGAAGGAGTGTTGAAGACGCGAAGGCAGGCACACGGCAGTATGGAAAAAGAAAGACGTAGGTTAGGAGGAGGAGGCCATCAAGTCAACTACGAAACTACGGGTCAGTCACGAACGCGATCGTGGAAGACGTCGCGACGCGGGTGTGGGTTGGCTAGCGTGATGAAGCTAGGGCCGTCGTAAGAACCAGCACCCAAATTCACCACGCTTTGTTCCCTTGCAATATGTCTCTTGTAACATCCTCTCAAATGCAAAGCACTCTGCATGTCTCAGCTAATCCGATTGCGTATCTTTCTGTACTTTTCCAGCGCTCCCTTCGCGATACATGTCCCAAAGTTCGGCATATTCTGCCACATGCGTTCACCAGCCTCTGTGCACGAGCACAATTATTACACCTATGACATACATTGTCTCCTCGGCTGCCTCTCTAACTTGATTTTCTCCGCTCTGCCAGCCCCTCTACGCTGCAGCCGATTCCACATTAACGCACTATCATTGCTAAAGCTGACGCGCTGAGACAAAGTCAATCACGCTTGGTGATGCACTCGTGTCATGTGCGACTCTTGTGCCAAAGTCACTGTCCGTACCAAAGTGCAATATAAAGGGGAAAGGGCATCTATACGCATACTGTGAACGCGTATCAAGATCTCAAGATACTGCGCGCTCATGCACAAAGATCAAATTGCCCCACTGTCCTACGCCTATGCCCAAATGGAGGCAAACGTCACGCAAGTGAAAAGAAAAACTTTGTGCAGCAATCGACGCAGCTAACACGAGAGCAAACACGTCCGTAACCCAAGTGGAGCTGTAGGGCCGACGGACGCGAACACGCAGCGGTATAGACGCGTCGTGAGAAGATGGCCAGGCGAGCGCACGGTGACGGCGTTTCGGCTCGACCGTGACCGGATGGCTTCGATCAATCGATAGCACGAACCAGTAAATCTCGTACATGTAGCCATGCGGGAGTCCATCAGCTGCTGTCATATTCGTGATTCCTCAGGACTTGGGATGATAATCGAGAGGTGAATGCATCTCGCAGTAGTTTCTTCACCATTGCCGCCAGTGATGATAGCACATGTACCACGCCGGGTACGTACCACTGACGCGCTGCTGATGAAGCGGCTGACTGCATGGGAACGAGAGGTGAACTTGATATTGGACGGCTGGTGACAATGCAAAGATGAGCAACCTGTCGTGTGCTTGGAGATACTGCGACGCGATGATTGGTTGAGGATGCTCATTCGCCTTCCGCTTTCAATGAGATAGCCCCGCATTAGTCTCGGTCTTTCGGAGAAACCATATGACCGGCAAAAAGTTGGAAAGTTCAGTCCAGGGTCTAGCCCAGAATTTCCAGCGACAAGAAACATCGCAAACATATCACAGCAACAATGGCCAAATCCAAGACCCTGGCTAAGAAGGCCGGGAAGGCGACCGAGGCGCCTCTCACCACCAACACCACGAATGGTACACCCTACCAGCTTGATCCGTCGCAAGTCGAGCGCGCGGCGAAGGCGCTCGTTGCGCACATGAAGAAGCATGTCGAGGAAAAGCAGCAAGAGGCACCAAAGAAGAGCTTGGCGGCCGACGAGGACGAGGCGGAGGAGGTTGACGAGCCCATCTTCCTCAGCCTGGCGACAAAAAAGCAGATCGGCAACACTAAGAGCTTGAAGCCTGTAGCCATGTAGGTTCGCACATGACAGCGCTTGCGACACACCGCTAACAGTACCCAGCAAACTACCTCACCCTATCATCGCAAACGATGTCCGGATATGCATCTTCACCAAAGATCCCCAGAGAGCATACAAAGACCTTGTCGCATCTGACGCTTTCCCGGAAGCCCTTCGCGGAAAGGTGCAACGTGTGCTCGGCGTGGACAAGCTAAAGAAGCGATACAAGGCATTCGAGCAGAAGCGTGCACTCCTCGCTGAGTACGACGTTTTCATGGTCGACGATCGCGTAATCAAGATTGTCGCAGAATGCCTAGGCAAAACCTTTTACAAGAGCAAGTCAAAGCGCCCAATTCCGGTTCGTCTTACTGCAGGTGCATACATCGACAAGAGCGCAAAGAAGGACGCGAAGGAGCCACAAAACGTCGTCGGAACACCACAAGGTGTAGCAAAGGAGATCGAGTCGGCTCTTCACTCGACCTACCTGAGCATGAGCCCATCCGCCAACACCTCTATCAAGATCGGCAACCTTTCCATGACTTCTCAGCAGATCGTTGAGAACACTGTCGCTGTTGTTTCCGAAGTTGTCAACAAGCACGTTGGCCAGGGCTGGCGCAACATTCGCAGTTTGCATGTCAAGGGTCCTGCGACCAAGGCTCTACCTATCTGGCTCGCTGATGAGCTGTGGGCTGAGCCTGAGCAAGTTCGCGACGCACCATACCACGGTGCCATCACAGAAGGCACGCCCAAGGGCAAGTCCGCAGAGCGCAAGAGGAAGTGGGATGAGTGGGAAGAAGAGATGCTCGACGAGGAGGAGCTTGCCGCGAAGCAGGCCAGGAGAGAAGCTAAGAAGGCCAAGAAAACAGAGAAGAAGAGCTCAATTAGCAAGGAGAAGCGCAAGGCCATGAAGCAGGATGCGCTCCAGTCGGTGCAGACACCACTGATCGCTGGTTGAGCTATCCATGGTGGGCATCGTTGCATGGCATTGGCGTTCCGGTGTTCAAAAGATCTATTTGACGATATGGTAATATACCACTGGTTGGCATCCACCAATGCAGGCTCTTTGCAATATCAAGTTTTCTATTCTGCAAATGCATTATGATAGTAGTGATACAACTTTGCTTTATGTTTTGCCTGTATATTATGGCGATGGAGAGCTATGACCTTGCTCGGCTGTACCTGCCTCGGCTTGATGCTAACGTCATGCAATGCAGCGTAGATCACACTCGCGTCTCATGCACTCAACTTGCGCCTCCCAACCCTACAACCCTCACTTTCATCAGACAACCGCTGAAATGCTTCGATTACTTCCGCTCTCGACACTCTTACTCGTGACGCAGACAATCGCGTCGCCACTTACACGGAGCGACTCCAAGCCACTTCCTTTGCTCATCTGGCATGGCTTAGGCGACAACTATGCTGCAGACGGTCTGCACAGCGTCGGTGACCTCGCAAACGAGACAAACCCTGGCACATATGTATACTACATCCGGCTCGACGAAGACGCCGGAAGTGATCGAACAGCGACGTTCCTCGGCAATGTTACCGAGCAGATTGCGCAAGTCTGTGACGACATCGCGAAACACGAGGTTTTAAGCAGGGCGCCAGGTCTGAACGCGCTAGGTTTCTCGCAGGGTGGGCAGTTCCTCCGCGGACTGGTAGAGCGCTGCGGCGACCGTATAAACGTCAAGAATTTGGTCACCTTTGGCAGCCAACACAACGGTATTGCAAAATACCAGCTCTGCAAAGATGGAGACTGGCTATGCAAGGGCTATATCAACTTACTTAAAGCTAACACCTGGGGCGCATGGGTACAAGGTCACCTCGTTCCAGCGCAGTACTTCAAAGCCACCAACGAGACAACCGGCGAACCTACGGAAGAGTATCTCGAAGCCTCCAACTTCCTCGCTGACATCAACAACGAAAGGGTGCTCAAGAACGTCACTTACGCGAAAAACCTCGCTGCATTGGACAACTTCGTCATGTATGTCTTCGAGGACGACACCACTGTTATACCGAAGGAGTCGGGTTGGTTCGCGTATACGAACACCACCAGCAATGAGGTCACGGATCTGAGGGACCGCGACATCTACAAAGAGGATTGGATTGGGCTCAAGAAGCTTGACACGAAGGGCGGTCTACACTTCAAGACTACAGAGGGTGGTCACATGGATTTGGGGGATAAGGTGCTGATAGATGTCTTTAAGACCTATTTCGCGCCGGAGAAGACGGTCTGGAGCGACATTATCGACGAGATCCAAGAGATTATTGAGTTATAAAGCAGGGTTTCATATAGTCAGTCTCAGGGATAACCAATGTAGCTAGTGGTAAGGTTGTATTTCCATGTAAGAATATAGGCGTGAACGCGATCAATAAGTATAATGTCACATGTTTTCCTTGGATTGCATCACGAAACTCGTACTATATTACTTGCTGTATAGGTAGTCCAGCAAGAACTATACGTATTTCTGATTGGCAGGCTTATCGAACGTTGACTTTAAGTGATTCCTGTGGTGGTATATGCTGAGACACCATCTTCTACTAGGTCTCGTATCTTCTCATAGTGTAAACTGATCAAGCAGATCGCACTCGTTACGACAAACGTTGCATTTCTCAGATTATTTGCTGACAATAAAAACAGACATCAAAAAGCATCAGCAGTCTACATACTGTTTACATCCAACGTAGTGTAGAGTAGCGAATATTTTCAAAACATGTCTTGTTGACGGGTTTGAAATTAAAAAATAAGGAATTACCCACGACGCAAGCACTGTCGTAAGTTCCTTCAGAAACTATAATAATCGGTCACGGACATTTGCTAGAGGCCATAAAGAGCGATACCGAGAACCAACAAACTTACTGCTAGTCCTCCAATCGTTACACGTTCTTGCATGCGCATCCCCTCCCCCAACCGGGGTTTTGCGGCAGACGTCATGCTTGTGTGGGTCATCATGAGCATCAGCCCACAACAACACTCCACGCCGACGCCGCTCGAAACGAGTCTAGTCTTGGCCTCTCCATACTTTAAATACTCCATCTCTCCCCAGAACCCTTAATTGACAAATCTTGCCCATCGCGGCTCTTCTCCACTCCACCACTACTTTACGACGCTCTCGCTGAGCTTGACGCTCCTTGGACAGCTCCAAAGCTCTATCGATAAGCTAATCATTCGGATCGCGATCATCGGGTTGAAAAAGAAAAAAGCCCTGAATTAAACATGTCGGTCTCAGCAGCATTGAAGAGTCGGGTCAGGAGGCCAAGTTATCTCAAGAAGATTGCTAAGGCTGAGGATTTGCTTCATCACTTCCCCAATGGAGCATACATTGGCTGGAGTGGCTTCACTGGTGTGGGATACCCAAAGTAAGTATTATCTCTGCTGTCGCGCTACGACAACCAAGTCATGAGGCTCTTCGGGTACTCAACACGATCTTGACTCTGGCATACGATATCGGGCCTGCTGGGTAGTCCGATCTGGGATCCCGAGGTGGAACGGAAGTTTGGCAAGCGACGAAAGCCGAACTATCCCCGACTCCACAATTCAAGCTGCGCATGGATCAGGTCGAGACGAGTAGTCAAGAGCCTTGGCCATGACACTTGTCGCGCATCTTGACTTGGATGAACAATGTTGATTACGTTGATGAAGTTGTCAGACTAACGTCATGACAGAAAGATCCCCACGGCCATGGCCGACCATGTCGAGAAGAACAATCTTCAGGGCCAGCTCAAGTACAATCTCTTTGTCGGTGCATCATCAGGTGCAGAGACCGAGAACCGATGGGCACGTCTCAATATGATCGAGCGCCGGTCGCCGCATCAAGTCGGCAAGGAGATTGCCAAGGGTATCAATAACGGCAACATCAACTTCTTCGACAAACATCTTAGCATGTTCCCTGTCGACTTGATGTACGGGTTCTACACATTGAACAAGCCTCACAACAAGCTAGACGTTACCATTGTGGAAGCATCCGCCATCACTGAAGACGGTGGCATCATCCCTGGAGCCAGTGTTGGCGCATCACCCGAACTGATTCAGATGGCCGATAAGATCATCATCGAGGTCAACACCGCAGCTCCTTCTTTCGAAGGTTTACATGACATTACTATGACTGATCTTCCACCACGCCGAAAGCCTTATCTCATCATGTCTCCGGAGGATCGCATCGGCACACCACACATCCCTGTTGACCCAGAGAAGGTCGTGGCGATTGTAGAGAGCGACTACCCCGATCAGACCCAGCCCAATGCCGCTGAGGATGAAACCTCAAGGGCTATTGCCGCGAACCTGATTGAGTTCTTGAAACACGAAGTTAAGCACGGCCGCCTACCAGAGAACCTTCTACCCATTCAGTCTGGTATTGGAAACATAGCCAACGCTGTTGTTGGTGGACTTGCTTCTGGTGGTGCAAACTTTAAGAACCTTAAAGTATGGACCGAAGTTCTCCAAGACTCCTTCCTTGACCTCTTCGACTCTGGCAACCTGGACTTCGCAACTGCGACTTCAATTCGCTTCTCTCCTGACGGCTTCCACCGATTCTACGAGAACTGGGACCGATATGCACCCAAGCTACTGCTCCGCTCCCAGCAAGTCTCCAACTCTCCTGAAATTATCCGACGTCTCGGTGTCATTGGAATGAACACGCCCGTTGAAGTCGACATCTATGCCCATGCCAACTCAACATGTGTCATGGGTAGCCGCATGCTCAATGGTCTCGGTGGGTCCGCCGACTTCCTTCGTTCTTCCAAGTACTCCATCATGCACACACCCTCGTCGCGTCCTACTAAGACCGATCCTACTGGTGTCTCCTGCATTGTCCCCATGTGCACTCATATCGATCAGACCGAGCATGATCTCGACGTCATCGTCACCGAGCAAGGTCTCGCTGATGTCCGTGGTCTCTCTCCCAAGGAGCGTGCCCGCGTCATCATCAAGAAGTGCGCCCACCCTGACTATGTACCAATTCTCGAAGACTACTTCAACAAGGCAGAGTTTGAATGCCTAAGGAAGGGCTGGGGTCATGAGCCGCATCTGCTGTGGAACAGCTTCGACATGCACAAGCACTTGAACGAGCACGGCACCATGAAGCTGCCCAAGTGGGACTACTCCAGTGCGGAGAAGGCCATGTAAAGATTGAATGCAGAGCATTTTGAATGTAGTAAATGTAATCGAACCTGGTATTCATCTACCTTGGTGTAGTATATTGTATTCAGTTGTATGAAGAGAAAAAAAAAACTGCGGATCGGCGCATGTATATGTGACCAATAACATCAAATGCGGCATGTGTGCTTTTTCTAGGCATTCGTCACATCGTCGACAGAATACATGGTGTTTTCTACACTCTCCACCTCAACATGGCGAAATTCCATCCATCCAAGGTATCAACCACCTCTGAACTGTTCGGGACGAGACATTACACGGAAAAAGTACCCGGGCGATATCCATATCGAACTGTACAGGCCCGGTCGTGGCAATAGGCAGAGATGGTTTGCGTTTGAGCCAATGCGGCTGTGTACCACGGGTCTTACCATGGACGAGAGCATGACGTGGGATACTCGTGTTTGATGCACGCAGTCACGGCTAACATTGCATTGCAGCAAGCCATGCGTGTGTCGTGCCAGAAAACTCTGCTCAGACCAGCCGTTCGCCTGCATATTGAATGGACGCGCTCTTACCGCCAATGTCGGAATCGTTCGTTCGTTGAGAGTTAGATTGCCACCCGCTAATGCTACGCGTCGGCTGGCACCATGTGACTGCGCGGCTCACAAGCGGCTTCAGGCTCTTGCATTCGAGCATACGCCTTGCTTTGCCTTCTTACACCTCACCGGGACGCGCCTCGAAGCTTCACGACACCCCCGACATCTCCTAGCATATTTTCCGCGCCTCTTGCGAGCTGCTTTTTGGGTGCCGAACAAGGAACTGTTCCCGCCCGTTCGCGCGTCTTCCCGTATCTCGCGTGCTGCGCACGAACACGGTGCTCCTACGACACGTCTCCGACCATCGCTCTCCCACTGAGGACCGCCATTGGAACGCTTGCTATCCTGACATCTTTACTCGCATCGATATTTCTGAGTCGTATATTGGCATTCGACTCGAGATTGCAACGACAGCGCGAGCCACTAGTTGCCTACTACCCCGCCGCCACGCTCGCGAACGATGATGCGTAAGTCAGTCGCGTTTCTCTTAAGCCGAGTTATTACCTAGGTACTCATGCACCCATTGCGCCAGCAGAACACGCCAATACCGCCCATACAGCAGCCATTGCTGCCGCAGACGACCCAGTGTCCCACAACTCGCAAGAGTCGGTCCAGTCTGCCGTCTCTAGCACCTTCTCGGCCCCGGCACTACCCTCCTCCTCGAGCAACCTGTCTACCTCCACCACTACCGAGACGGACCTCACCACCCTTTCGTCGACCAATGTAGCAAATCAAAGTAAACCTCCAGAGGCACCAATGCCCAAGCCATCGAGCCAGGCTGCTGCTGGAGACGTGCCAGCTGCACCGCGCATCGATACAGCCGCCGCCAATGCGCTGCAGAATGGTGGCACAGCAGCCAGTTCCATGACACCAGAATCTCCAGCAACCCAAGGCTCCAAGAGAACCGTAGATGGTTCTCTCAAGAGCGCAGGGCCAGTGCCCGAAGCGCCATCGGTACGCACATACGCACACAAGAGGAACAAGAGCATGGATACACACTCAGGTACTCGCATTGGAGAGGTGCGTGTTGTAGCTTCAGACTAAGCCCTCAGGTTGCTGATGCAAACGCAGTTATCCGCACAGCTTAAGACGCGTCTTTCCTACGCCATGGTCAAAGTCCAGAACGGCTGGGAGAAGCAGTCACTTGACGAGCTCGAAGAAAGCCAGTCACAACGCGGTTCGCCCAATTCTGCTCCTGGGAGAAGTGATCACCTAGCGTTTGACTCGCCTGGCACTACCGACCGCCAACGAAGACCAAGCGGCGTCTCTGATATATCGGACCAAATGATCATGTCCCCTGCTTCTGACCCAACTCGATCACTCGCCGGGACCCCAGCTTGTTAGTCCTCCCTTAGAATCTGTTTCCAGAGTGCTAATGTCTGTCAGCCTACTGGCGGCCGGGTACGCGTCCCGCAATGAATGCTGCGGCAAACCTCATCTCCATCACCGGAGCACATCCTGGCTATGGCCTTGCACCAGCCCCGACCTTCCAGAGTAGGCGGAGAAGTCGCTCGAGCGTCTCACATGTACCCCCTCCACTACTAGGAGCTAGCCAGAGGAAACACTACAGCGATATTGGTGCAGGCCCGCGGTCACCAGCAACCCCTCGAGCAGGTATCCTTCGTATGCCAAGTCAACAAGCAGAAAAAGACGCTGTTGATACACTGCTTTTCATGAGCAGCCCCAACAATTCACAACGCTTCCCGGCGAGCAGCCAGCCTCAACCAAGTCCACTCAGAGCTGAAGCGCCTCAACGACGCGTCATGTTCGAGGCCTACCCCCCACAAGACCGGCGCGCCATGTATCAGCCATCAATGCCTGCTCCACCTCATCACCACCAACACGGACCGTACCCCGCGTATCCAGCGAGATAACAACGGAAGTAAATGTTCCACCAGATATTACTTCCTCTTCTCTCTTCAACACTATTCTTATGGCTCGACGATCGCATTGCATGGATGGCGTTGAGATACCCACTGCATGGATGCAAGTATTCTTACTGTCAGGTCTCTCTTCCCCTCCACCAAGTTTTATAGTGCGCATATGTCGCGCTTCAGAATATCCTGGGAGGTGTATTGATATTGCTTGGCCATTTGTATGAGCTTGCCCTCTTGCGTTTGTTTACTTTGGCGATAAGGCCTTGTTGACATTTGTATGCTTGAGCGTTTTAGCTATCACGAATAGGTATCATGACCATGTAACGAATAGACGAATGTGCGCTTTGATTCTGTCTGATGTTGGTTGGTGGAGAAGAAAATACAATGAGTTGTGATAGATGTAGGTGTACATTATCAGCAGCTCTTGTAGCTGCCAGTGAGTTGTCTTCGAGGCAACTAATCAACTTTCTACCAAAAGCATAATTGCTAGAACGCCGCCAAAAACAAGCTAGCTCGAGGGCTCTTCTCGAGGACACTGTCCTCCAATCAAATGTTGTAGTTCATCTGTGATATCTACCTGCCACAGATTCCGTATTGTTGATGCTCATCGATCACTTCTTGTGGTCGACTCGGACTCAAGACATGCACGACCAGAAAGAATGGCACTGTCGTTCTCGGAGAGTTTGCTGGAAAACGAGATGAGGTTGGTGCGGGCGGTTAGGCTACACAGGCGTATGAAGTTTGCGAATAGATTCTAGCTAGAGTAGCTGTCTCCGACGAAACGGAGCTGCTTCGTATATTGTAGTCTGCTTCAATAGTCGGCGCTCACACCTTCTCGTCGTTTGACCATGGCGTGGCTGCGTTACGAATTTTTGAAGTTGTTCGATGTTCGCCAAGAATCGTGAAAGAAACATGGAACCGTTCCAGGACAATAAGCACATAACTAATGTGGTTCCTTGACCACTTGGGCGCCATTGAGGAAGCCAATAAGCCTACATGTTGTCAGAAAATCGATTGGCCGCACCAAGATTTAATCGGCGGCCGCTTCAAGTTATACGGGTTTACCTAGGTACGTTCAAGAAATGCGTCTGATGTGTAAACGACACAACACACACCTAACATGATTTTGTCTTCGAAGATTACACTTCGAGAAGAATTACATAGTTGAGCATAAATAAAAAAGAGAGCTTGACCAGACGTTTGCTTGCGTTGTGGTGGTGGCGGTTGTGGACCATTTAGCATTCAGGGGCAAAAAAAAAGTCCTTCACCGTCCAACATCAATACCACACCCTGCAACCCACGATGGACGACAGGACAACAAAAACGAAAGCCCGACGTGGGGGTCGAACCCACAACCTTGAGATTTGATACAATCGTGTCTGTTAGGACGTGATAACTAAGAGTCTCACGCTCTACCGATTGAGCTAGCCGGGCTGTTGTTGCTTTCGATGGAAATATGCAAGAATGCAATGAATATATTACACAGATGTTTCACTGACTCTCCGATGCCATCGCGGACATCCGGGCATGCTACATGGAAGTCCGACTGGTTGTGGAAATTTTTGGTTGGATATGCGGGTCGGGTAGGCAAGCAAATTTTGCCAGTATCCGAAGACCCCGCCTCTGGCCGGCTCAGACACCATCAACACGCTCTCTTCTATGTTCCATGTCTCCGGTACGCCTTGTACCAGCATTACGACATTCGGACGTTTTTGACGGACCGAACAATATGGCGCTTTGAACAGCCGAAATATTTCCACTTCGACAGACTCGACATTAGGACCGAGGCTGTGGCTCGAACTGCCTGCTAGCCGTTCACTCATCTCCATTCTGCCTTGTGAGGCATGTTTCTGCTGCCTGAATCTGCAAGCAATCTGCACGTCACCGCACCATCAAAATCCTTCCTCTTATTGGTCTGGTGGATTTACCAGAAAGAGAAACTGTATGCCTCCCGTACTAATGCTTCACAACCGCATCGCGATAACAGACGCGTAGAGTAGTGGCGAAGCATGACGGTGGTTTGATAGAACCGCATATAGACTCTCCATGCATGAGTTTGGGGAACTTCTACGAGATCGTCATGGGAAGCTAAACAAGCCTCCCTGGGTCGAAAACATCCTAAATGCATGTGAGTTTGTGTTGCACACTTGTTCGGTGAATTCAGTGCTTCTCGATGTACTCAGGGGTTCGTTTGGCAAATGACATGTGAAACGTTGGATATCTAATGCGCCCATTGCTAGCATGTACGAGGCGGAGTGAGAGGCTTTCTAGACCTGCATGGCATGGATTTGGGATGATACATGCTAGTGGTGCGCTTTGGGCGGAAACTGGTCGGTATCCTCGGTTCGATGGAAGAGTCGCGCCGACCTGTGCTAATCACTCGTGTGGAGGGCTAAACCCGACACGTGACGTAATCGCAACATCACTCCGTACTTAATTCAGTCATTACGTGCAGAAAGTCTGCGGCCTCCGTTGCCAGCAGCTGTATCATATCACAGAATTTCCTGCATTGTATGCATTGGAAAAGCCCCTCCAGATCACGATTCCCTGCCCCAGCAATATTGCCGCTGTACGCCAGCAGGCAATCCTGATGCTAGCGATGGTGACCTAGACAGCCTATTTAGGTAAAGATACTGGTCCGGGGTTCTTCATCTTTGGAGGAGAAGTAGGTGGAGCAGCTTACACCATCTCTTGCTACCCTGTCAAGTGTTCGAATGTCACTGGCGGCGGTCTGAAAAGTGTCTTGTCACCCTCTGGGTACTGTTTAGTTTTGTTCAAACCATTCCCATTATGATATTGTACTGCATATTCGAGGCAGGGTATACAGCAATAGCCTGTAGCGATTTCCTAGTTCACAGTCAGTCTCCCCTTGCTTACTACGTAGTTTGTGACTCGCTTGCTTCACTATCCAATATGATATTTTCACAGCAGTATATAGACATCTTAGTGTTAGTAAAGATGACCCCGAGTTTGACTAGATTATTATGATGATCAAGAAAAAGACAAAAATGAAGAATTCCAAACTTCCAATCCGCTTAAGGGATACAGGTGAAGGTAGCGGAAACACACAGTCTATGCTAGAGAATTTTTCCTCAAGCATAGCGTTACGGGTCCTATAGGGATACGTACAGGACTTGAAGTATATAAAAACAAGGATTTTCGCACATCTTGAACGGAGTCTAAAACATGTATCTATACAAGTGCCATAAAGACAGTCAAGTTGGGAAGAAAATAAAGGTATTCGTGAGGGAAGAATACTGAAATTGTACCAACGCATAATCACGCAACGAAGCAGAACAGTGACCAAGCTAGAATACAAGATGAATGGTTGGTATAGTGAGAGACATGACAAGGAGGAGATACGTGTTTGCAAAGAGATCCATATTTATACGTCGTCAGATCCACCTAAGTTAGTGTCGAGGAGTGCCCGTGAACATGGTAGTCGGCATACTAGAAGATCTTAGAAGGACACGGGATTTGAGGCTGGTAATAGAGATAAAGTCTAGAAATGAGCAGACATTTTACGGCGACAAGTTGAAGCTAAAGCTATGCAATTAGATGGTCTAGTCCGACCCCTATCACCCTAGTCCATTCTACCACCGGAAATCCGCCATAATCGGGTCTCCTAAAGCGGACCGTCTCACAACTAAGCGAAAAGCTTAATTTGCAACTGGTGTGGACACGCGTCTCAATAATCCTTGCTGACCCTTGGTAAGGCAAACTACGAGGCTGAAACTCGACGTTTGTGATGTATCGACCCCACTGTACTGTATTATGTATTATAATATAACATAACAGCGCGACGGAGTTACTAGGGGAGTGTTTCTGGGGACTCCGAGGCGCATGTCACCGAGCTGATCTATTGATAGCAATCTAGCTCTCGGCTAGCCCGTAGAGACTTGTCGTGTGACGTCGAAGTCGTGATGCAGAATTCATGGATTGACAGGATATCGACATATATCCAGGACAAAGTTGGATCTTTGGGTACACGTGCGAGACTAAAAGCCCCTTCTACATGTCAAAGTCCAGATTCTCATTGTTCGAAATAGTTCCACTTTGCAGCGGGCATGATATTGTATTCGCAATAGCTGTGATTACCACCAACCACTGCACCAAGTTGTGAAAACGATTCTGAAACTCGTAGCATGATGAGCGATATGCGGAGTGGCACCTCGCCTATCACTGGTTTTGCCCTAGGAAGTGGCCTAAGTGCAGAACCAGATGCATACTCCTTAGTGGAGAGTTTAACTCCCTTACGCGTTTATGACCTCAGAAAAATCAACCTCGGTTTAATCATGCATACAAATCAGATCCGATTATTAACACAGCTACTTGTTTTCGACGCAAAACCCGGTGAAAACTCCGAACGGCGACTCCGAACCTTCAGTCCCACCACACGGCAACAGGCATTTGACATCGTACGTTTGACATCATACCCTACTCTTGAAGCATGCATCCACCCAAATATATGCTCTTTTCATGCAGGAACGCGTACGCTCTTCCATAAGACTTTCTCCAGGATACGAGGCCTACCCCAAGGCAGCAGCATACCAACTCAAGCTTGGCCCGATGTCCGGTTCGAGAATGTAAAGAATGAGGTATGGCGTGCAGCATCGACGACGTAGATCGACAGGAACGGGACGCCGTTCCACGTAGGCGGTCAAATTCCATGCTAACGGTACCTAGGGTATCGCGGCAAGCCATCATTGGGCTCTCGGTGTATCGTGACAAAGGGTCAACAAACAACGGCCCAAGCGAGCAGAATCGCATGATCTAGTCTGCAAGAGACCAAACTGCAGGTACTTCGCGTATGCAATGTAGAACGTCCCATGCGTCATGCATCGGATGAGGCAGGTAGAACAGCGTTGCAGGCAGCGAGATCGTGCATCGTGCAGCGGACAAGGTGGCAGATCAGGTAACCCTCCCTGCCTTAACCACACATGGCACTAGCTAGCATGTATGTGGTGTATTGACGCGCTGCTGCAACGGCTCAGGCT